CCGATTTGCGTAAAATAAAATCAAAATTTTAAATTAATCAAAAATAATCTTTTTTTTTTTGTATAAGTTAAAGTTATAATACAACCATGACCTTAGCATTGGAAAGATGTCAAGCTGTCACCTTTCTACCAAAGGTAAACAATAGTACGAAATGTATCGGAAATTCAATTGCCAAGTTATGGTGTCCCAAATACGCAAATGGTGTTCGATCCAAAATCAAAACGGTGAACAAACATGCGGGTTAGCTTCTTTTGTGTATGTTTTTTTTTTTATTTCTACAGCAATTTGTTGACGTTAGGGCTTATAATCAAAAATATTTGTAAACGACGGCGTTCATTCATGCGGTCATCTAGCCATTCAGATACGACTGGCTCTGGCACTGGCACTTCACAACATCCTGAAAGCCAAGCAAATTCAATTCTCAACCGAATTCAAATCTTAATTAAAGACCCGGGGCTTTCAATCGAGACGCCAGATGTTTGGATGGCACTCGTATTTTTATTCGGCTCTTCGACTTGGACCGGACTCTCTCGCACATTTCATCCGGGTGCGGAAAACCAGTTTTGGTCTAAGAAAAAATAATATAATAATAAAAGCTAACGATAACACCAAAATGAGGAATACATAAATAAAATAAAACGAAACGATATCCAAATAAAATCAAGTACAGATGCTGGATAGTTTTATGGATTGCTGCACTCAGGTAAAAGAAAACAAGCTAGAAAGCTACAATGGAGTCTGCTCAACTGAGTGATACCCGGTACCCAAATGCAAACGCATTGAATTAAAACTGGAAAGGAAACAAACTTTAGGGAGCTGATGTTTGTATGCCATTACCGTTTGCGATTGATCGCTCCTCCGATCTGGCAAAGTTTCATTTAGACAGCTCTAAAACTGAGAGACTTGTTTGCGTTGAAACTGCCAAAAGGATAGACGTGCATGGTTAGATCGACTCGGCTGTTGATGCTAATCGTGAATATGACGGAATATAGACGGTCATCGCTTGCGTTCGGCGTTCCGAGCTTCCCAATTTTGAGTTTGCTACAACAAATCAATGTGTTTTGCAACGCACATTTAGATCGTTTGCTCGCAGGCTCTGTTTGGCTCAGGACTGCGACCGTGGTGCTTGTTAATTGTCTTATCTTCCCGTTATACATATCTCATCATACGGACAGACGAGCACCAGTAAATTGGCTCAATGGTGAACCGAAGCAACTATGTATATTGAGAACTTTAACGGATTGAATGTGAATGCCTTCGTCTATTATATTCTATTTCGGTTTATACTCAACTAAAATGCCATTGTGTCCCATGGGTATCAGGTATAAAAACGAATAGCTATAAAAAGTCTAAATGGATAGAGATTGTGCGTCACGATGGAGTGCCAAAGTCTAAAACACTTTCCATGTTTGCTGACCCTTTTTTTGGTTTACCGCCAGGTCAACGTCTGCCAGTGCACTATGGGGAATTTGCCTAATTTAATGGTACACTTGGCCCTCGCTTAACACGGGGGTTACGTTCCTAAAAAGCCTCGTGTTAAGCGAGGTTTTTAGCGTGTTAAAAGAGGTCTGGGAGCAAATTTGAAACCGTGTAAGACCGAGTCGTGCTAAAAGAGGCCGTGTTAAGCGAGGGCCAGGTGTATTTAGTCATTTTATCAAACTAATGATATTTGTGTGTTTTATTTTTTACCTTAACATCTTAAAAACATATAGAGTTCCAAGTCTCAGTTCCAGAATACCAGAATTTAATAAACCAGAGCACTGTTAAAGTCAGCTGTTGCAAAGTGCAAAAGTACGTGCTTGAAAATAAGCATTCTTAGTTTGGTTACTTTAAAAATGCGAAAAAAGTTTTCGAAAAACAGTTTATAAGCATATTTAAAACACCGTTTCAAAAAATATTACTTAGTTTAATAGTTACTAATTAATACTATAAAAATTTTCATATTTCCCACAGTGCAGTGTCACAATCATCACTCTAATTGCCCATTTTTCTTTATTAGTAATCCATGTTGAGCTTCAACCCGCTTCACAATTTGTTAGAGAGTCCAATGAAATCCTAATTGATCAAGAAGTAATAACAAACATTTTAGATAGTATATAGTATAAACAATTTTTAAATTAAAGGACAATCTCGTTTTCTAATCTCTTTTAATCTCTCCCTTCAAATAAGGCGTCTCCTAGCGTTCCAAAAATAATTGTCAATTAAAGCAACTGTGATCTTTGATAAGATTTAGACTTAAGAATATATATATTTTTGTTGTATTACCAACAGCGATTAATCTCAGTATTGGATCATAAAAAACGTGATGTGACAAGTTCGTAAATCTTATCGAATGGCGTACGTGCAGCGAAAATACGAGATGTTTTACTGTGATACACATTCCCCATAGACTATGCTTGAGTTTATTTAATGGCAACCAACGTAGTCTTAATGGAAACAAGTGCAGCTCATTTGACTATAAATCAAGTTGAAATGGGCATTTCTAACAGCGAAACGTGACCCAAGTCAAAATGTAGGGTTACTAAGTATAATTTTAATTAAATATAAACTTGTAAAATGTTAAAGTAGGTGTAAATCGTGTATAACCAGCAATCTTTCAGCTGTGAAGATAACTTAACTTAAGGAGGTTCATATCCTTCAGAATTATTTTTTAATTGCAAAAGTTCATATTCTAGGCTAATTGAATTATTGAAATTTACGAAAATATCTTAGTAAATTACCCAAATATTTATGTAGCTTTAAGAAGTCAACTATTTTTAGGAATTTGTTTTTAACTTCAAACAACCTTGCAAACTCGAAAATCAACAACAGTCAAGTTAAAAAAAAATAAGAATAAAGAAATAAAACATACAATATATAAGCGAATATTAGCCATATAATAAACCAAAACTAAATATTTAAAGAATATGACATAGATGAAATAGAGCCAACGGAAGAAGCTTTTTTTTTTTAGGAAATAGTCCAGCAATCACGTTAAAATTTTGGAAATAGTTTAAAATGGAATTGGAGATAATACAAAAATTTTTTATAAACAATATTTTACAAAATGCTGGACCTATGGAATATATGTCGCAGGGCTTCGAGTTTTGAGTTTCCTTAGTAATTCCTGTCGATAATCCACAAACAAACATTTTTGTGTTTATCAAACATTTATCTTCTATGTGATCCTAAAAAAAACCCCAACAGAAATTATGAAAAAAAAACATTAAATTCAGATTTGAAGAAAAAAATTAAATTTTCAGGAAATTATATTTCACTTCTCACCCTTTTTAAAAATAACAATTCCCATTTTTATTACCACCATTTAGGTTCAAATAAAAGATAATTTCAAGTTGATGATAATAGTATTTGATTTACTCCGATATGTTGGTTAGTTTTTGATAAACCTTGTAAAAACGCAAAAATTTAAAGTGGAGAAAACCTCATTAACACTTGTATTCCTTGCGTGCATACTTAAAGTTGGAATTCGATAATGAAACTTGCATAGTATATTCTTAAAGTAGTAAAATATGTTTTAAACCATAAACTAATTTTGGTTTACATGTAAATCCCCCCTTAAAAGGTTACTTATTTAATGGCTTGGGAAATCACATATTCCCATCAATCATAAGTCTTCTTATATATACACTGCATTTAATTATGGAAGTCTCCGGACAGACGAACAGACGGACATGGCTAGATCGACTCGGCTGTTGATGCAGATCACGAATATATGTATATACTTTACAGGGTCGGAAATGTCTCCTTCACAGCGTTGCAAATGGCTGACAAAAATTAGAATACCCTGCAAGGGTAAGATTTTGGATATATATATATATATATATATATATATGTATATATATATCTGCTTATAGTTTTCTTAAAATACTGTCAAAAACCAACCTCCAACGTGTCTCAAGTTAAGATTGTAAATCATGGATAATTCTTTTCTCGCGTACATGTCACTTATACGACCCGTTGTCCGCCGCATATCGCAAACAGCAAATGAGCCATCACTAGCTGTCAAAAACGTTCGTCGATTACTGCAAGTTGTCACGAAGTTCAGGCCGAAGTTTGTCGGATACGGACTTCGGGCTTGTGTTCGTGCTCGGGTCCGCTCTCTTCGGCTGTTGATCTCCGCCAGATCGTCGCTCATTCTAACGGTCTACGCGACTGACGACGCATGGCAGCGGCTGCGATGCCGGCGCAGGTAAACACAAGTTGCCGCCGATTTGTTTTAAATTGTTGCACATCTCCCGTTGAAATCTGCCTTGTAAATCTTCTGCATAATTCGTCCTTGTAAATCTCCCTTGCCATTCTCCCAGCTATCAGGATCTTTCAAGACCTTGAAAAGAGTCGACGGAACCTTTTTCAAACGAATCATTAACGTATCCCATTGGACATTAACTAATTGTATATATACAGAAGTTAATATTTATATAAAGATATATCCTTAAAGTGATGTTTATGGAGGCTACGAAGTTCAGGTTACTGGAAAGCACTTGTGAGCTTATCCATTTACTAAATCCTAAGATCGAAAGATCCAAAACCATCACAGTTCTGATCACTTCCTGTAGGATATCACAACTTTCAACTGCAAGCTTCGCTTTCTGTCGCGATCCATTCCTGAACCATGTTGATAGGGGGATTTCTCTGATAAGAGAAATAGTCGAGAGCGCCTAAACGCTCACCTGTCGCTGCCGCCGCTGCTGCTGCTGCTGTCGCAGCCGGCGTCGCAGCTGACGCAACGCCTCTAGAGACGCTATCTCTGAGAGCGGGTCACTATTTGATTCGATTCCCCGAGCTTATCAAGAACAAAAGGCCCAAGTGGCTCATTGATTCGGGCCAGATTCGGGCGCTTTTTTTTTTGTGCTTTTTATAAGCGCGCGATGAGCCCGCTGCCGGTGCCACAGTCTCTGCCGCTGCCTACGCCGGCGTCGCTGCTGGCGCCGCGCTTTGACGCGTTATAATAACAAGTGTTTGCCGTCTTTGGACATTCAGTGTGCGATATCCCGGCGGACGGTGCAGACAACGCTCACCTCACACGATCTGGACAAAATAATATTCGAGCACCCGAAAGAATCGACTACAGAATAACGCACACGAAATTTAAAAATTACAAAAAAGGGGAAAGTTTAAAAAAACACCCTCGCCCTTTCCCATCGCGATCTTCACACGCGGAAGACTTCGGCAAATCTTTGATATAATCCCAAAAACAATTGTTTTTTTTATTGTTTTTGTTTTACCTGGTGACAAAACGAAAAGTACAAATAAACGTCATTAAAAGTACAAAACATACACCGCAATCGTCAGTAATACCTGTGCCAAAAGTGACCCCAAAAAAAAGTTGAAAAGAAACAAGTGAATTTACAACAAGCCCTCAAACAAGAAACTGATAAAGTAAGCTCTACGAAATCGAACAATCTGTGTCCGATCGATATGTTTGATCGGTTAAAGGCCAGCGAAAGGTTGAAAGGAGGAAATCAATGGTAGAACGGCGTTTTAAGTCCCAGAGCAATGCGATTCTTATTTTCGTCATTGACGTCTTAAGCCTCAGATCTCTCATATTTCTAGTTTCGTGTATTTTCTCCCACTCAAAGCGAATGGGTTAACAAGTTTTTGGCAATAGACATATGTACGTATATATAGATATATGTATATATATATTTCTTTATTCGTTCGGTTGTCAGTGATCGATGGTTTGCAGTTGCCGTGGATTTCTTTTCGCATAGATTCGAGCGGCGGATTCTCCGAGATGATCCTCACCACGCATATGAGATCATTACACTTTTATCTGCAAGCCACGACATTCCCATAAGAGAAGCCCCAAGTAAGGGGAAATTCTCTATTAGTTTAGACGACTCTCTAGCCGGCCAAGTCTTGCTTTAGAAATGTGGATTTGTACAAACCAATTCGCTTCTCTGCTTATTAATTGCATTTTTTTGTTTGCCACTTGCAAACTTCATTAATCAAATTAAAAGAATTCGATATAAAACTGCCTCGAGACCTGAAAGCTTATACTTAAAATATTATAAATAGTTTTGACACGTTTATAAAGCAACCTTAACTGACGGATAAAGGAAAGAAACATAATAATGAAAAAACAGAAGAAATATGAATAACAAAGCTTTACAAAAGAGCAGGGAACAAAATTGGAAACAAATTGAATTGAAGAGCAGTAAATCGAAAATCTGAAAAGCTTTTAAATTATGCGTTGTTAATACAAAGTTTTACAACAAAAACGATACCGAAACCGAAACTGAATCCAAGACCAAAACAAAAGAAAAAATGTTATTAACAATAATATTAATTAATTTATGTTTGCTGGTATTTCCTTTTCACGGCCAAATTGCATTTCAAGTTGGCTTTCGATTGGTATTTCTCGAGGGAACGGCTACTTTTATGCTTTTATAGTAGGTTTTTGGTATTGCCACCTTGGCTAGATGCCTGTCTCTACAGAAATCTATGAAAACCTACATAAAATTGGTTGTTGTTGAGGTCTTCCCAGAATTTGGCTTGCAATTTTTGCGACTTATCCGTCATAGAAAAGTTAATGTTATATATGACGTTGGCCAACTGCTGCTGCGTGTAGTTAATGAGTTTCGCTCGGGCTGTAATCTGATTTCCAGTACCATTCACTCGACTTTGTTTACCCAAATGTATTGCAGATTTTCAACTGGGTAACTGGGGTGCTCAAGGTCGCCATTGGGCGGTAAACCCCCAGAAGTACATATATGAACTTAAAGCGAATAAATGATTTTATTTCCTTACTTCCTTCACTCAGGAAGCCGAAATGACATTTATATTGCTAATACACTTTTCAAGCTCGAGAGTACAATGATTCATCACCCTTTGAAGCGAAATTGAAAAGAATTTTAACTCTGAGCGAAATTAGATAAGGTTTGTTATAAACACCTAGTCGTAAACTGACTGGTATGTCTAGGGATTAGATTTTAACTTGGATGCTAAGGGTCTCTTTTCTGAGTTTCAAGTTTTTATTTACAATTTATAAAATAAAGAGGCGTTAATTATTGATGTTCATATCGTTAGGGAAATTATGTTTCTATATTGGGTGCATAGTTCTTGATTCTTACAAATATCCTTATAACAATTTGTTAATATGTCAAGGCTTGGGATCGCAGACTTGAGAAAATGCTCGCCTTTTCTGGTTAAGGTATTATTGAATTATAAACAGTCAGAGCGTCGACATAGCACTTAATCCCAAGGAAGTAATTAAATGAATGTGCTCAAACCAACTGTGTACACTTAAAAGGGGAATAAAATGCACACGTTGGTAAATTAGAATGATATCGTCGTAATCTTCCAGCTCATGGCGGCAATCGAAGACAGATTTGTGAACACAGAACTGTGAATCAATATGTGGAATCAATTATAGATATGGAGTGTATATTAATCAGGCATTCAATGGATGAGAGATACTTCAAAAGAGATGGAATTTGATTTTCTTGGAGGAATAGGAAAGGAGGAATTGGAGATCACACTCTGACTCCTTCGAGTGATAGCCACAAGTTAGATTATGATACGTGCACACATTTTATATATTATTTCGAGCTAAATATGCCGCTTTTTGTTCCCGCATATTGATGCCAAGTTGAATGACATTTGATACAGTTTCGGTTTCGGTTCCAGTTTTTTCACTTTGTTACACTTTACACCTCAGAAAAAGAATTATAAAGCACGATGTATACGATATAAGCCGTAGCCAAGCCAAGCCGGTTAGCCAAAATGACAAAATAATGGTGATTAATTTTGTTTTCGAAATTTTATGGCCAAACAATTTGTTTGTTTCGCTCATTTCAGATGGCTTTATGATTTTTTATGGGACTGGAGGAACAGGCACTGACGCCCAGTCAATTCATTTCCAAAAATTACTGAATAAATAATAGTTAGTGGGCGGGGGGAGATGATTTTGGTCGAGAATCGAATCCAATTCGATTTCACCTGCGTCACAAAAAAATTGCAAAAATGGCAGCAACAAATGCTAAACGAATGCCATACACTCGTACAAATTTGTACCCAAAAACCCCAGCCCTAAAGGAGCAAACAATGAGAGAGTATTTTGTTTTTATTAAACTGTAATATTATTGTGTTGCTGCAGAATTAACAATTATTACATTATTGTTTATTAACAATGTTATGTTATTTAACTGTTGCAGAAGAGACGAAGAATATCCGAGGAACATATAAAAATGAAATGTACTTATGGTTGCCTTTTCTTAATTTTGGAAATACTAAAATCCTTAAATTTTGGAGCATGTTTCTTATATATATAAATGTAATATTTTTAAGAGTGTAAAAAGACTTGCTTTGTTTCATTTTTGGTTTATTGTTGCTTTGATTTCTTTCTGTGTTTGTGTTATAAAATAGTCTGGCTTTCGATCTTTTCTGCCAGGGCCACAAAATGATTCTCCCCAAAAAGCCAGCCAGCGGGAATGGGAAGTCAAATGAAAAGCGCCTCCATCTCGAATGCCGGTGATTGTGTTTCGATTGGCCCAAACATCGCATGCAAATGAAGCATGGAAGCTGAGCCCATTTTGTTCACGTGAACGTTTGCATATTTATGTAGGCACTTTATAGTGAGTTAATATCATTAGCTGTATTACGTAGCCCAGTCAAGTGGGTCGCACTTTTGAATCTCCGCAGCGCTGCAGCGTGAGAAATGTATCGCCGATAGTGGCGGAGTTCAATAATTGCATTTCATTGATTTAAAAACCCAATAAGGCCTTGAACTCGAATCGCACCATATGGAAGACAAAGGTATAATAGCCCTATTCCATATGCATTTCCTAGTGCTGGCGAACCTGGCGCAGGAGGGCGGAATTCCACAGAGGCAAAGTCGCTTTTAATGAAGCCTGGGAACAATTTAATCAAACACCGCATGCAGATAGCCCGACGAACATACATCTTTCTATCTTTATATTGTGTATCTGTCTGTCTGGCCGAGATGTACATATGTAAACACCGAGCCCAGAACATAGAGAGACTTTTTGAAGCTCACTAAATAGAAATTAGCGACTGGGCATCCCATCCAGCGCGCATTTTGCAAATTAAACAAATGAAGACCACAATGACTGGGCAGCTGGCCACTTGGGCATTCTTCGGTTAAATACCCAACTAAATACTGCGCGCCCCCACTTGGATCTTGTATGCCAAAGTCATAGAAATCTCACCGAATCTCGGCAGGAGATTTATACCCGACTGTCGCCTTAATGTTATCATCAATCATCAATCAATTTCAGGCAATCTAATCACTGCACTGTGCAGAATTTCAACAAAAGTAATTAGCGAAACTGATTTATTATCGGCTCTCATATAGACAAAGCAGTCATGGTCAGCTGCTTTATTTCGGCCAATCGTACTTCACCCTTTGAAGCGTGATCGAGAGTTCGAGATCTCCAAGACGAGGGATTATTTTAAGAAAATTGAGCACACTTGAGCCACCAATGGACTTTTTGTGATACCGTATAAAAGATCTTAGATAATTTTTATTATAAACATTTACGAAGGGGGCTTCTCATCGTAAACTGACTTGTATGCCTAGGAATTAGTATCTAGATGTTGTGATTAAAGCTTTTTATACACCTTGTAAATTATGACACCGTTAAAACCCACACAAAAGTAACATATTTCTTTCATAGCGCATAAATTACTAGACTTCTTATATGAAATATTACTATCTACATATCTTCACATGAGATTCATATAAAATCGTCCGGAACCAAGCCTTAAGTATCAAGATATTCGGTCTGAACTAATTTGACTCAAGTCGGCATAGATTCTATATCGCTTATTTGTTTCAATCATATCTGGTCTTTTCTAGTATTATTAGAACAAAATAATAATGGGTCGATATTCAAAGTCTCTGCACTTGGGTTGGCATTAAAAAGCCAACTAGTTTTTAATCTAAATGTGTGTGTGTGTTTGAAACAGCAGCCTACCCTTAAAGTTTGATTTAAACTGAGATTTTAAATGTTCCCAGTAAAATGTATACCTAGGGTATGTCAAATTCAGAGTACAGCCGCCTATTAAACTAATTTGGCCTATATTTAGTAAGAGCAATTATAGAGCCTGAACTAGTTCCTACTGGCTTTGAATAAAACTAGATGGTTGGCATTTCGTAAATTTCCATAACCAACTGGAATTTCGCAGAAAAATCGTCTGCCCAGTGACACAAACAAATAACAACAATACAACAATACGACACCAACAAAATTCAGAAACAAAAACTAAAGAAAGGAATTCAACTAAAACAAAAGGCAAACCAGCGAAAAGTGTGAAGGAATGAAAGGAAAATTGAACTTTTGGCATTTAAAGTGATGAAGTTGAGAGGCTGGATTGTTGGTCCGCAGAGAATCTATTCGCCGCGCTTCTCGTTGTTAGATAAGAAAGTTGGCTTTAAGGAAGAGGGTAAGGTTGGGTAAGGTATTTAATTATTTTATTTTTTTCGCAATTTTCCTTTTATTTTAAAGTTTTTTTTTTTGTGTTCAAGTTGTTACATGTATGAGGATCATAAAATTTAAAGGGCTCTCCTGAAAAATACCGTGATCTACTGAACTAATCAATTTGAAATTTGGAACATAACTTCTTTAACTAGTGATACAGGTACTCACATCGGACTTTTTTTAATTTTAAATTTTATTATATTTTTTATTTAACAAATTAACTTAACTTTTAAGTCAAAAATTGGGGTTTTGACTTCCGATTTTGATAAAAAAAATTGGGATATCGGATGTTTTTGTGGACAGTTAGGATGTAATAAACCAATTTTACGAAAACCAATTTTTTTTTGAGTGGACTCAGGAGATTCCCAGTAATAACTGGTAGACCTTTAACTATATATTAATACAACAATTCAAAAAAAAGTTTTTCAAATGTTATATAATTATGTGGTATTTAATTCATTAAGCTAACTTTTGCCGTTTCGTCACATAGTTTTTTTGAAAAAATAAGAAGACTAAAAGGCGGCGAAGGCGATTGTCGTGCGGCGGCTTCTACTTAACAGTAATCAACGCGCATTTATATGCCCCGCGAGTCCCTTCTATTCTTCTGGCAATTATAACAATTATTATATCGCGATATATTCGGTTCCGTATTGCAAATAAAGAAAATATACGAGGCGAAATTCAATTTGTCCGCTGGTGCACCCTCCAACCCCCTTTTCCCCATCTCTGTTTTGCCCAGGCCCACGTGTTTTGACTTTGAACTTGAAAAATTTCAAAAGACTTGCGCAACAGCACACAGTGTGTATACGTAATGGAAGTTATTTGGTGCCTTCTCTTAGGGAGGGTTTTGGGTTTAGGAAAACTTACGCTTGTAAGACATTTTCACACAAATGTACATATGTGGTATTATTTGTGGCGTCATGATCTTGGGTCATTAGTAAAAATAGCATTTTATGTGTCCTCTAGATATATAATTATGTATGTATATCGATTTGTGATAATATGAAATCGTACCCAAAGCAAAATATTGAGAACAGTAATAGGCAGATAGTGCCTATAGGTTAGGTTAGGTTTATTCGGACGGCCCCTAGCTATCCGGGGAAAATCCCTGAATGGACCTAGAGACTATTTATGAGGGTTTTGAGACCCTTGAAGATCAAGGTGTTTTTCGCAAAGGCAAGGAGTTCGCCCGGCTTCCTCCTGGAGGCATCTTCTAGCGATGCCAGAACCGGAGAGCCTAGGTATATCATCCTTGCCTTCGTTAGGGCCGGACATTTGCAAATGAGATGCTCCAAGGTTTCGGTTGCCTCGGATTCATCACATTTCCGGTGCCTATAGGTCGCAGTTGTACTTGAATTCGAAAAATATAAGCTTGGCTTTGTTTACAGTGCCTATCACAGATTCAGATGTTTAGAAGCAGCATTCTACAGTATTATTTTTGCAACGTTTTTTTAGTTTTTATGGTTTCAAACTATGGGTACCGTGATTGCAGATGTACGTATCATAGAATTTGTTCCCACAATCTGAGCCATATATCTACCCCTCTCAGGGTATGCACAGAAATGAATCAGAGGGATTAAGCGATCTTCACAAAGAGTGTCTAAAGTTAAGCCTTGTGTACAAGAAGGTGAAAAATAAATTGAAAGTTTAAATATTTAATGGAACATTTATACGTGCTTTAACAACCTTTGTATGGTTTTCCATTATCTTCAATGCGTATGTCTTGTTGACATCGTTTACAAGTAGCTTCCTTTACGTCGTTCGGGAAATCTTTCCATCGTGATGTCTTACAGATTAATATTTGGTTTACAATTCTTGACTTTTTCACTGTTTCCCAGCGGCTTTAATCAGCCTTAACCGGGATCGACAAAGTCGCGATAAGATTTGGTAACTGAAAAACTATATTTAAAAAATGTTTATGGCGTCTTGTGACTATTTACTCCTGTCGGTGTTTTTCTTTTTTTAATCAGAAATGTGTTAGACATCGATGAATTTAGCCGCAACTAATAATTTTTATGACACATGGTAGCTTTCATTTCGAAATATGTTGTAAGGAAAAACCAGGTTTTTTTTTCTTCAATGGCAGATTAATCAGTCTTAGATTATTTATTATCTACAAAGGGGTGAGGCAGTTCTAAGAAAGTTTCTCCAATACACTATTAGGTTGTGTGATATTGTAGCAACAACTGTATTCAAAACCATAATATACATAATATTACGGATATAGTAATATCAACAGAAATTACGAGCCTTCTCTGTTCTTACAAGCCACATTACCAGCTGTGATCTATTTAATCTATAACTGCACTTTACCTTCACCCTGCGCCTGTTTATGGTGGCTTTTTCAAGTGCGTACTGATTGCAGATAGCCGTATGCAGGTGTATGTATGTATGTCCTAGACCCAAAGTTCCCTGTTATTCGTTCGTTATTCGCGTATCCGACGCGTGGGCTTGATTTGTGACGCGATATTGACTTGTGTCCACAAGGCTTTCACTTCAAACGGCGATAAGAAGTCGCGGAATAACCTCTTGGCAGTCTCAAGTGACTTACGATTGACTAGAATCCGACCCCCAATCATCGCTGTCAACTGTATTTGCACTTCCAGTTGTCAAAACCAAGTGGCGGCAATTTATTGTGCTCCACTGTGTTGTTGTCAACTCGATGGCAAATAAGCAAAATCAAAATCTTATCGGCTAACAGCGCAAATGTTAGATCGTAGGAAATAGAAAATATAGAGTAAGCCCCAAAGAACCTACGTTTAATGCGAAACACTTTTTATATCCCCTGGATTCAGTTTTTTGGGCCATAGAATATAATTATAGATATATTAGTTTGGTATTATGAAACCATTACTTCTTGTGCACTGAACACAAACTGTTAACTCTTAAGTTTAGCATTCAATCTATAAATACATAAAAATACCCGACTTAGCCAACTCATTTCAGTTGACCAAACATAAACATAAAAACAAGTCCAAACAGAAAAAGACAGAAATACGAAAAAGCAGAATAGCAAAACATTTCGACCATCACGGCTTTATGGCTTTTGGGTCAGGGTTTCTTAATTCTTCAGACACGCGGAAGTTCCACAACAAACTGTTGGGTCAGGTCATGCCCTTCTTCGAAGTCAAACTTTCAAATATGGTTATTAATACATCCTTTTAGTGTAAAAATGTAGCCAGAAGACGTGACGAAGGCTCAGAATAGTAAAACCCCAAGAAAGTGTTGCCGCCCGTAGATCCTGCGACCTGAAAGCTTTAAAAACTTTAGTTGATTTAGTTGATTACCATTGATACCACCTTCCAGCCGATAATGTTTAATCCAAACAATTTAATTAAATGTGAAAAACACAATGTTGTTGTTGCCTTGCAGCCATATCAACGGTCCGGTGACTAAGCTCAACCTCAACCTCAGCCCTCTACCTACTACCTCTTACCATTCACTCCTAGACAAGCACCCAAACTTGACCCAATTCCTGCCCAGAAACCACGGACGCCACGCACAACCAGGACGCTTACACGTACACACACACACCCTGAGACACTCGCACGGCGCCAGAAAATTCCCCACATTTTCACTACAATGTAAACCAAACGAATCTCCGGATTCTTTCAATTCTTGTTCCGATTTACATTCTTCATACATTCCTTGAAAACAAAGCCAACAAAATACTAAAGCCAACCAATGCACTTTCCATAATTCTTAACTTATTTAATTATTTAATTTAAAACAAAATAATTGTGTGATATTTATTTTTTTGTGTTTAGTCATAGTTTGAAAAGAAGAAAACGAAAATAAAAAACAAAAACCGGCAAAAAACCAAAACAAAAAGTATGCAAAGTCCATAGACAACTATTAATAGTAAAAAAAAAAACAAAAAAAAATTAGTATACACATTAGTACACAGTTTATGATTTCTGTTAATTGTGTTAGAGTTTATTTTTTCATTGTTTTAAATTATAAAATCTCAAGGCCTAGACACACACACTTCTGAGGGCCCGCAAAGGATTAATTTAAATTTATTTTAGTAGATGAGTTTCATTTGCGAAGGCTAGGGCCCCTCACACGAGGCAACACATGCACGCCTTTTTTCGGGGCTTCTCTACACCACCACCTAAGGACCTAGACGCACGACACGACACTACACGCCCTAACAAATGCTAAGATGTCGCAGCCCAACGAACAGACAAACTTGCCGCACAATCCCAACCAGCCAGCATCCACAGACACACCATCTACACCCACACCCACTCCCACACAAACTCCTCCCACCCCAACACCTTCCACAACAACAAACACAACACCGAATGAGCTGAAACAACGCCTGACGCCATTGAATGTGCGTCGTTTATCAGGCTACGTAAATCCGCAAATGATCAGCGATCATGCTGATGATGAGCCCCCGCCCACAACTATTAATATTGGCCTCTTTAACAATAACAACAATAATAATAACAACAAGAATAATACAAATAATAATAACAACAACAACAACACCGCATCAACAACGCCACCATCTGCATATGCCACTCCACCAATATACCAACAACAGTTGTCCACACTGACAGCAACAACACCGCTAGATGTGGCACCGGATGAAAAATACAGATTGTTTACCATTTTCAATGGAAACGGTGAGTCCAAGAATATCCAGAAGCGAGTGACGGACGTTGTACTTACAACGAGTAGCAAACCGGTGAACTCTCCGTGTAGATAGGGATTATTCGAGTATTGTATGTGGTGCTGGTCACAGTAAACACACAAATAAAAACACCATTTATCGCTTTGTGCTCTCTCTCTCTTTATATTTCTCTATCTTTTGTCTTTAATCTTGTATGCATATATATAGTATATATATATATTTATTTAATAAAATATCTATGTAGGTATACATTTAGATCTGTGAGCTCAGGTTTTCCTTTTTAATTTTGTAAGTGGCTCGCTTTCCTACCCATACATATTTCTAATAGCAATTCTGCAGAGATGGTGAGTGCCAGCATTCGTATAACAAGAATGAGCAGCAAGCGAAAAGAAAAGATACTTTCGTGTACATAGGTCTTTTTTGGGGAGTTTTCACCATTTTGGTCACACTGTTTCGTTTGCTTTACCCATTCCATTCTCTCTCTCTCTCCCTTTCTCTATTTACATATCCTTCCTGAGTTTGTTTATGAAACATTGTTTGATTTTGTACCCATCCATATATATTTATATATTTCATTAATCCCATGCTATATTCGCCCTGGCTTGTGCTTGACTATTTGCGGTTTAAACACATAAAAATGTTCACTAATTATTATCGTGCATGCGCCTCCTCTAACCACGTCTCGGCTTAAAGCTTTGCTTTCTAATATCTTTAATATTTGGATAAAGATTGAGCTCTTAAAAAGCAAAAGCACTCTTTTCAAAAAGGTTGATTTATTATGTTTCGTGAATCATTGAATATATAATTTATGTATATATTAAAAGCTATTTTATCTGGATCTAGATTCTCTACAGAGCATCTTTACCCCAACCTTCCTCCCCCGTCAAAATCCAATTTCTTTTATTAGATATTACGAATCATTTTAAGATACTGTATCAACCGATCAAAGAGTAGTCAATTGTTCTTACTCTCGCAAGCTTTTTTTTTTTTAACAATATCTTAATTGTTATTTTTGCGAGGTTTAATTGTCGCTGTCGATGTCTCGACGGTTGGCGAATTTGTTTATGGACGAACGATTCGCGGTTTATGAACTTGGCCACAAGTCGACACAGAAACCGAAAAGGCAAACAAAATATACGAGAATTCTATTAAAACGAGTTTTTCCTTGGTCGTTTTTTGTTTTAACTTTAAAACGACTCCGCCTGGAGACTGTAAAAAATAAAAATAATTAACAAAAACAGCAAGCGTAAAAACTGTGCAAATTGAAATAAATAAAATACAGAAAATTGGAGACATGTATGTAGACATGTTTATACGGTTAATTTATAGCGATGTTAATTAATAGCTCTTCTAATTGCATAATGCCGCTAAATTTAGATGCATGCCACTCACGCACACTCCAGCACTTAGATTAGTATGTAAGAGAGAGAGATCCGAGCACCTAATCCAATCCGGAGGCCCACTTGTGGAACTCTTAATCTGTGCCCGATCCCAAACTAACTAACCCGCATCGTGCAACCCCTTTTTCTCGTTTCGTTTCTTCCGAATATCCCCACAATTGCATCAAACCCCAGATCCTGACAATGAGAAATTGTCGGGCCTACCACATTCGACAACTGGTTCACTAAGCTCAATCATCACGACGTCCATAGCATCCTCCGAACCGGATCCTGGAGCGGCGAGTGGCGGCGGCAGTGGAGGAGGAGGACCTGGCGGTAATGGGGGCACCGGATCGGGTGCCCTAGTGGCAGCAGATGCCTCCAGTATCGCCGGTATCAATGGCAGTTCCGAGGAGAAACTGGCCCTCAACAGGCCAGGAATCAAGCAGGAAAAGTGGACAACCATCCTGCTGCAGGTTTCCATACCGTTCTTCCTTGCCGGTATTGGAACAATCGGAGCTGGCATTGTGCTGGGACGCGTTGAGGTGAGTTTTCATTTATATAAACAAATAAACAAAAGTGTAAAGATTCCTATTGCCCGCAACAGCCCCTGCTGTGAGCACAGATTGCATTTTTGTCGTGCAAAACAAAAACAATGCTAAGCTGACCTTTTAAGTACCCCAATAACTAACAATTTTTATCTAAATCTAAATGGATAAATTCTTTAAAATTTGAAACTGCAAGGGTATACAAACTTCGGAGTGTTGACATTACCTTCCTTTCTTCTTATAATTGCAGTTATACAAATATAAATAATTCAGTCTCGATTTATGTAGATAAAATCGGGCGAATACAGTTCGAGTTGCCAGAAAAGATCACAAAAAAGAAAATATTCTGTAATCAAAAAGTGGGCGAAAAGGAGTTTCTAATACAAATTACATATTCTAGGATGAGTTACACTCCCCCCAAATGGGAGTACTCTATCAAGTCATTTGCGATGCAGTAATTTTCTTCGCTCATCTACTTACTTTGTAGGTGTCTTTGCGATGAGCTTAGCAAAAATTAAACAGAAAAGTCATCGTAAATTGCATCAAATTAAGTTGTTAAATTGTATAATTGTAAGTGCCCTTAGTGGGATTGCTTGTTTAAAAAGATTTGCACCACGTCAAGCGCGACACACAAAAATCACACTGTTTTGCAATTAACCTTTTTGCTTGTGGGAGCAAATAAAGAAGTTGAATGAATCTAAAACTCAATTCGCTGGCTAGGGATAGGGGCACTACCTTCACATCTTAAATTTCGTTTCTCGTTGAGCGAAAATACGACTCGGTCGACCGACACTAGACGAGCAGATCATGTTATCGGTCGGTAGACAACCGAAAATAGAAGAGACTCATTACAAAAGGTCTTTAGTTATTATCATTAAGATATATTTTTTTACTTTGTCAAACGGAACGTAAGAAAATCAATAAGAACAGATCTTTTTCTATGAAGCTTAATTTTTGGGCTATATTTATTGGGTACGAGAACAATCTGTTATTTTTTCTTTGGTTGTTCTAGTACCCTTATAATTTCAGTCAGAAGCAACGCAGTGAAGGGAATATTTCCGACCCTATAAAGTATATAAAATCTTGATCAACATCAACAGACGAGTCAATCTAGCCATACCCGTCCTTCCGTTTCTATGCAAACTAGTCTTGATTTTAATTTTTCTATTAATTGAAACAGAATGGGTCGATTCTTAATAATCCAATTGCAAACTGCAGGGGTATACAATCTTTGGCCGAAATGTAAGTACTTAACAAAAATAATTTAAAAATAAATAATATTAATATATATTTTTTGGCACTGGAGCTTGACAACAAGTTTGATATATTATATACATTATTTTAGTGTTATTTTCGGGACTATGACACCCATACTCGTATCACACACATAGTTTATTTTATCTGCAATCATTAATAACAATCTGATAAGAGAGTTATATGCAGTTAAGTAAATTAGTCCAATTAGGCGGATAACGAATCTCCACATTTCAACGCCATGCTCATAAATATTCAAGTGCAATCCCAAAATGATGTATTCAGAAATGATTGTTTACTATGATAAGAGGCATTTCGCCTTTCTATAATCGACCTGTTCGAGATTCCAGCAAATATTCCAAGCGTGTGAATAAAACATTAGCCGGACTTAAAGAGCACTCACTTGCCTGGAGTCAAACAAGAGCCCCAGACACTACTATTTTTAAACTTCTACCCCTTCACTGTGTACTCAGTGAATTGGCACAATTCCTTTCAGAATGCTATTTATGGCCGTGAACTCGTATGCTAGATCGTAAATGTCTAACTTTCCCGCTAATTAATGCTATTCCACTGCCAAACTGGAGACTGAGCCAGTTGCAGGCGGCCAACACCCGCAGTTAACCGATATATTTTGGAAATCTTTCGGCCAGCGGGGCTGTGGGTGTGCTGCCCAAGGAAATCCGGATAAAGGCAACTGCACTTAATGAATTTAAGGCATCTTAAAGGCTGTAAATGCCACATATTCGGTTTGTTGTACTCGCAAATTGACTAATAAAGTGTTTGCTTGCACAAAGAATTAACAAAAACCCAAAAACGAGTAACCCGAAGCTAACTGGGAGGTTTAATATGCTTTAATTGTACATGTCAGACAATGCTTTCAAATATTGAGGACGTATTAACGTTTGAAAGTCAGTTATATCTGTGACATTGCAGCTTTTTCCAGCTCCAGAAGAGCTGCTTTGTATCACAGCTATAATAAACAAGAAAGGAAGCTAACTTTGGCATGCCGAAGTTTGTATACCCTTGCAGTTTTCAATTGAATCATTGAGAATCGAGCCATTCTGGTCAAATCAAAGCTTCATTCAGATAGCTTTAAAACTGAGGGACTAGACAGACGGGCATGACTAGATCGACTCGGTTGTTGATGCTGATATATATACTTTATAGGGTGGGAAATGTCTCCTAAACTGCGTTTCATACTTCTGACTGATGTTATAATACCCTGCAGGATATAAAAATATATATTTTGTATTAAATACCCCCCCCTCTTCTTTTAGAAATGGTATGTCTTTAAAAATGTCAGCGAACTGTTTATCCTGGTGCCGGCGCTTTTGGGACTAAAGGGCAACCTGGACATGTGCCTGGCATCCCGTCTTTCCACGCAAGTGAATCTGGGCAACATGACCAGCCGGCAGGGCGTAATACGGATGATCGTAGGCAACATAGCGCTGGTGCAGGTTCAGGCGACCGTGGCCTCCTTTCTGGTAGCCATGTTCGCGGTGAGCGTCGGCGCGGCCATGACCGGCGAGTTCTACTTTGAGAACATGATGCTCCTGACAGCCTCGGCCATGTTCACTGCGACCTCGTCGTGCTTTGTTCTGGGTAGGATTCACATTACCATTCCGTCTCAGTTCGAATGTATTGTAATTCATGCGTTCCCCTTGCAGATTTCGTTTTGGTGGCCGTGATCCTATTCTCGCAGAGGTACCGCCTCAATCCGGATAACTTGGCGACACCGCTGGCCGCCTCCATCGGAGATGTCGTGTCCATCAGTTTGCTGTCCTTCATCGCTTCGTTGCTATACGAGCAAATCAGTAAGTAGGGCCGCTGAAAATACTATCAAATAGGAATCTATTTAGAATACTGACTGACCTACTTTGTAAACAATAATTACGAATGGCTTCCCCACAGAAACGCATCTGTGGATCACCTTCATCGTGGTGTGCTGCTACCTGGTGCTGTTGCCCATGTGGGTAATGATCGTGCTGAGGAACGAGTATACGCGTCCGGTGCTGAAGAGCGGATGGGTGCCGGTGCTCTCGGCCCTCTGCATAAGTGGGTACGTACTGCGCACTGCGCACTCCCAATTCAAACCGTTTCCTACGATCAGGTCGGGCGATGGACTCTATAGCCTAGAGCAGATGATGGGGCAGAAATCAACCAGTCAATTGCTTGCTATATTTAGATATCTAACAATTTTATTAGTGCCAAATCATGTCCAGGTGCTGTGTCCACACAAGCACACTAGCCCGAATATGGGGAGTAAGTAGCCTGGGAAAAAATTCGCACAAATTGTCCCTGACTCGTGTGGGTCAAGCGCGTGTATAATTAGAATTCCAAGTAGGATTACAACTCTGCAGCGTAATTATTTGCCATGACTTGGGGGTTTGCGACACCCAAAACAAGGCTTCAGAAGACTAAAAATAAGAGCCCACTTCAAGCTGCTAAATCAAAGCCAAAGCGGTGGCTTAAATTTTTAGATCCATCAAAGAAGTATTAGAACTGGGAATGAATACTATAATTTAATCGGTAAACAATCTCAAAACTAGTTGAAATCTTACAACAATACATTCATATATACTCCTTTTGAAATGAATTGCCAAACATCAAAACGAAATAAAGTCCTGGAAGGTTAACTGGGATCTAATCTTTTTTGTATACTGGTTAGCAAAATGTTTTTATTATTAAACGCTTTAACCAATACTTTGTACTATTTGCAGGCTGGGTGGCCTGGTGTTGGACGCCGCTGTTGAAGTATTCAAGGGCTTCGTGGTATTCCAGCCTATCATCAATGGAATTGGCGGAAATCTGGTGTCGGTGCAGGCCAGCAAGATATCGACGATGCTGCACCAGAGCTCAATTATTGGCATTATACCACCGCACACGAAGATCTTGGAGTGGCCCTGGAGGGCGCTTTTCAAAGGAGGTAATGTATAGGCCAATTTAAAGCTTATACTATATATATACCATTAAAATCAATAGATAATCATTAAATTACGTGCATTAGATTAGGTGCTCTGATATTAATTGATCGAGAATCAAGACTAACAAGTTGTCTATCGGCTATTCCACAGTTCCCTATGCAAAGACGGCGAGAATACTTATCGCCATGTCAATTCCGGGCAATATTCTGTTCATCTTTGCCGCTGATTATATCAACATGAACACCTCGACGGTCAGCTGGGTCTTTGTGCTGTCCTATCTGACTGCCAGTTTGGTCCAGGTGAGTCTAGAAAATAGTACAGTAAAGTATTCGATCTTAAAAGGGGTTAATGTATTTAATATCTTAAGAATATTGTTTTACATCGGTCATAGCAAAAATGACGCAGTTAGGCATAGTTGAAGGGAGGTCGTTTGGTATTCAATGTATGAGCATCAAACAGTTTTAAGCGCTCTCCTGAAAAGTGCCATTTGGGAAGTCGGTGTCACGATATAACACGATTAATCGGTTTGAAATTTGGAACTAAACATCTTTAACTTATTTTTAATTTTAAATATTTATTAATTTAACAAATGAACTAAACTTTTTGGGGTTTTGACTTTTGGGCATCGGGAAAGAATGTTAAAAATAAAAATGCCACTTTACATTTGCTAATTTTCTTCGTACCGTACCTTCCATCTAAGCTAGACCCTGTTGGGAATCCTAAATGTCGATGCGAAGGCAATACAGTCTAACAGACTAGACCTCGAGTCTGAAAAAACCCTACAATTCTACACAGCATAGGTCGTTGCTAAAAAAACAAATTTCAATATTACTTTTAACACAAAATTGTTTAAATGTTGTGTTGAAAAGTGGCCCGTTTTGCACCGAATGAACCTTACCTTCTATTAATCATTAAGAACTTTATTACCTACATTTCCGTCGTAATGCCCATATGATACACTAATGCAGTTTTCATTAATTAGCTACTTCATTAGAACCTTGAAAGAGACCACTATATGTGTAATTTTGTGTAATTTGGCTTGAATTTTGCTTGGATTATTTTGGTAATACGACTACGGTCACACCGACCGTAAAAGGTAAACAAAAAAAAAACGGCCGCCATTCGAGGCGTATTACTATGAATTTCTGAATTCCTCGTCGAAGTATTCTTGCATAAATAAATGCAGAATCCTTTAAATTTATGTTTTTAACGTATAATGCTTAAATTTTTTTTAATTATTACCAAAAAAAATGTTTATATTAATTTTACAGCGTAAGAACCATGCCCTCGCAAAACATATTATTTTTCCTAATTTTCTTATATTTTTTCAGTTCAAAAAACCAGCGAAATGATATAAAAATAAAATTCTCATTGTGAGACCATACTGTCAATGAGCTGGCTAATACATTTTTCAATTACAATTTTCTTCATTAAACCCGTATTTTGTTATCGAGTATCTAGTATATAATATGTAGATCTATCGATTATCGCGTCAATGAAGTAGCTAATGCATTATTCTAATGCATTAGAGCGCAATATAGTCGTCTTGCTCGCACTTGTGTAAAACGCAATAGCGCTGTCAAATCTTTAATGAAGTCTCTAATTAATGCGGCAGTGTCATGCCAGTATAATTATTGTTAATTCGGCGTCAAGCTATCAGGGCTTAATGACACTTGTCACTCTTATTCCATTGAGCTGCTATAGCACTTAATGGCACAACTTTGTAATACAACTTCTCTAATGAAAGACATTTAGGAAATCGAATTTAAAGTGCTTTGGCATTTGTCTTTGCCCATATTCTAATGGTTTGTTATGACTTCAGGTGATGCTGCTGCTGTACATTGCCCACATCATCGTGCACGCGATGTGGAAGTGGAAGATCGATCCGGATAACTCGGCCATTCCCTACCTAACGGCCCTGGGCGATCTGTTGGGCAGCAGCCTACTGGCGGTGGCGTGGATCTTTACAATGTCCGTAGGCATGGAGTACGGCGCCGGGATGGAGACCCTCAATGCACCCAACTAAAGTCCAGGCTAGCTAACACCACTTAGAACTAGTTGATGGGTCAAGCGTAAGCTGTACAACGCTAAGCGATAAACCAAGAAGGCAGCCACACCACAAACACAATATAAAGAACTGTTATGTACCTTAAAGAAATATATAGAAACATAGAAACAGAACGTATATAGCCTCCCGATTACCAGTTCCCAGTCCCAGTCCCCGCACAAACCGGAACCGGACGTCAACTAATTTCTAATGAAGCGTGAGATCCTTTTACATTGTGTCCTTCTTCACATGGCTTTTGCTTGTGTTCCTTTTGCTCTACCGAAAACGTATGTATGATATATAATATATCACATAAATGTCGATTTGCAGGCGTTCTGCGTCATATTTTTTAAGGCTTTTAGGACAATATTATACACATTTGAAACAAATATATATATATATACAATATATATGTACATGTATAGGAAGAAGAGCAGACGAAGAAAACCGATAATAAAACGTAGGCGGTTCTTGGTAGATATTCTTTCGTTTTTTTTTTTTACCATAAGCAGCCAAAAATACTAATTATCATAAATCGAACCTACTTAATTCCTTAATTTACAAACCAATTGTGTAGTATTAGCCAAGATTTGATTTTTGCAAGTCTCGCTTCCATTTCGTGAATGTATTTTTATAAATATTATTATTTGTCTGGTGTCTCATTGTCCCCTTCCCTTTCCCTTTCCTTACCTTACCCACTTCCCCGAACCCCACTTCTGCTTGGTGAATTTAAAGAGAAGCAATAATTACAACTAAAAAATAAACTCTATTTATTATTGCAAGCACTCGATGATAGTAGAGGGAGACGATGATTAAATGTGTCTTTTATTTGTATATTGTATAGATATTTTTAAGTTCAAAACCGTGTTAAGTTCTTAAGTCCTTGAAGCGAGGAATATTGTAGGGCCCGCAGGACAGAAGGAGTTTGTACGTTCTGCAACAAAAGTGAACAGGGAATAAAAACGATGAGAATGAGAGACGTTCTGAAAGGAAATGTGATCGATATTTAGAAATAATAATACAACTAATAATATTAATTATAAACTGAAAAACGGAAAACCAGTAAACAAAATAGAATTAATATTGTGTAATACTTGAAACAATAATACCAATTAAATAAATATGTTGGAATAAACAGAAGAAAAAGAAATCCGTTCATAAGCCGAAAGCCTATTTTATTTATGCCCCATCAAAAGAGGTACGTATGTCATTTTTTTAGCACACGTGTGGAAAATTGACAACCCAGCAGACAAAACCTTCGTTTATGATATTGAAAACGATAGACTTGTGGGTTTCAAGCGGACAAAACGTCCGATTCAGGCTCACAAACGATAATAAAGTATAATACAATTTTCGGAATCCGAATAAGGTTTCGATTGCGGACCTTTTCCGACATTAGTGAGTATAATCCTGAGAATTTGCGATACTCGTTCGCTATTCGTCCGTTTGAGCGTCCATTTTTGAGCATTTAGCGAAACTAATGCGGAAAGTCCAATTCTTTGTCCGTATTTAATATTTTTAGGGGACATTTTTCGGATCCATCCTCACTAATTCCGGGCTTTGTCTGCTGGGAATATTATTTTATTAACAAAATGTTACAAAACTTTGACCACAGATTTTGATGAACAAAAATTGAACGAATTGGAGAAAGAGTTACAGGTAAAAAAAAATGTACGCTTTTTTGGTTAAAATATCTTTAAAACCTGAGGTAATGGGGATTTTTAGAGGTGGGATTCGAGTTCAGCGCTTGAAATACCCTCAGAATAGTATATTCAGATTACTTTGTCGACCTGTTTTATATTATAAATCCAGGGAGAAGAAAAACTTTAAACTTAAAAGTGTAAATGAAAATGTATAGGTGAATATATCATATAACTTTGTTCTTGTTTTGACACATAAGCTTATACCTTGAGGTATAGATATTTTATATAAATTTGTCCTTTTTTTTTACAAATTTAAAATCTTTTAAATTTATTAAAATCGATTTACTTCATTACATATCTTGTAGTTACCGGTCCCGAACGTAGAATTTTTCCCAACTCACGTTTTCCTCTAAATATTGGGTGTACAAGTAGAAAACCGCCGTTTTTTTTTCATAATTTTATTCCCAAGCTTTTTAGGCGAAGGGAAATTGATTTCTGAGTCACACCCAAGGAATCCGCGAGTTCTTGTTGTGTCTGACAAGAATCTTCATCCAGCAGAGCCTACAAACTTTTTCACAGGACGCGGTCGATCCTTGTCTTCCACGTCATACTCGCCATTTTTAAACTTCTCGACACGTTCCTTTTACTTATACACGACTCATCATAAGTTTCTACGATCATTCGACGCGCTTCAGCTGCCGATTTTTTCGAATTGAACGCGAAAAGCTTATTCGGTTCGAATTTCGACATTTTCGTGCACCAACAAAATGATCGACAATAAGAATACACGAACGAGACAATGTAGAGTTGTTGACCGATATTTAAGCTCGCCATTTGGCGTTCCCCATCAAAATTTCTCACCGTTTTGTGAAGATGGCACAACCTACCTAGTCGAAAACGGCGGTTTTCTACTTGTACACCCAATAACTTTAAACATAGTCTCCTGTTCTTAATGGGTTGAAATAAAGAGTTTTGATAGAAAAGTGCAAGCATATATGTACATATATATTGTTTGCATGCGAAATAATTAAATATAAAAATGATCTAAAAGCAGCTGAAAGTAAAAAAAAAAAGTATTTTCAAAAATCGTGAAAATTTTCTTCTACATTGTAGAATAAATAATAATAAATAATAAATTGTAATATAAAAATATGCATAACTTTATTATCTTTCAACATATTCGCAAATCATCTAGAAATTTAAATGTAGAACGGTAAATGCAAAGGTGAATATTATATTATTTTAAATTATTTTAAACAAATGTAAAAGAATAGAACCTGAGATAATGTTATGTAATTAACCATATTTTACTACAACCTACGCAAAAAAATTTCTAACTTTTTTTGTGTTTCCTTGGTCCTCATATAAATGGGAAACTAAATTTATATAAGAACATAGAAAAAACAATAAAAAGTTAGTCATTTTCAAAACGTTTCATATTTCTCCTTGTAGGTTTCTTCATTTCATTTAATCGAAACGAATCGGGTTTTAATGATTCAATTTTAAATTGCAAGAATATAAACACACTTCTGCGCTATAAAGTTAGCTGCCTTACAAGACAAAAAATAATTTCATGTAGAAACTCAGCTACAGACTTCAACAACTTATTCAAAAGCTGTTTACTATGCGGCTTTAGCCCTCAACACGCACATTTTTATAGTTAAATGATAATAGCTGTGTGAATAATATTTACCGTAAATAATTGATTATCAATGTTTTCTTTAAGGGGGTCTTCTCATTGGGCAACTTTTTTTTCGATTTTTTTTTTTGCATTTATTTATAGCTTTGGATGCTGTGTATATGTCGCCAAAAGGATTTTTAGAAATTCGAAATACTTTAGAAGATACAGCCTTTTTTGTGAAGCAAGGTCTATGCAAAATGAGCTTTTTTTAAACTTCTAACGCGTTTATCTCGAAACCACGTTTTTCGAACTGGCGGCCATGATATCTCCAGTTCAACTGAACCGATTTTCATGAAACAAAGTGGAATCGACGCAGAATTGTCACCATTCTCGGGTGACGGAACAGATTAAAAAAAATTTTTTTTTATTTTTTTTTTTTTACACTAAACTACAAAAAAAAGCCCGAAATCGAAATTTTTTTTTTGAATGGCCGCCATTTTGTTTAAAAAAAATTTTTTAAAAATCTGTTCCGTCACCCGAAAATGACATCTATTCTGATTATAACCCCGTTTTTTTTTTTTCATTTCGGACGCTCTGGAGACCCTGAATCGTGGCCGCCAGGACGACACATTTTTTTTCGACCACCAAGTTTGAAGTCTCATTACTCTTTGAACAACCCTCGTATCGAGGCAAGAACAACTTTTTTAGTTACTTTGAACATTTTTGAATACAATAAATAAAAAAAGTTTTCAATTATTTTTTGCGTTTTCAAATAAGAATTTTTTTAAAAAGGGTCCAAAAAACGGCTTTTGAATGAGAAGACCCTCTTAAACAAAAAAAACATCATCCACTTGGAAAAGAAAAAAATAATTGCTGAAATTTAGATTTTTATATATAAATTCAATTTAAATTATTTGTTTGAGTTTTATTTAATCGCTCAAATAATAATTATCATTATTTTGAAGACAAAAAGTAACACTCAAAAATAAATATTTAAAATTTTTGGCTTAGAATTTCGTTCAAACTGCAATATTTTCTCTTTAAGAGGTTTCTTTGACAAAAATTGTTATGTATTTTTGAATAAACCACTTAGGAAGAAGATAAAGAAGCACTTTGAACGAAATTCTGATCCTAAAAACATCATTATTTTTTTAGTGTCAAAATAATAATTATTCTTTGAGCGATTAAGTAAATCTAAAATTATAATTATTAAAGGTAAGCAACTAAAATCAATCGATAATCAGTACTCAAAATCAATCAAAACTCACTCATAATGATCACGTGACCTGGCAAATACATATTTCCAAAGAAAACGAATTGTCTGTTTATTTCATTTGCAATTTAAACTGTATTAGGTTTGGGTACATACATACATAAGGTAAAAAGAGCGGCATTGAAAATCTTTCGTGGACTTGGCTGGCGAGAGGCAAGGGCGACGACAACTTCCATATGACTTTGCAGGTTTGCTCATTGCCACAAGGATTAAGCCTTGCCATTGCCTACATTTTTGGATAACAAATTGCACTTGGAACGGTTTAGTTTCACATAGATGTGGTGGGGGGGGGGGGCGGCAAGGATGCATACACATACATAAATACATATATTAATTGTAAATAACATTAACTTTTGGCCAATTGTTTTGGGTTAAAAAAGAGCAAGAGGGAAGAAGAGAGGGACAGTGGTGGAGAAATTCAACACTGCGCCTGAGACCGATACATTCAGATGCGTAATAAATAATTATGAAGTAGCTTATAGATCGATTTTATACAATGCTGCTGCCATCGACGGCGTCGCGTTCTCAGACAATGAAGACATCGCCACTGCTGTGCTCCACTGCTGAGGTGGCCATGTCGCCGCTACAGCCTGGGCGACCACCGGCCTGCTGCTGCGAAGTGGCCGAGATCTTGGATTCCGCCTGCGGTTGATTCTTGTCCAGCAGCTCCGCCTCGTGGCCGATCTCCACGATGCCCTGCGGCTGCTGCCTCCAGGCGAGATCACGCGATTCGTGCGATTCGGGAGCGTCGTCCTGACCCGACAGGTGTATGCTGACCCCGGCCACATCCAAGTCGTCACCGTTCTTGTGGTTTTGGAATGTCACCGAGATTTCATGGGCTGCTGCTGCTCCCTCGTTGGCCTCGCCGCCACCTCCCTCCGGGTCATTTGAATTGTTTGCTGTGGGCGTGGCGGCATTAGCATTCGTCGGTTGCGTTGTTATCGATGACCACCAGCTGGAGATGGCGCCCTTGGCCTGCGAGATGGCACCGCCGACCGCCCGACTTGTGTTGTTCACCGCCTGGTTGATCTTCCGCCCGCTCTCGCTGTTCTGCATCGTTCTACGAAAGGCGTGGCACACAGTTTGAGTTTGCTTCAAAATGAGACAAGGACAAGGACAGGGCTGGCTGCTACTCACTGTGCTAGTTTCAGCTTCATGTCCGCGACAGACAAGGTTCCTGCAAAGGGATGACCTGCGGGCAGGGCGTCGAAGAAGTCCGGGTCGGGCCGCACATCATACCACTCCTGAAAGCATTGGGTCCGCTTGAAGGCAGCCATGAAGTGGCTGTTGAAGTGATCGTTGTCCTTTGGCGTAACATCTACGAAGGATATGCAAAGATAACCCGGAATCATTCTCGAAAAGTTCGTTTGGTGAGTTAGTAACCCACTTTCACATTTTACAGATGCTTCCAACGAATACTTTTGTGACCCACTGTACCTCAACTGAGAGCACTCCATCGAAAAAAAAAGACAGAAAAAGGCTCACCTGGCGCCACTGCAGTGCGAAGCAGGGCCAGTATGTATCCCTGAAACTGCTCCCGGATCCAGTACTCGCTGCCCTCCGCATCCTCCTTGGGCGCCTGCACGTGCTTCATTATGTAGTCCATGTAGCGAAGGTCCTCGGTGCTTAGCACCAGCTGACGTCGAAGCTCCGGGTCGTGGGCATCCAGGCTGGCCGCCTCAATGCCCACCAGGACGTCAGCCAGCTGACGCTTCTGCTGGAAGAGGACGTTAGAGGTGCCGATGATGTAGGAGAGCACCATTGGATCGCTGAGCAGATCCATGTACGGCAGCGACAGATACGGCAGGCAGAGATTGCCGCTGGCGAAGATGCTAACCGGGGCGCGGTACTCATCCGGGTTGACCAGGCACAAGGCGGCGAGGTTAGCTGCATGTAAATACATTCTTTAACTTTAGCTACTTATAAGGAAGACCTCAAAACAAAGGATCTCAAAGAACTGCAGTCTTAACCCTCTAGGCACTATTCACAATTCCAATTCTTTCTGGAAAGCGGCACTAGAGGGTTAAAGACAGAGCTCCGGAATAACTGCGAAGCAATCCGTTTAGATGGGGCGCATGGGGACATGCCTTGCTTGGGTAATTCAATGTTCAGCTACTCACACGCCAGTGTATCCACGCTGGCCTCCCGTGTCAGCGATATACTCCGCTCGTTCGAGGAGCCGGGAAAGTTAGACGAGTCCTGCGACTGTGAGTTGGGCGTGGAGTGCGACGAGGTGTCATCGCCACTGCCCTGCTCCTCGCCCACAGACGCGGCGGACGAGACGAGCGCCAGTTCCTCCGCCTCGCCCTCAAGGGCCGTGGCGCTGTCCGGCGTTAATTTCTGCTCCTCCAGCAGGGCAGACGGTGCGCCTGCCGACGGCGATGAAATGGCGGCTCCCAGTTTGGCCTCCGCCTGAGCTTCCCGCTGCAGGGAGTCTGTGAAGTCGGGCATAGGCGACAGGGGACGGGAGGTGCGGACGCAGGCCACCTCCTGGAAGCCCTTCTCAAGCAGACGCGGCACCAGCGAGGCCATGCCCAGGATTAGCACGCACATGCCGCGCACGGGCGAACCGAAGCACACCACACGGCGCTGCAGCAGGAGGAGTTTGAACAGCATGAGGGTCTTGTGGCGCCAGTGAAGCACTATCTCCCGCAGCGACAGGCCGACATGGAAGTGGCGCAGCGGGCGACGCGACTCATCGTCCAGCAGGCAGGCGTTCAGCTGCTGATAGGCCTTCACCAGCAGCTCCGTGCAAGAGAAGTCTCCCTGGTCGAAGAAGGCGTCGGCGATCAGCGACAGCTTCACCTCTATGTAGCCGTAGATGGGCAGGCGGGCCAATATGCAGACGGACTTCTGCACCGTGCTGCGCGTGACGTCGGCCGTGCGGATCTTGAGCCGTTCCACGGGTATCTGGCGGTAGCAGGACACGCCGTAAATGCTTTCGGCAGGCTCGAAGAGGCTGGGCAGATTGAAGAAGACCGTGTCCTCGACAAAGTTGTGCGAACCGTCTGGCAGAGCCAGCGTGGGCAGGTACTTCCAGCCGGAGGGGCACTCGTGGCGGCCCGTGGAGCCGGAAACAAGCGGTGGATGCGAAAACTCCACCTGGCAACCCAGCTTGTGGTGAAAGCCCACCACCAGGATGTGCAGGATGGGCGGCTTGTTTTCCGGCTCGCTGGTGCGCTCCATCCTGGCTCCAAAATCCCCCTCCACTTTCTTTGACGCAACGCAATTGTTATTGTTTACACCCCTCCCTTTGTCGCACTTTTTTCCGCAATTTTCCCCGAACTCCTCTGTCTGCGTCTGCGTTCGTTCTTGTACTCTTGCATCGGCGGCAGCAGCAGGTACTTCGCTCGGTTTCTTCTCTTCCAACTCGTAGTGTTTGTTAAACTATTTCCATAAATGTTTAATAAACACGAATAAATTCAATTGGTTTCGAGAATCTATAGTATTAGCGATGGTACATATCTATCGATAGCTGGCTTATTCGATTGCACGGCTCCCCGCTAGAGCTGGTAATAAATCGATTTGCAGTAAATCGATTATAATCGAATAAAATCGAAAACAAAATTTAAATTATGTATGGATTCGCAGCATAAACTTATAATTTTATAATACTTTAATTATTTCAAATATTTCATCATTTTTACCCCTCAGACTGCAGACTAGCTTAATTTTTTAAGAGTGCTAAAATGTATATTATTTCTTCAATTATTTCTTTTAAAGCAACGAAAAGCATTGATTACACTGAATTTTCAGCATTAGGAAGGACTACCAACTCTAAATTTCCAACATTACTGTCTAGTGCGTTTTTACAATTTTCATATTTAAACTAAGCAGTTGTAGTTTAAAAAAACCTTATCTTGTACACCTTATTATAATATTTCACAGGTCCAAGGTCCGTTGTAGAAAAATGCAAGCTGCTCGACTCCAAAGTTCATATACCCTAGTGGGTATAATTATGTTGATGAAATCTTTTTGTGACTATTATTTCCTAATTTTTCCTAATATCGTTACATAACGGTGCTACGAATATGGAGAAAAGAAATTATTTATTTTTAGTTTAAAAGATCGGCCTTTGCTAAGGAGCATATCAACAAGCCAAAGGAGTTCTGGAAGAGCGTTCTGTGGACCGATGAAAGCTCTTTTGAGTATAAATCATCAAAAAATATGGTACAAAGACTCGGAGCCTTGGTTCCTATAACTGGATCGATGAACCAAGGGCAATGTCTTAGCACCCTAAATGATCATTCCTTTCCTTGCGGTGATAGACTTATTGGGAAATCATTTATCCTGCAACAGGACAATGCCCCATACCACAACACTACATTTTTGAATGATGTTGGTGTTAACACTTTACACTGGCCACCTCAAAGTCCCAATTAAAGTATAGAAAACGTGTGGTCTCTTTTAAAACGAAGGAGAGAATTTTGCTTAATTAAAACTAGAGATGAAGCTATTTCTGAGGTCACTTCCCTGTGGGAAGAGATATCTCCAAAAATAATTCAAAATTTAGTGGATTAATTTTAAAGACGACTCCAAAAAGTACTTGAATCCCAAAGAGGGTATACATTTTACTAAATTCTCAAAAAATGTTGTACCATTGTTAAATAAATACTCAGATTCTTAAATCTGGAATACTTGTAAAAATACTTATGCCAACACATGCAATTACAAATAAATTTATATCTTCTAAGGTTTCCATGAAAATATATTTCTTTACGTATTTGTAAGTTTACCATTTTCAAGTTAAGTTCGTCAAAATAATTATGCCAACCAGTGTACATATTTAAGTAAATACATTTGAAGTTACACGCATAACTATACCGACAAGTCAGACTCAACGATTTTCCGTTTTTCCAAAAAAAAATTTGTTTTAAAAGTCAATGACCAGGATTTCTCTGAATCGGCTGAAAAGAGTAGTCAAAATTTTGTACAGGTCTCTGAACGTATATTTATGTTATATATTATTTTTAAGTTTATTGAATCGAAGCCTATCAGTTTCCAAAATTAAGCCTATTTAATATTTAAACTATATGAACCTCTCAACTGCAACATCAAAGCGCATCAATATTAATGGATTCTAAAACAAAGTACAATTGGAATTTATTTTCAACGACATTAGTAAAGCATTTGACGCAGTCAATCATTTTGTACTTATTAAACTCCTATTGTTAGGTTTTTCGAATAAGATGTCTACGTAATAAATGCATACTTATACGAAATGAAGGAGTTTTAATTAACAACATTGTCTATCGAGTTGTAGGGTGTACCCCAAGGCAATCACGCCATTTTATTCACAATTCACAGGCCCTGATGATGTCAAACTTTGTTTCCCTCTTAAGAGATCCCATCTTGCAATTTTAGGAATACTTAAACCACACTGGAATAAAGCCCGAGTATCCCTAATATAATTAGCAGTAGAAAGACTTTGCCCCCTAAAATATGTCCTCTCTTTGGATCGAGGAACTTGCTAACGAATGGGGAACAGCTTAAACAACTTATGCCCAGATCGACCAAAGGGTAGGGTCAGACCGTCACGAAAATTCTGGGCCATATTTCCAGACATATCGAGCACGTGTTCTATGATCGCATTACACTAATTGTATAGTCAATTTCCCTCAGACTGTATCACTGTTGCCCAAACCGTATGTCAGCTTTTTCTTTTAAATGGATTAGAATTGGATTAATAATGTATTTTGTATATATATTGACAGATATTTGCCAATGCATACAAATAATTGTTATAGGAAATCTAAGAAATGCCCTTTAGTTCCGTGAAGAACAAAAAAAAAACAAAACAGAGTACCAAATAACTAGAAAAAAACAATTGTAATCGCAATATTTAAAAAGATACTAAGCAAGTCGGTCAATTGTAATAAGGTATCTTCTTTATTTTGTGAGAGCTCCATTTTAATATCAATCATAACTCCGATATCTGCGCCATCAGGGTGAAGCCATTCACCCTGCCATGCGTGTAATATTTAGATATATATAGCGTATATATAGCATTCTTCCATTAATTATTGTTTAACTATGAAAACCAATGCGTTCTACCTTGGGTGCAGGAGAGTCAAAAGAATGTCCAACATAGAGACACTGGGTCATCATTCCATGTAGCCCATTTGGGAGTCTGTGGTGCCGCCGAGGTTCCGACGCGAGTAGAGTCCCTGACGCGGCTTGAACTTACCATCGCCCAGCGTTACCTTGTCCGGCATCTTTTTGCCCCGAAAAGTAGCAGATTCGAAGGATGGCGGCGGAGATATCTTTACCTGTTTCATCTGCTCCGCCGGAGGAATGTGCCAAGCCTGCTTCATGGTGGCCACCGCACTGGGCGGACCCGTTGAGGAGGTGTCGCCGCCGCCCTCGTTGCCATCGTTCCCGTCCACTGGCCTAACCAGCGTGATGGGCGGCTCCAGCTTGTTCGTCTTCCTTTTGTAGTAGAGCACCTCCATACCGAGGGTCATCATGGCCAGAATGAGGCCGAAGAGGGTGGCGATGAATACGCCGCCGAGACTCTCCAACGTAATGCCCTCTTGGTCCTCGGACAGCGGGCAATTGCGCAGATTCGACTGATTCCAGTACTTGGCCTTTAGCTCCTCGAAGAAACGATCCTTCTGCAGTTCCAGGATGGCGTAGCTCAGCTCGTCGCCCAGGTGGCTGCCCTGCTGGACGGCCACCGCATAAGGTTGCTCCGCGAACACCTCGCCCACCTCAGTGAGATTGCAGTTGCGTGTGATCTCGTATTTGATCTCCGCCGAGTCGTGGATGAAGGCGTAGTCGGCGTTCTCATGGGCGTCCACGTTTGCGAATCCCTCGCGGGCATCGACCACCGGCTGCGAGCTGTTGATGGCCAGCAGTATGTGGCCGTACTGCTCCTTGATGGGGTAGTCCCATATGCGAAACTTCTTGAAGTCCTTGGAGGCGTTCAGCGCCAGCTCTTTCCACATACGATACAGCGTGTCCTCAGCGAACTTCATGTTCACGAAATACTGATGCGTGTCGGAGTCCTTCACCACGGTGTAGTTGATCCTTGACTGTCGAGCTAGCTGCTCCAGGGACTGAACCGGCGTCTGCATCCGCTCAACGGTAAGAAAGGCCGCCAAGTTCGCGGTGAAGGTGGCCAGCATGAGGACGACGAATAGCCAGTAGGCGGCTACCAGCATCCGCCCTGAGATGGCCTTCGGAGCCTCCCCGCCACCTTGCGGCGTGAACGAGGTCAAAGCAAACCAGAAGCTCTCGCGAAGCGTAAAGTCCCGACAGGCGTAAGGATAGGCTGCCCTGTTGTTCTTGGAGCTGTATGGCGAATATTTGTCCATGAACCATATCATGATGGCCGTGCCCACCAAGGCGGCCACGATGCTCAGCCAGACCTCCACGCGCAGCACGGTCATGAACTTGAAGAGCGACGTCCGTCGCACCGGCTTCCTAATCGCTATCGATATGCCCGTCTGCTCGAAATACGGCGGCAGGAAGTCCACCACCTCTTCCCGCTCCGAGTACATCTTCAGGGCTGCGATGGCAAAGTCCGTTTCGCCGCGTACCAGATCCCCGACCACGCCATCCCACTCGCCGAACTCGTTCACCTCGCCCATGTGTCCCACCTCAGGCGCCACTATGGCGTACTCAAAGTTTAGCTTCTGCGCCAGCCGCACGATAAAATCGATGCAGTAACCTTCCCAAATGGGCGAACCGCTCCGATCCCGTACCAGTTCACCCGTCTTTGGGTTGCGACGCAGGTAGCTCCACGGCACGCTCTCCGCCGTCCCGATCCTGAAGAACCGACGCGCCGGACTAATCGTCTCGTTGAGCAGCCGCATCCGGCTCCCTGACGATGACCAGGCGGCCAGATCTGTCTTCGCCTCGTGTTCGGAACTGTAATAACCAGCGGAGATATTAACTGCGTAACTTAAACCTGGAACCGGGATCTGTGTCTTGTCTAGAAGCTGCTGAACGGGCGACGCGTAGGTCAGAAAGTTGCTCCAGTGCACATAGTCCAGCCAGGTTGTGTCGGCTTCCGATACAGGATCTTCTTTCTCCGCGGACAAGTCAGAGTCTGTGGCATTGCAGTCTTGGTAGACGACGTCCGGGCGTATTGCCTGGGCCGTTTCAATCAGGCTGCGCATCACATTCAGCAACATGCCGCGCTGCATCTGGAGGGGATTTTAAATAGGCAAATGGCGGTGTAAGATCAGGAAAAGAAGGGCAGCATACGCACCGTGAAGCCACTGCCGCAGTACAGATCTGGCATGCTCATCGATCGGCAAATCGCACGCGGACTCAGGGTGAATCGCGTGCACAGCTCCGCCTGACGCTTGTACTTGAACACCCGGTCCCGCGTGTCGAGAAACACAAAGTGCCATTCGAGAGATCGCTGGAAAAGTCCAGCCTTTTGCACCTGTCAGATGTCATGATAAAATAGAGAAAAGAAGAACGATGCGGTTACTCCCAAAGTCAACATACCTTTTCAAAGAGCCCATTCATGGCGGCGCCGCGGGCAAATAACGCTACGTAGGTGGGCGATGGACGCAGCGCTCGAATGCGCTCCACGAAATTCTGCCCGGGATCGGACGCACTGGCGTCCATGATAATCGTGCGGAAGGGATAGCCGCTGAGCATCTGCTGCATAGCCTCGCTCATATCGCGAGCGTTAATGAAGACCATGGCCACATTGTTGGCGCGCTTCTGGCGCATGAAGTCACCAAACATGTCGAGAAAGGGGCGCAGAATGCGTTCCAGGCGCACATAGGGAATGCCCAAGGAGCGAACCAAACCATAGCCTTCGGACCAGTGCTTGTAGGTGAGATCGATGACTACGTTGGTGCCGACGGTGGACAGAATCTCACAGACTGGCCAAAGAACATAGAAAAATAATAAAATGAGAGCCTTTTTGAGACAATTCATGACGGATATGTATGTCCCAGGGCTTTCACAGAGCTTCTAGGGTAACATATTGCTATTTATGGTAAAGATACCTAATAAGTATCAATTCTAGGATTTTTTAGTTGGCATCCAGCAGTGATTCTCCTACTCTCGTTCTTAGTTAGGAGTAACCAAAGACACCACAAGTTTAAGTTTCTTGAAATTTTGTTATAAGTTTGGAGTGCAAAACTTTTTCTTTTAACAAATGTAAGCTGTTCTTTTACTTATACCGTCTCTGGAGAATTCTACTTACATCGCTGCATGTCCTGGCCATCCTCAGTCCGCGTCAAAGTCATGGACACATCGTCCACCTTCAAATCGAGTGGCATGGCTCCGAGCTCCTTGAGGACCACTGCCATGTCTGCATCGAACTCCGGCCGCTGCACCGGCTCAATCCAAAATGCTATTAGGAGTAATCAGAAATTTATCTCTCAATCGAGGCGAATTTCCAAGAACACCCACTTATTTTGAGCATCGCCGCGTCGGCAGTCGAGTGGCCGAATAGGAGCAGCAGCACCAGTAGTTCCAGCAGCTCCATGTTCCAACCGATTGCGTCGAGTTCCCACCGGGATTTGAGTCCTGGCATCGAACAGGAGTTGCTCAATTTGCTGGCCAATTATGTCAATTATAATTCGCGTGCTATGCCCATCAATGGACAGTATAAATTTTTCAGCAACTGGAAATGACAGCCGTCTCCGAGGAGCCTCACTCCCCATACCCCATTTCCCATTTCCCATTCCAAATTCCAATACCCAAGTAAAGTCAAGTTGAAATATTGGCTTCGGTTATTTCCTTATATTCAGTTCATCCAATGTAGTAAAAAAAAAATAATAAAGGAAACACTCGTACATCGGTTTTTGTTCTAAAGGCCTTACAGATAGGAGAGGGAGAAAAAAACGGCGCTTAATAGGTAAATCAATATACATTTAAATCAATATACAGCGCTATATATTCTGATATATATATATATATGTAATATATGAATAATGAAAACATAACTTAGCGATTTATCTGGTAAATTCTTCTGAGAATGTTGTGTGCACAGGATGTACTGCTTCGTCTCAATCTTGGCTTACGACGAAAATAAATAAATAAAAAATTAATGATATCGATTCTTTAGCGATCCCCGAGACCAGTCACTGGGCCCCAAGGTTGCCAGGTGGCAGGTTGCATGAGTAAAATGATGGCTTAATTATAAACGATGTTAATTCACTTGATGTTTCGACTGATTGCCTAGGCTTATCTCTAACGGGGAGCTCCAATCAGGTGCCGTGAAGGTGGGACAGTATCGACTCAATGTCCTCAATCTCCACCGTGTGGTTCTCGCCCAGCGGCTCCCTTAACAGGTCTGGCTGACCCTCCTGCCGATTATCGACTCCGACTATGCTGCTTCTGATTGCCTTCTTTGGAGTTGTGTTGCTGTGGGAAAAAAGAAAATCGATATATTTATATTGAATGCATTTCTTTCCGATCTTCTAGGTTAGAAAACAACGAATAAAAAACAAGGGAGGATTATGAAAATAAAATAATTTTAGAATCAAACATAAACCTTTTATCAATGATTAATATTAATGTGAGGTGAGCACATCGAAAACTATAGAAAAATATAATCAATGATTGATGAAATCTAGATTTTTATATATTAAACCAATTTCAATTATTCATTTTTTAGGTTTACTTCATCGCTCAAAACCAGTGCTTGCAAATAACTGTCGACCGTTTCTCGTTATCTGCAAATAAGTGTCTCTCTCTGACTCTTTACGAAAAGAGCCAGAGAGCGACCGTTTTATGGGTTCTTGAATGAGCTCGCTCAGAGCGAAACCTTTTTTTCTATTCTGTTTTGTTTCGGTTGTTCCAAGACCGTTTTGTCGTGTTCAATGAAGAAAAAAGTGTTTTGCGTATGTGTTGGTATACATTCACACGCATAACATTAAATTGTTCTATTAATCAAATTGTATTATGTATTTGCATATGTATTGGTATACATTAACAAGCGTTCGTTTTGCAGACGAAATATGTTAATTGCAACAACAACGAAAGTAAATGTGAAGACAGTTTGAGCTGTGTTTTTCGGTCAATCGGTCTTTTGCTGACTCTCTTTGTGCGAGCGTTTCTCGTTCCGCTCTTTACGCACTGCTCATTGAACGACCGAAATAAAAAGAGCTCAACGAAAAGCGCCTAACAGAAAACAGAAATGAAGACAGCAAAACTCTCTTGCTCAGAGCGAGAGCGAGAGAGTATGAACGAAAGCAAAAGAAAAAAAAAACGGTCGACAGTTATTTGCAAGCTATGCTCAAAACATAATGATAATAAAATAATGATAATCATTATTTTTTTAACAATATTTTTCGCTCAGAATTGCGTTCAATGTGTAATATCTTCTTTCTAATATAATTATTATAACAATTATTCTTTGAACGAGTAAGTAAATATAAAATTATAATTTTTAATGGCAAGTAAGATATATTAAAATCAATATTTTATTCTTCTTTTCGCTTATAATGATTACGTGCCCTGCCTTTGAGCTGGTGTAGTTTTGGTTCCTTTTTTCCCCTCTCAAGGCGAAAAGAAGAAGGAAAGTTGGTATTGGTATTCAGTACTACTTACATGGCAGCCACTTCCAGATCATTGTCATCCTGCGGCAATGGTTCCGTCCCCGATGCTGGCGGCGGCTTGTCCGCCAACGGCGTGGATGTGGCCGAGGGCCGAATGCTCACTCCACTCGTGCCGGCACCACTCGCACTTGCACTTGCACTTGGCCCGGGCGCCGATGCGCCACTATTGCTGGTCAGACGCCGTATCCGCTTCTTGGGTATGTTGCGAATGGCTCCAGCCAGCGGTTGCCCCAGATGAAGCACCTGGGCACTTGCCATGCGCATCGTGTGCAGCTGGTCGTCCCCTGTCATCAGCCGCAGCTGGTAGTTCCTGAAATAGGACGCCGATGGACGTGTCCCCGAATTACTGGCCTTGGGTCCATGGTCAGCGTAGGAAAAGTGGAAGGTGCAGCTCTCCCGGCTGCTGCTCAGGCACATGTCCAGCTCGTTGTCGCTGTCGCCAGCAGGACCGGCGAGATCCGACTGGGCTTGGGCTTGGCATGGCATCACTGATGGAATCTGGTGACGCTGCTCCGGTGGCGACGACTGTGTGGACTCGGCCTCCGCCACCATGGGCAACAGCTGTGGCGCAGCGGAGGAAGGGGTCTTGGAGGCGGGAATTCGGGCGTCGACACGTTTCTTGGCGGGCTTCTTTGCGCTCGCCTTCGTGGCGGCCTTCGTCAGGTCACTGTCGGAGGGGGCTTTGGCCAGGGGCTCCTCCGGAGCTGGTTTATTATCGATCAGACGTGAGGAGCGGCGCATGGATATTTTGGCCGACGTGACCGTCTTTTTGGGGCGACCACGTTTGCCCGGCGCCGGTTGTGCCGCAATTTCCACCGCAGCACGGCCGACCTTGGACTTGGCGGCGGTTGCAGCGGGCTCCTGCTTCTTGGCCGATAGATTGAGCGCAAAGAGCAGGGCTGGATCCAATTCGCTGGCGGGTGGGTTCTTGGGGGAACTGACTGAGGGATCTGGGTCCTCTGTTGCCTTCTCCACAACGTCTATATTGTGGGACGACGGCTTCTGTGCTGGTGGCGGTGGAGCTGCCCGGATCCTGTTCGGCTCAAGGTGCTCCCGCCTCTTGGGTGACTTTTGGCTGCTGGGATTCGCCAACTTGGCGGTTTCCCGCATGGCGGTGAGCTTCTTAACGGCTGTCTTCTTGCCCTGCGTTCTGACAGTTGGCTGGGCCATCTTCACCTTGGCCATGACCCGCTGACGCTTCTCGTCTAGCTGCTGACGCTGCTGTTGCTCTTGCAGAGCCACGGATGGCACGGGCGGCGGCGGTAGTGGCCCTTCAACAGCTGCTGCGGGGGGTGGCGGCGGAGGAGCTGCACACACCTGTGGCGGCAGAGGAGGCGGAGGAGGTAGGACCCTAGTTACTCGAGCGGTCGTCGGGAAAGCAAGCGGAGGAGCCGGTGCTCCACATGACTCGCCGCTGGTGTCAGCCTCTGGGACGGATACTTGCTCCTTACTCGGCGTCAGCCAGTTGCGTATGGGATAGCGCACCTCGCCGTCCTGATTGAGCAACTGGCCCGGCTGGCTACCGACGGCCAGCATGGGCAGCACGGCATCTTGCGAGCCGGTGGCCGCCTTTATCCACTCCTCGTCCTCGGTGCTGCTGATATTCGAGAGATTGTCTATGTTGAGTAGGTCCTCCGTCCCACTGGCCACTGCGTTCCCGCCTTCCTCCGGGCCATTCTCGCTCTGAGAGGATTGCGACGACGAGGAGCTGGAGGATGAGCTGCTGGAGGAGCTGGAGGAACTGGACGACGACGAGCTAGTGGCCGAGGAACAGGAGCTGTTTGACACCTCGACGATGGCCTCGGGCAGGCCGGGCAGGAGCTTGTAATGCGGGTGCTGCTGATCGGAGGGACAGCTCCCAGCGGCGGCGGACTCAGCACAGTCCACTGCCTCGCTGCCAAAGGATCGAACGCGCCGAAGGACCGTGGGCTCCACTGCGAGGACAACGGTCGCCTGATCCCTGGGCTGCAGATGCCTCTCCTCCTCACTGGGATGGCTCTCCACCAACGGCTCTTCTCTCTCACTGCTCCTCCTCAGTTTGGGACTCTGCTCCTTGGGAATGGGCTTGTCCGTCGGGGACTCGTGCCGCTCCTCCAGCCTCTTCTCCCGAACCCCCTCCCACTGTTGTATCGCGCACTGGGCATTTGCATCCGTGTGCTCCGCCTCGTCGGGCCGGTAGTAGGAGCTGCCGGAGGAGTATTCCGTCTTGGCGGCGCTGCCCACAGGGGTTCCCGGAATGTGGCCGAATGGCGTGCAACGGAAGCCCGGCGTAATGGCGCTCAGCTGCGGCGTATTCATAATGCTCTTGGTGTCCGAACCGAAGAGGAACGAGCTGCTCGGCATCTTGCCGTAGGGCGTGTCCAGCGGTGCGATGGCCATTCCTGGCGTTGGCGGCACAGTGGCCGCAAAGCCGCTAGTTGTGGCTACTTCTGGTTCACCGCCGCCCATGGCAGGGACGTCGCCGGCTGCTCCACATGCCAGGGGAGATGCCTTGAAGGGTGTGTCCAACAGCAGTGCCATGTTGGGCGTAGCCAGGTCAACGGGTTCCTCCGGCTTTTGCTTCTGCTCCAGCTCCTCCACCGTTGCCTTCTCTTGGTTCTCTGTTTCCTCCTCTTTGGTTTGCTCTGTGACCGGCAACAACTTCTTTTTCAGCGACTTTGGCTTGTGCGGCGTTGTGATCTTAATACTGATCTTCTCCGGGGAATCGCCGCTGCCACGCTGCGCCGTCTTCTTGAACGGTTTCTTGGCCAGCGCGCTCTTGCGACCCTTGGAGGCGGCCGAAGTCGGTGTCTCCTTCTTCTTTGGCCGCTTGTGGCGGCCGCTGACCTTCACGGTCTCCTCGCGCTTCGAGTTGATCTCGCGGAGTCGGTTCTCTAGATCTGTATTGGAGCCGTGCAGCTGGCGCTGCCAAGCGGCCATCAAATCCTCCTCGCCGGCCGCTTCTGCGGAGGATCCTGGGCGGCCCTCGGGCTTCCCCTCCGCCTGATGCTGCTGCTCCTGCTGCTGCTGCTCCCCCTGGAGATTCTCCTTACTGGCCTCGGCGCTGTCATCGTGCGCCGATGAGTTGGCCGAAGTGCTCTTGGGTCCCTGCTTCTCCCGCTCCTGCTTGCTCTCGGTTTCCGCCTGGGAGATGATGCGCTTGCAGGCCCTCACTGCCGCCTGGCGCTTCTGCTTTCGCCTGGGGGTGGCCACCAAGGGCGCGGCCGGCGCTGCAGCTGGAGGGTGGGCCTTGATCACCGTTTGATTGCTGCACTCCTCCATGGCGAACAAGGGCGGCACTCCGCCGTGCCCGTCGTTCGAGCTGAGATCGCAGGCTGGCTGGATGATCTCCACGTGGTTGATAATCGGCTTCTCTTTGGCCTTGGCCAGCAGACCAGGACGCCGGGTGGAGAGCGGCGTGGTGGGGTGCAGGCCGCGGCCAGGAGGAACCTTTGGGGAGAAAGTTAAAGTTCGTACATGCGAGGTTCTCTTGCGGGGAGTGGATAAGCTGCGGAAGGCTTTTACATTGATTATACCCGCCGTGGAGGGCGTCACCCGTTCCAGGACCTGCCGCGACGAGTCCAGGGAGGCGGGCGGCAACTTTCGCTGTTCCTCCCCATCCCCATGCTCTTCCTCCTCCTCTGGCGGCGGCGCCTTCTCCTCCGTCTTCCTAAGGTCAGCTATCAGCTGAACCGGCGGCTCCACTGCCGGAGGAGGTGGCGCCTGCTTCTGGGCACTATTAATGATTATGGAATTGGGCGGCAACTGGTTGGCGGAGAGCGTTATTGGCTCTGGCAGCGAGATCTCAATGTGCGAATCGTCCATGTTGGCAAAGGCGTCCGGACCCAGTTGCTGGGCCACCCACTCGTTGTTGACCAGGAACGGGAAGTGCGACAGCAGGCCGCCGTTCGAGAGGTACATGGGGAACGTCATTTGCCCGGTGGTGGCGTCCACGCACACTTGGCCGGCTGCCGCCGCCTCCGCCTCCGTTATCATGCCCGCCGGATCCCCGAAATTAAGATTTAGGCCGTCACTAGCGAAGCTCACGTTCGCCAAGTCGCCTCCGGCCAACATTTTCTGGACGCTCTCGTTCGAATTCAGCACGATCAGCTTGGAGATGGAGAAGTTGGGATCGATGCTGCCGGCGGTGCGAATGATGAGCGGCGTTTGAGGCGGCACTGGGTCCACGGGGTCTGCTGGATCCACTGCGTCCACTCTATCTTGCAGTTCTGGAGGAGACCTTTGAATCGCAGTTGCTTCCGCTATGCAGTCGGCCATGGCTGCTCCAGTTGTGGCAGGAGGCTTTGGCTCTGTCTGCGCCTCCAGCATAGCCTCCTCTGCTGCTGGCGGCGGAGATGCACACTCCGCCGCTGTCAGCGGTGGGTCGCCGGCTACCACCTCCTGGATGATGCGATCGAACGAGGGATCCTTCTCGGTGGCCTCCAGTATGTTCCTCACCAAGCCGTCTAGCACGGCGTCGCAGCTAACTGTCGGACTGTTCACCGTTACCGTTTTCAGCGCAATGTTGATGTTGTTCACCAGGGTGTTCTGGAAGTCCTGGTTCTTAATGATCGCACTGGCCAGCTCCTGGAAAGAAATTAAGTGCGAAGGAAGGGCATTAATAGAGGAATTTTAGAGGAACAATTGGAACAATATTTATTACCAAGGTTTGAAATTTATATATAAATCAGGGCACGTAATCATTATAAGTGAAAAAATCAATGTTTAATGATTATCTATAGATTTTAATATATTTTGCTTGCCATTAATAAAACAATTATTATTAATTTAAGCAACAAATAATGACTATTTTTTTGAGCGATATTTTTCGCTCAGAATTTCGCTCAATGTTTAATATCTTCTTTCTTAGAGGTTTCTTTGAAACAAATTTTACAGGATCCTATGAGTCTAAAATAGACGAACCCAAAAAAAAACACATTGAGCAAAATTTGGAACGAAAAAATATCGCTAAAAAATTAATCATTATTTTTTTAGCAATATTTTTTCGCTCAAAATAATATTAATTTTATTTTTAGTGTATAATTCTTTTTTTTCGGCTTTTCCAACTGAATGATTTTGTTGTTTAAAATAAAATTGCATAATTGACAATTAAAATTCTTGACTTTCACTTGACTTTGCGGATTACTTATAGGACTCTTAATTACTTTCATAAAATAATAAAATCGAAAGAACCAAAGTATCTGTACGATAAACCCTTGTTTGTCCTTTCAAATAGAACCAAAACCTAAATATGCCCGAAAATTCTTTATAAATGCTATCCGTCAAAGACCAACCTACCCACATTATTTTAAAACCATAAGGAGCGCAGCTCAGTTTCACGAATTGATCAAAGACTACGCATTAAACAAAAAGACATATAATAATAATAAATAGATTTAAATTTATATATAGAAAAAATATATATTAATATGTATTGCGGGAAATTAGTAATGTAATAATAAACAAAGGAAATGTAGGTAATAAGAAAACAAATTGTCAGACTAAGTAACAATCTAGTCTAGTGCAATTAATATAAGGCAATCCTTGTCGTACTAGGAACTTTTTTAGAGAAACTTCTAGTCTTCCAAATTAACCAAGAGATTTCTTGTTGAAAAATGAAGCGCAAACTTGATTTTTCATTATTTTGAAGAAAAACATCCTAAAAAGGGGCTTTGTGCTTTGTTTTGATAATAACTTCTAAACCCGAGGCATGATGCTTTCACTTTTTAATTTCACCCAGAGAATGCAAATAAAATAAACGCAAAAAGTAAAAATGTTTTTTCCGTTCCGAAAAACGGGCAAATTTTATAGGTGAGCTCTGTTTGAAGGCTTAAATCTTTCATTTACTTTTTTTTTATTTTTTTCCATTCAAATATCGATAAATAATCTCTCCCTCATCGTTGATTTATCGATTTAATCGGTTAAGATCGAAAAAAAATTAACTGATGCAATTGACATTGGTACACAAAGGGTATATATATACCGCAGTGTTCACTGAAATAGCAGTGCGACAGAGGAACAACTTCAAAACGTTTTTTTGTACATATTCCTTTTTGCTAGCTGATCTATTGCACATTGTTTTTGTAAAATAGAACATAAAAATAAAAATCGAGAAAAAATTCCGTTAGATTTGATCTATTTTTATGTTTTATTAATATTTTTCACATATGCAGCTCGTTTTGGCCGTTCACTGAAATAGCAGTTTTTAATTTTCTTTCGCAAAAAGTGCCGAAATTTCTTTTAATTTTGTAAAAAATTAGTTTAATTAAGGTCGTTATTATAGTTTATACTATAATACACCTTTACAACGCAAAAAAAAATATTTTTGTGGGCGCAGGACCTCACTGCAGCATGAGAGAAAGGTATCAGATTACTTAGCCTAGAAAGAAGGGCAAAACATGTAAAGAGTCTCCAAATCTTTCAAATTGTTCTTTTAAAATAGTTTATAAGTCATAAAATATGAACCGAACCCAAAAAAAACCGAGGTACGATTCGCAAAACCACAATTGTACAGGCTCGACGCGTACTTCGCTTCAGCAAAGCTCGTCCTTTTGCATCCTCTAGGGATATACGAGCGGGAATTGGCATAGGAATCAGTCATGGGACCATTCGCCGGGGACTTATTGAATAAATTTTAGATTCGCGAAATCCATGGAAAATGTCACTGCTTGGTTAAAGGCATATCAAGGCCAGATCCGAGTTCGCCAATAGCCACTTGAACTGCCACTTTTCAAATGGCGTAATATCCTTTGGACAAATGACTCAAAACTGGTTTTATTTGGTGGAATATTACAAGACAATATGTCCGTCGACCTCCAAATACATAGTACCACCCAAACCACACGCTGAAGACAGTAAAGCACGGTGGCCTTAAAATCATGGTATGGGTATACTTTTCATACAACGTTGTAGGTCCCGTATATATGATCGGTGGGATCAAAGACCATTATGTTTATGTCCAAATATTAAAAACTTTCTTGCAGCCGTATCCTAAGGAAAATATGCCATTAATTTGGACATTTCAGCAGTACAGTGACCCTAATCATACCATCAAGGTGGCCAAGGAGTGGGTTCTTAATGAAAAAGTGGATGCAATGCCATGGCGTGCACAGTCCCCGGATAATATTCCGATCGAAAACTTATGGGGGGCATCAAGGGCTACGTATTAAAGAAGTTTCCGACTTCTAAGCCGCAGCTTCGGAAATTTGTGCAGGAGGAATGAGGCCATATTTCCCTCAAGCGTATCTAAGACTTGGTGGACTCCTTGCCACCCAGGTATGAGGCTATGATTGCTTCTAAAGGCTATTTAACAAAATATAAGATCATAGTCAATTAGAATTTAAGAAGAAATAGGTTTCTTATACGATATTTTTAAATTTATGAAGAATTTTAGTTTTTCACTGCTATTTCAATGAACGGCATAATATAGACCTTTTTTGTTGATATTAGCTATATCTTCTAAAAGGCTTATGTTACCTAAATTAAATGATTGTGGTATTGTTAATAATTAAATACACTAAGCCTTTATGAAAAAAAAATTTATGAAAATAGTGTTTGTAACAGTATTTTCCAATCTTAAACGTGCACTGTCGTGGGCACTGCTATTTCGGTGAACACAGCGGTATATCGATCGACAAATAGATCGATAAATCGATAAATAATGCCTACATATATGTATTACTCTCACAGTTGTATTTATATATAAATATATGTGCATTTGTACATAGAATTTTCGACATCACTTACCGGCATGGACTGCGGTGTTAGCACCACGTTCGCCTCGGAGTGGCCCTGCCGCGGAGTGGAATTGTTCCGCGGCCCTGAATCATCACCTGGCGGCAGCTTCTCCAACAAGTCCTCAAAATCGGTGGCCGTAGAGCTGGTCCCCTCCTGCTCCGCCTCCTCATCGTCATCCTGGCTAGCCAGGAAGCTCGGCCTGGGCTTGTCGCGACTACTCAGGCTGCAATAAAAATGAGGCGGAAGCAGGCGCGGCCGCTTGCTGAAGGAAGGCGACGACAAGTAGTCCCCCGGGGATTGAGTGGATCTGTTAAGATTTAAAAAAGGGAAAATTAGCTTCGTGCTGTCATACTGACAGGCAAAATCCATAATTACAAGCGCCTCCGCTTTCGGTGCGCCTGGGATGGGCCACCTCCGGCAGTGCTGCTCTCGCTGGCGCTCCTATCCACCGTCGAAGACATCGACATCAGTTCTTTGACCCGCTCGGACAGCTTCAGCTGCTGCAGCTGGTGGCGCGTCTCCAGAGGCAGTTTTTGCACGGCAGTGGCCACTACAGCGCACAGGAATTCATAGTGGTTAGTGAAAGTTGACTGTGTGTACGTGGGAACTTACCCAAGCCCGTGATCTTGACGTGCTCGCAGATAATGTCCTCCAGCCCGCCATTGAGGAAGTTGTGCGTCTGAAGGCCTTGCTTCAGGGCGAGAAACTCGTGCTGCAGGTGCGGCGATGTGCGACACAGGGTATGGGCCGCTCGCCGCAGATTCTGGTTAACCAAGTAGCCTGCGAGCGGGCAAAGGCATTAGCAAGAAGAAAGAACGTCGCCGCGGAGTAGACTCACCCAGAACAAGCCGGGCCACATCCGAGTGCAGAACGATCGAGTCCATCCTTCCGTTTTCAAGGAATAGCCGTCATACCAAACATCCGAAAACTCGCAAGGCAAGCGAATGCCGCTTGGCTCTTCCACGCTGATTTAATTTTTTATTCGGCTGCCTCTGTCCGCTTTCCTCGGTACTGTTCCCCGTTCGGATGCCAGTGCCAATTACCTACTAGTTAGTAATACTTTCTCGGTGTCTTGCTGCACGGACGCAAAGACACACTTTTTCGCCTATTCGCCTATTATTTTCGTTTGTTGTTGCCGAACGAAGCGGAGCACTGTACAGTACAAGGCGCACACACACTTTAGCATCTGTTTGCCGCCCGCCAAAACAACGAAACAGGGTTGCCGCTGCGCCCGAATATCGATTGGTTGGGTTCGAACTATCGTGCGTATCGTACGGGGAGCGAATAAATAAACGGCTTGGACTGCTAAATAAGAGGTCGCTTAGCTTAGAATATTTAAAGATTACAGAAGAGAAGACGGTAAGTCCAAGTGCTACTGGGTTTCGGTTGTACATTTACAGGGTGACTTATTTGGGTCGTTTCCTGTCGCTCCCTATACATTGCCAATACATCGCATCCACCGTCTCTCGCAAGATGTTAATAACTTTAATTAATATATATGAATGAATGAATGAATTTAAGCCGAGTTTCCTTCAGAAACATAAAGAATTATGGGAAATAGAGCTGGGAAACTATCGATGGTATCGAATTTTTCCTTTTTTGATTCACCATCGATAGTTTTTTTAATCACTATCGATGGTACAGGGTTTTTTTATATCACTGATTTGTTGCTGAAATTTAGTAAGAAAAATCCAAACGAATATATTATATATATATATATATATATATATATATATATATATATATATATAATATATATGTATATATATTAAAAAAAAAAAAAAAATGTATTCCAGATTAACTTATATTGGAGGTGGTGCTGAAAAATATTAATCTACAGACAATTTTATTTGTGCAAAGAGTTGCTTGGATAGAATATTTTTGTTAATTACTTAGTCACAACATATGGCATAATTTTTAAACCCGTGAATGGTATTATAATTCTATTTGAAATTGCTATAATTTTAATTTGCAAAAAGAATCGTAAAAAGGCGATACTATCGAATTTTCGCTTTTAAAACATCGAAAATATCGAATGGTGCCACTATCGATAGTTTCCAAGCTCTAATCGGAAAAGTATTCGGGTGAAAGATAATTTTGCGTTTGAAAAACTAAATAAAAATTAATTTGTAAATATTCCGAGACGATAGTTGAAGACGACCTATCGAAATATCGACACACACATTCTAAATGACCATCTTTAGCACGACGGCGTTGCCAGATAGCGGAATTCGCACCGCAAGAAGCAATTGCAAGCATCAATTTGCAGGATTTTCAGCTACAAATGGCTGCCAAAAGCGCCGAGAAAGACAAGGGCGAGGGCCAGGAGCCCGCCGCCACATTGGAGAACGAGAATCCTCCTGATTCTAGCGAGCCGGCAGGACAGAAGGCCGCAGAGATGGAGACCACGACGCCGACCAAACGCGATGGAGGACGCAAGCGAAAGCGGCATTTGTTCAACTCCATCCGCAGCCAGATGGAGTTCTATTTTGGTGACGCCAACCTAAGCAAGGACCGTTTCCTGCGACGCTATGTCGACCAGGATCCATGTAAGTGCCCAGCACCCCCAAATTCGAGCCAAATGAAACTAAGAACGGAATTGTTTCAGATGTGCCGCTTGAGGTATTTCTCACCTTTAACAAGATCAAGACACTCACACAGGACGCGCAGCAGATCGCCAAGTCGCTGAGCAACTCCCAGCTCCTAGAGCTAGACGAATCCGGTCTAAAAGTAAAACGGAAGACAAAACTGCCGAAGCAGCGCGACGTCAACGACAAGACGCTGTATGTCGAGGCCTTGCCGGCAAATGCCACCCACGATTGGTTGAAGGAGGTTTTCAGCCGATACGGACCGGTGGCATATGTCTCCCTGCCCCATTACCCCGGCACCAAAAGGATCAAGGAGTTTGCCTTTATTGAATTCGAGAAAGCCGGGGCTGTGGAGAAGGCTGTTAAAGCCTTTGAGCAGATTCATGGCGTGCTCTCCGTGGAAACTGATCCGGGTGAGCTGGCCAGCGTGCGCTCCTTCCAACAGCAGCAGCAACAACAACAGGAGAACCAGCAGCAGCAGGAGGAGCTTACTGAGCCGGAAGAGCCTCCCAAGATAAGCCTAAAAAGGGAAATACCAGACAAGAGTGGAGAAGGTCTCGAAGCGAAGCGAGTCAAGCTTGAGAATGAGCAGCCGAGCGGAGTCTCCACTGCGGAGGAAACAGCCAGCGAAACAGATGCGGAAGCTACAGTAGAAGCATCCGAGCAGGATGGCAAGCCAGAGGCGACTGACACCAAGAAGCGACGTCGCAAGCGCAAGAAGAAGGTGATTATGGATAAGCCGAATATCGAGCCCAGTGCCTTGGAGCTCAAGGTTCTGCCCAAGACCAGCTGGAGCAGTTTGCGCAACAAGTACTTGAATCTACAGCGCCGCCTCGTCAGCGAGGCCAAGAGCAAGCAGTGGCGCGAGAATCATCCTCAAAATCAGCAGCAGCATCACCACCATCACAACCATCAGGCTCACAACCACCCGAATCCCCCCCAGCCCAAGCCAGAAGCCGTTAAGGAGGAGGAGAACAGTGCGGAGGCGTTAAGTGACGGCGGCGGCGAGCCTGGGGGTGGCGCCGGCGGCGATGGAGTGCCAGTGCCAGTCAAGCGCCGCAAGGCTGTGCACAAAATGAACATGAACTTCTATGGCGCTGGCGGCGTAGATTCCACCAAGTCCGAGGAGCCTTCCCAGGAGCGCACGCCCCTCTTTAAATATGAGCCCGGACTCATCGTCGAATGCACTCTCCTCGAGCCCTGCACCAATGTCAAGGAGTTCAAGGCCGACATGCGCCAGTATCCGGATATCAAGTACGTGGACATCAAGGAGTCCGATCAGGTGGCCCTGCTGCGCCTGGCCACTCCCTTAGCCGCCGAGGAGCTGGTGCGACAGGTGAGCTGCGCGGAGCGCCAGCTGAAGGTGCTTCGTGGCCAGCCTGAGACGCTCTACTGGCGCAAGATCGAGCAGGATCGCGAAGCGAAGCTCTCGAAGAAGGTGCGTGTTCAGCAGAAGCGCGGCAGGGAGAAGATCTCCAAGATGTTGGCCAAGCACATCAAGTTCGACGATGGTGATGACGAGGTGCCTGGGGGTGCTATCGACTGAGTGATAACATGGGCGGGAGGGCGAAGTTTGTTCTACAGTGCATAAGAGCCTGCTGGTGTTAAATCCAACAGCAGAAAAACCAAACGGTCTGATTTGTTTTATAAACAACACAACCAATGTGCATAGGCATAGGAAATACTGCTAGAAAAATATTTTATTTTCGATTATTCGTGAAAGTAAATGCCAAGAAATAAAACCGAATAATACCTTTTAACGAAAGTTTGCTCTAAATTTGTACAATGGTGCAGTGGCCAGCAGTCAAAAAAGCGGGTGGACTCAAAGAAGTCCGCTAAAGATATTATAAACAGACAAAGAATCGGACTTGCCGCATTAGTTTCGCTAAATGCTCAAAAACGTCCGCGCAAACGCACAAACAGCGGACGAGTATTGCGGAATCTCAGGATTATACCCGATAATGATGTCGTAAAAGGTCCGCAATCGAAATTTTATTGGGATTCCGAAAATTATAGCATTTTCATTCATATGAGCCTGAATAGAGATCCGTAAGTAAATGTAAGAGGTACATTACGAATTTATTTACGATTTACGAATTTAAAACAGGGTGCATTTTATTCATATTTAATCACCATCTAATATTCCCCACATATGAGCGAGCGATCGGTCAATTTCAAAAAGAGCTTGGAAAAGTCAGTAAATCTGCAAATGTAACTAAGGCAGGCCATCCACAGGTGAGCATGTTGGCGAACATATTGGCGAACATGCTCGCCAACTTGAATTTTCTTTCTTTTTTATATTTATTTTATTCGGAATGTTTGCAATGCTTGACACCCCTTGATATGTCAGCATGTTCATACGGCCTTGCATAAGGAGCTCGTCTATGCCTTTTTTGGCAAAAAGCTTCTGCTCCTTCGACAACTGCTTGAACATGGCAGCCCATCCTTCAGCATATATGTCAGCTTCACATTTTGGTTGCTTTCCGTTGATGTTGTCCAAATGCCCTACTGTCTTCTGTAGGAACTCCGATGATTCATCATGTTTTCGTTTCGGCGCCTTCGGCTAAAAAATAAAATTGGCATTTAATAACGTATTTCATATTATATTATTTTAGATACCAGGAAATGAAGAAGAATGGAAAGAAACTGCTGATGATTTCGAAAAACAATGGAATTTCATAAACTGCATAGGAGCTGTTGACGGAAAGCATGTGCATATTAAGAGACCAAAATCATCAGGATCATTCAATTTTAATTATAAAAAACGTTCAGCATTGTCCCGATGGCAATGTTAATCGCACAATATGAATTTATTTGTGTGGAAGTTGGAGCAAATGGCAGGGCATCAGAGGCTGGTGTATTTGCACAATCGGGATATAAAAGGCGCTATGATGATGATATGATATGAACTGCCATAGTAGGGGACGACGACTTTCCATTGTCACAAAATTTGATGAAGCCTTACAGTCGTCAAAAATAGGAAAAAGAGGAGCTGATTTTCAATTACCGCCTCTCAAGAGCTAGGCGTATAGTGGAAAATGCATTTGGCACTGTGGTGAACAGATTTAGAATACTTCTAAATACTATCCCTTTAGAGCCGGAAAAGGCTTCTGTGATTGTTCTATGTTGTTGCTATTTTCACAACTATTTGTCGAAGAAAAATGGCGCAGTATATTTGCGAGATTCAGCAGATCCACACAATTCATTTGTAGGCTCCTCAGCCCCTCAGCCGCTCCAGATGTCCAGTCCGGGCAACAACCCAGCTCGCCAACCACCTCAAGGTAGTCGAGAAGTGGCTATCTGATTGGCGTATTAAAATAAATGAACAAAAGTATAAGCACATAACGTTCACTCTCAACAGACAAACATGCCCTCCCCTCTACCTGAATAGCACGCAGATCCCCGAAGTCAACGTGGTAACGTACCTGGGCGTCCACCTGGACAGACGCCTAACATGGCGAAGACACATTGAATGCAAGAAAATGCATCTAAAACTAAAAGCCAGCAGCCTCCACTGGCTCATAAACTCCCGATCGCCCCTGTGTGTGGAATACAAGGTCCTGCTCTACAACTCCACACTAAAGCCAATATGGACGTATGGCTCCCAGCTCTGGGGGAACGCGTGCAGCACTAATCTAGACATCATACAGCGCGCCCAATCAAAAATCCTGAGAACTATCACTGGAGCACCATGGTATATTCGCAACGAACACATCCACAGGGATCTCGGCATTCCTGCAGTTAAAAACGAAATAGAAAAACAAAGCGTCCTACAAGGAAAAACTCTCCACCCATCCAAATCCTTTAGCAAGGGACTTGATACGAGTTTCCAGAAGAAGCCGCCTACTACGTAACGACCATCCAATCCAGCCATAATTAGTCAGGGCTCTGTACCAGTCTCATGACTGCTAGTTAGGTAGTATTGTTAGATTTGATACACAATTGGAGCAGTACCTTGGCAGAATGATCGAATTTAATATAAAACAAGAAAGGAAGCTAACTTTGGCACTCCGAAGTTTGTATACCCTTGCAGATATTATTTCTTTTCACAATTTACCTATACTTATTATGTTTACAGTTTGACAGTTACAGTTTTACATTCCCAGTTTTACATTTTCTCTACATCTACCGATCGTTTCTATGGAAGCTATATGATATAGTTGTCCGATTTTCATAAAATGTATAACAAAATTCTGAAATAATAAAATAAGCTTATATCTCAGAGTAGATGAAAATACGTTGAAAAACAATGAAGTTATAAATTTTGTTCTATTAATTTTCCGATCATTCTTATGGCAGCTATAAGATATAGTCGTCCGATTTTCATGAAATTTTTATTGAAATTCTGAAATAATAAAAAAAAGGCCATATCTAAAAAATATTCTAAAAATGTATCGGCAGCTATATGATATAGTCGTCCGATCCGGCGCGTTCCGACATATATAGCAGTGAGAGTATATAGAAGACTATATGCAATGTTTCAGTCAGATAGCTTTAAAACTGAGGGACTAGTTTGCGTAGAAACGGACAGACGGACATGGCTAGATCGACTCGGCTGTTAATGCTGATCAAGAATATATATACTTTATAGGGTCGGAAACGTCTCCTTCACTGCGTTGCAAACTTTTGACTGAAATTATAATACCCTGCAAGGGTATAAATATGTTCTATATTACACTAAACTATTGCTTGTAATTTTATTAAAATACTTACTCTTTCGTTTTCCTGTCTGTCATCAAAACTGGTGATTCCATCGACCGAGGATTCTGTCTCATGCAGAAAGGAAAGTTCGCTGAAGTACCACAGGTTCGGCTGGTACACATCGTCCGTTCCAGCACTTCTTCTTACTTTTAGCAATTCTCGTCTGTATGACGCACGCAACGAGTTAACTTTTTTTTTCACTGTGTCTATTGTGGCGTCCTCATCGATTTCTTTATATTTCTCCAGTAGCACTTCCCATGCCGTGTTTCGTAAATTTTTATTTTTATAGGCCTCGCATTTTGCATGCCATATAGCAGGCTGCTTTTCCAGACAAATAATGAATTCTTGTAAAAATTTTTTGCTCATTTTGCGCTGCGCAAACACGAGCTCTGCCTAGTAAACGATTTCACAAATGATGTTCGTGCCAACGTTGTCGAGCATGTTGTTGCGAACACAAGCAGTTCGAGTGGCACGACCAACACAAAATTTGTACTAACGATGGAAATTGCGTCGAGCTCAACATGCTCGGCCAACATACTGTGGACGGGCCGCTTGAGAGACTGAGAAGAACATACATACTAAAAGGGATTTCATCAATCAGAAAGAGATGGCAGTACGAAACACGATTTGATCCCAGCATAAATTCGTCTATAATTAAATCATATTTACATTCCACTTTGCCGCATCAACCTTCCGAAGGCTCAAGTTAGTAGCTTAACACACTCCTTGCCATCCTTTAATCAGTACTTATTAGTTATTACATTTAATATACACAGTAATGGAAACATTGCTTACAGTCTATGATTTCGGCATGCAGTATTCCCACCTAGTTCCCCCGGCCCTAAAATCCAAACTAAATATACAGTGACCCATCCGCGGGACCCAAGTAATGCATCGAGATAAGCAGGACATCGATGATCGTCCAAACGCCGAGTCCCCCGAAGCTAAACAGCTTGCCAATGCCCTCCTGCCAGTGGCCCAAGTAGAAGCGATCGGCCCCGAAGCCGCCCAGGGTGAGGCTTATCAGGAGGGCGGTGCTCCAGCGATAGCCCTGCGTCCAGTTGCAGCGCAGATTGCGGGTGAAGGAGCGGTTGCCCAGGCACAGCACATCCTGGTGCACGGTGCAGTTGGTGCGGTAGTACTTGTCCGCTATGGAATTGCAGTTGGCGTGCTGAAAGCAGTTCTGCTGCCAGAGCTCCGTTTGGTAGCAGTACCTGCAGTTCATCTGTCGCTGGAAGCTCCGCTCGCCCTGGCACTGCACATTGCCGATAATCTCGCAGGTCACGTTCACTTCTCGGCCGTACAAACAGGCATTGTTGTAGGCACACCGAATGCACGGAAACTGCAGGCGCTCGCAGGGCGTATCCTTGTCGTACGGACACAGCATATTATTGTTGATCCCATTGCTGCTGCTGCTGTGGGCGGTTGTGTTGTCCAGGCCCACGCCCCCGTTCTTGGAGACCAGCGGCGTCATATGCACCTCGTTGTCGTTGCTATTGCCATTGGCGTTTCCGTTGCCATTGTTATTGCTCGTGTTATCCTTGTGGTCGCCTTTCGCATCCGACAGGTCCATCTGATTGCCGCCACTGGCCGTTTCGCTGTTCCTAATCCCTGTCAGCACAAAGATTACGATCAGGGCGAGGGCGGAGCGCATGTTGACCACAATGCACTGACGTTGGGCGGGCATTTTGCAAGATAATACGGATAAAACAGCCGGAATTCAATGTTATTCTTCTTGGTAGGGTGACCGTTGTGCAGTAGGTGGAAAATACCAAACGGCGAGCGGGCGCCTTTTTAGTATTTCCAAAGCGGAGTGTGAACTGTTTGCCTCTCGCTCTCCTCTTCAGACTATTCACACATTTAAAATTCAAAATTCCCGCAATAAACAATACAAATTAAATACACGGCGATTTTAATAAATAAATTTATTTATTAAAGAATAATCCCTAATGATTCAAAACCTCGGAAGATATTTGAGGGATGTTAAACTCCGATTCCACCATCTAATAAGCCCTGATCGAATAGAGGCGGCCTTTCATTTAGTCTTCAAGAGAATACCCTGAATATTTTTCCCGCCGGCTTCTGTCAGTATTTAAAAATCGTCCCTTAAAGGCAAAATAACAGAAACACTCTAAATCTTGCAAAAAATCATGTTAATTTACCAATTTCCCGCGTTCGCAACAGTGTTGGCAAATGAAAAAATATATATATCGATTTTTCAATAGTTCGGCAAAAAATATCACTAAAAATATTTGTAACAGTTATCGTTATGTTCACATCCCTAGTTTTTTGTTATTGTGCTGTAGAATGGATTCGATTCGTCGTAAAACTAAATCCTTGAGTGAAAAACGCATGCACTACGTCGCATAATTACGAGCCGGAAAAACTCGGTAAACCACCATCAAAAAACGGGCCGAGGAAACGAGTCAACTTAACGCACAACGCTTTCGCGATTTATTTGACGGCTCTCCAGTACCAGTGTTGCCAAACGAAAATTTGCCTTTCCCCTCTCAAATGTCCCCTAAATTAAAACAATATGTGCTTCGGTTTTCTGGCCACCAGTCGGTTGATTTTTTTGAGATTCCATAATTTCTACTGTATTTTTTCATAATATCTGAATAATACATGCCTTGAAAAAGCCCTAGGACCGTTCCCTAAATCTGGCGAAAACCCAGATCTGACGGGAAAAATGCCGATGTAGCATCATTTGTTTACTACTCATTGCACCGGTGTGTTGCCAGACTTTTCGGTCCGAGTGACCACAAGTACCAGATCGTTGTGCATGAAAAGTCATACGAATAAAAATATCGCGATTTCGATATCATTTTTCAGTAAAAATATCGATATATTTTGATGTGACACTTTTGGTCGCTGGGACCGAAAATCTGGCAACGCCGCGGTACGAGGTGCGCGAGCGACCAGCGTTGCCAGATCGTCAATTTCCCAGCGACCAAAAGTGCCAGATCGCGATTCCGATAACATTTTCACAAAAAATCGACAACCTCACATCACTCGCGTCGGGTCGCTAAAAAAAACACTAATACAAACACTCGGGGCGTGTGATTAAATATCTAACTTAAAATTGCGGTGTGTGTAAATTACTGTTGTCTGGCGCAAAGTTGGCTTATTTTAGTGAAACTGCGCCGACAAACAACAACAAAGAGTACGAAAAAAGGCAACGGGAAAATTTTTTGTTTGCTCGCAGTGTGCGTGCATGTGTGTGTGTGTTTGTTTATTGGTGTGCGTGTGCAGGAGCAGCGTCATCCTCTTTATCCCTCTCTTCTTGCCACAAAAGTGAAACATGTTTTTCTGTGGCAACAACAAAAGCCACAACAACGGCAGCTGCAACAATCGACAAAAACAACAACTGCAGCAGTAGCAGCTTGTGGATAATGCTTTAAAAACAAAAAAAAGCCAACAACAACATCGGAAAATTCAAATGTAAGTTGGCTCTCTTCTGTTTTTCTGTTTGGTTAGGTTGAAAAGCGAGTGAAAAGAAGGTGGAGAGCGTAAGAGAGCGTTTTCTGGAGAGGGACGGCATGAGAGAGAGAGGCGTCAGCGACATCGTTGCTAGACAACCGCGGCGTGCTGTTAGCGGACAACAGAGAACTGTTAAACGCAAGTAAAGCCAATTAGACTTGCCGGCATATTTGTGAAATTTTTGACTGAAATCGGTTAAAAATTACAAGTTAAAGCGTGTCTTTTCTATTGGTACTCGTGGCTGTCTCACTGTTTTCCGTACTTATTGGGTTTTTTAACGACTCGATTAACTATGTTTGATGTGATAATTGATGGTCAAAAAATTTTAATTTAATGTGCTTGATAGCTCAGTCTTTTTATATGCATACATATTTAGGTTTTTTTTTTAAATAATACCCGTGTGTTCTCTCCCTTGCAGTCTGCAAATGCGCGCCCTTTCTTTGCTCTCTCACTAGCTGCTCTCTTCGTTGGTCGCGCTTTCTCTCTCTCCGTTTCGAATTTCAAGAAGCGACACTAAAATAGCTGTAAAAACAACAACGATGCAACAGCGCTGCAAAGGTGGCAACCCTGCTGCAGTTGCAGATGTAACTCGTTCGCCGGTCCCTTACTTTAAAGAATAAAAAAGAATAATAATTTATGATAATAAGGAGACATAGGAAAAGCACGCAGGCAGATGTTCTACATTTTCTAAGAAAACTTTCTTGTCCGGTTCACCTATCGCGACTTATGTTGTTTACTATATTTCCTGAGAATTCCGGAACTGGGAATCTGTGTTCTTTTGTTGCAAATTTTGAATGAAGCAACAGTTCGCGAAAATTGTGTATTTTCACCGTTTTCCATTGTTAAAAGGATTATAATAATGTGCATGGTATTTGATTTTGATGAAAAACACAATTCAAATTATATTATTTCGACTTTAATTATAATTTAACTTTGGCTTAAAACATGGATTATGGTAGCTCAAAAATAATATGACGAAAGGCGATAAGATGGATTAAAGAGTAGTTTTTAAGTTTCTTCATTCGACAGGTTATAAAATGAATTAAATTTGTATTTAGAAGGGACTACGGAGATAAGTTGATTTTATTATCGCTTAAAAAATTGAAATTTATTCAGTAATCCTTACAAAACCTGTATTAATTTTTTGGACCTATAGATACTTGGATTATTCCTTATATTACTTAGTTTCCAACATTTTCTGGTAATAGGTAGATGAGTCCATCACCCTCGCCTCATTAGTAGCTACCTTTTTTTGTTTACTATCGTAGGGCTAATGCGTATCTAGAATATGGTCCCCAATTGCTGCGCAATAGGGACGCTGACGCAGCTAACTAAACTATGTAACTAACTACGTAACACGTGTGGCCAAAACCTTGTGTAGTTTTAAGACAGATATGAATATTTTAAAATTGACCCGTTGTGACTATCGCACTAATTTATAAGTTTTTAACTTGTAGCATTAGGAATTTATTTACCAATAAATTAAATTAAATTAAATTAAAGAGTATTGCAAAGGCAAGGGTGAAAAGCCTGTCATTTAATTAAAACAAACCAGATGTCTCTTACACACGTGCTGCCGAGAGCGAAAGAGTAAAAGGAAGCAAAGCAGTTTTGTTATTATTATTATTTCGCTTTCTAATTGCTTCAATCAATATGCATTCATTTAGCAAAGCAAGATTAAACAAAATACTGTGTATTCAAAAATTATTTGTGACTTTTTGTCAAATAATACCCTAAGCAAACCATAACAGGCGTTAAAATAATTGGTTTGGAACGAATTCCCGCCAACAATCAGCTGATTTTGTTTATAAGACAACTAAAATGAACAAGTGTACATATAATTTGGGACATTCTAAAATATTCCTCAAGCGTCTCCTTTTCTTTAATCTTTTGTATTTCCTCTCTTTTTATTAATTCAACCATCGATATAGGACAGCGGCTGTCTATTATGCATCATGATCTTGTTGTTGTTTATGCAGCTACTTATTGTTATTGTTGCGAAATTGAAATTTTCAATGCCACTGTCAAAGCTGCGCCGTCATCCGTCATCAATGAGTGCGCAGTTTTGAGTTGCACAACCGACACCGACTGAGCAAATAAAAAGTGATATCGCAATTAAAGATCACCAACATTCAAGCGGATTTTTATAAAAGAGACTTCTTCTTTTAGTTCTTAAATGGACACGAAGGGAAGTGTGTTTGCAACATTATGCACAACATAAATACTATTAAAGATATAAAAAAAAATAATAATTTAAAAAATTAAAATTATATTTGTAAGTACATAAATCTTGTATTTCTACAATGACTCAAAAAATATTTAGGACAACCCTTAAATTTAAACATTGTGCTTTTCTTTCTCATTGCTGCTATTTTGCTTAAGGGGGGGTAAGGTTAATTCGGTGCAAAAAAGGCACCTTTTCAAAAAATTATTGTGGCGAAACGGCTAAAGTTAGCTTAATGGATTAAATACCATATATTAACACAACATTTGAATAATTTTTGATAAATTTTGTATTGATAAATATTAAGAGGTAGAGGAGTTATAGGGAATCTCCCGAGTCGCCTCCAAAAAAAGTTGTTTTGCGGTGTACATCCTAACAGTCCACAGGATCATCCGATCTAAAAAAATTATACCTCATTCGTTAAAGGATAAGTGTCCCGAGGTATTCAGGAAGCGTTTTTTTTTTTTAGTTTTTTTGTGATTTTTTAGGAAATTTGAAAGTCAAAAACCCGATTTTTGACTAAAAAAAAAACGTTATTTCTTAATTTAAAAATATATAAAAATTAAAAATTAAAAAAAGGCCGACGTGAATACCTGAGGAATTAGTTAAAGAATGTGTGTGCCAAATTTCAAATCGATCGGTCTAGTAGTTTTTCTGTAATCGTGTACACCGATTTGAAAAATTGAAATTTTCAGGAGAGCGCTGTAAACTTTGTTATTCTCATGCATTGAACACCAACCGACCTTCGTTCAACTCCGCATAACTTCGTCAATTTTACTCTGATCGATGTAAAACTTGGACACAATATTCTTAAACTTTAAAAATAAAAAATAAAAAAAAATTTACGAAAAAAAAAAATTAAATACCTTACCCCCCCTTAATTTTTACATTTTGTTTTCTGTGGCGCCGTTATCTTTTGTTAGTGTTTATAATTTATATTCGCACATTTTTGCGCTACTGCGTATTGAGCAAAAATCAACTTTAATAATTGACCTTGTGTGTGAGCATGTGTGAGTGCGAGAGTGTGTGTGTATTTGCGGGAGGAAGATGGGAAGAGAACAGAGCAGAGCTCTGCGACTGCGCCGCTCACTTCATTTTATTATTTTGTTTGAGTTTATTCTCTTTTTCAGTTTCGACAAAATCGGTCATTAAACTTTGAACCAAGTAGGGAAAAAAGGCAAATAAAATAGCAGCAACAACAATAAGGCGAAAGCAAAAAATAAAATAAACTTAGGCAGTCCACCGCTGCTGCTACTGGTATGCGAGTTCTTCGCTCTCTTCCCGATATTTCTCTCCGTCGCTCTTCCCGCTCTACTACGCACTTAGCCAAACGGCACATTGCCGAGGGGGGACGGGGCGTATGAAAGGAAAGTGGAGTGAAGGAAAGCATAAATTCTTCGACGCCTTTTTGCAAAATCTTCCATTGAAAAAATTCTTTCAAAAGCGCATTTCGCCATTTTATTATTATCACAGTCGAACTTCATTAACAGGAATTTTCATACATTTTAATGTCGTTAATTTGGTTTGATTTCTTAAATAATGTTTGACCAAAAATGCAACAATTCCCTCTCAATAAAGTCATGAAAAATTAAAGCCTGCAAGAGAAGGTGGGTTCCGTTTGACTAAGAAGAACGATGACGATTGTTTGCGGGCCCGCTTAGAAAGGAAATCTAACCACCGCTACATTGCTCTCGCTCCCTCTTACATGCATTGCCTGTAACTTACAAGCAAAATATATCGAACAACTTGTAATTTCCACTCACGAACGTTTTTTATCAACACTCGGAAAGAGCTTCGCACTAAGAAAAACAAAATGCCTTATTACTTTGAAAAAAAGAGCCATTTTTTAGTCCCTTTCCGTTTATTTTTGGACGGGGAACCAAAAAAAACAAATGAGTTCAAACTTTTAATGTACGCAATCTGCTTAGCAACACAACTGCAAATAAAATAAAAATATTAGTTTTCGTCCTTCAACTTAAATGTCGATAGCTTTTGATTTTGAACAGAGAGTTATGTTCGGGTTTTAAAAGTTCCCCTGTATTATTTTGACTCCTGTTTTTATAATCGGCGATACAAATAAATAAAGAAGCGGAAAACGCCTATAAAGTATTTTTAGTAGACATCAGACCTGGAGCACGGACACACCGAAGCGAACCCAGACGAACTGAAATATAGGTAGTGGTGATGTGAGTACAGAATATTAATAACAAAACTTTCGGGCGTAGCCACATGTTGCGCGAATAAAAAACACACAAACAATCAAGAAAAAATAAGAAAAAGGCTTTAAGAAAAAATGATTTATTAGTTTAGTAACAGCATTTAATGTGCACGCAAAACGCAAATTGAATTAAACAAAACGGTCGCAAATGGAAAAAGTCACACGAGCGATTTAGGTCACCACATGACGCGCCGTCTTCTTCTTTGTTTTCTTGTGGGTGCTGAAGAGAGTAGGGGAAGAGCAAAGAAAGCTAGAAGAAAGAGAACACGAGCACTGAACCAGACCCACACACGCACAAGAACACCCACTACAAACACTGACAGACAGACAATTCGATTCTGACGTCAAACGGCCGCCGTGCTGATCATAAACTTTTTATTTTTTCTTTTTCTGTGTGTGTCAAGGCACAGTGATATCTGCCTAAGTGAAGCTTTACAAACTAGCAACCTGTATTGATCATTGCTAGACTGCTACGGGGTATTATTATTTTCTTGCAACACAGCTAATAAGTCCTTTCCGACCCTACAAATTATATTTATTCTTAATCAGTATCAACAGCTGTCGATCTTGCCATGTCTGTCTTGTCAGTTTTTAAGCTGACCTAAAACCTTGAAAATAGTTTTCTGACTACTCTCACTAGGATTAAAATCGAAACGAGCCGGATCGAACGACTATTTCATTGAGCTGCCATAGGAGCGATAAAAAAATTAATATAAATAATATATATTTTATGTTGTTAAACATATTTACATGTCTTCTATTTTCTATTATTTCCGAATTTTAATTTTAGTTATATAAACATCGGACGAATACATTATAAACAATAATTATTCTTTTTAATTTTAACTGATAATAAAAGTGCGCCCTTCTAAGATGGTGCTTCATTGAGACAATTCACTTATTTTCTGATATTACAAGCATTTTCCTGGGTTGCTTTCGTGGTCTGTAAATAACATTATTGATAACTTTTGTGTTGATTTGTTTGTTTATAATATTTAATACTTTGAAATACATCTTAAAATGTAATTTGTGGACGTTGGGTAATTAATGCACTACATATGTATGTATATGCTTCTGTAAATAAAACTTGTATAGTAAAAAAAAAAATAGACAAAAAGGAAATGGCTTTGTTATGTATGTTTGCTATGTATATATATAAAATAATATAAAAAATAAATAAATATAAAATATATATATATATATATATTTTTTTTTTGTATATTGAGAGTACATGGGTATGGGTGTGTGTGTTCCCTTCTATTTTTTCTTTGCGTTTTTCTGCTGTCGATTTCGTGTTGGCCCAAAAATAAATGATGAACCATGCAAAAAACTGTGGCTGCTGCCGACAACTTACGCTAAAAATAAGCATTAAAAAATAAATGCTGTACTGAGCAGTGCCGACAAAAAAATGCAAAAAATGAAAAATGTCAAATGTGTGAAAAATCAAACACGTCACAAACAGCGAACTAAACTGAACTGATGAACTGATAAGCGCCTTTTCTTGACTCCGGCCAGTTGGCAACAAAGGGGTTAACTCTCAGCATTCGAATGTCGCATGATCGGATGCTTCGCCAAGATCCGGGGAATTTCTTTTTGCTTATTTGCTTATTATTAGTAACAAAGTGCATAGAGTGACGCATTTATTTACTTGCCTTTTCCTATATGTTTTTCTGAATCACAGGAGGAGGGTGAATGATTCGCATTCGCGAAGACTGCAGGCCTGGCCGTTTTTGCTTTCCTCGTCTTTTGTAAACTGGTTCCGTTCTGTTTTGCCGGTACATGGCGTTAATAATTTTCCGCAGAAGTCCACAAAAACACACATACACAGCTTCTTTTGGCTTTACGGTGGTGACAAACCTTTTAGTACCTTAATGGCTTACACTACTAGTACTTCTAATTTTTGAAAAAGTGGATCAAAATGATCCACGTTGATTATGACAGTACCCTTCAGAGACATATAAAAGACATATGTAGATAATATATGTATGTTTATAGATAGCATATAACAATTTGTTTTTGAACAAAAACAAAGTAATAATAACAGCTTTCATTATATTAAACTATACATACATAACATATTTACAGATTTACAGTTACAGTTTTATATTGCCAAGTATTCCGTTTTCCCTTCACGTACTGATATTTGCTATAGGAGCTATTATGGTATGGTCGTCCGATTTTTATAAAATAAAAACCGAAATTCTGAAATGACACAAAATGATGTAGCTCATAGAAAACATAAAAATATTGAAAAACAGTGAAGTTCTAATTTTTTACTACAAATCTTTTGATCGTTTCTATGGCAGCTATATCAGAGTAGTCAGAAGACCACCTGCAAAAGTTTCATTTAGTTGGCTTCAAAACTGAAGGACTATGCGTAGAAACGGACAAACGGACGTGGCCAGATCGACTCGGCTGTTGATGCTGATCAAGAATATACACGGAAATGTCTCGTTCACTGCGTTGCCAAATTCTGACTAAAATTGTATATAATATTTTGAAAGGGTAATTTACTATTTTAGAATAATTATTTCTTAACGCATATATACAAAATGTAAACTCCTTGTTTTGATCTTTGTCGCATGCAGACAATCAGTAAAACTAAAGTTAAAACATGGAGGGGTGGCAACCCTAGCCAAGCTTGTTGTCTGCTGGTCAATTCCATTTCATTCCATGCCAATTTTCGCTTGGCAACAAAAGTCCCGAAATGTGAATGGCCATCTGTGCCGTGGAAAAAAAAAACAAAATACGTACATATGTATGTACTAACAACAGCGAAAGACCAAGAATAAAAGTAACAACATTAAACGCTAATAATGCCACTTTCACCACAACACGCAAAAGCAAAAACAACGGCAGCAGCACTAATAACATAAGTTAAAGCAAAGCTTTGAATTTTCAGCCATGTATACATGTATTTACCTATGTACATATGTGATGTGCTGTGTTTTATTTTACGAATTTAAAATATCTTCTTACGTATATAAAGCATTGTTGGGGTTAATCAACATTTGTAATTAAAATGCGCACCAAATATTCGCCTTGACAACAGGGCGAATAAAAAAAAATAATCGAAATCGAAAATCGAACTTGAAACAGCTGTCTCTTTTTCTGTGAGTTTTTGTGTGTGTGATTGCAATGTCAGAGGCAAGGCGAGCTTTATGCAGGTGTATACATGAGCCTGGGTGTGTGTGTATTAGAGGCGGCGCCCCGGCCAAATGTAAAGAAAAATCCGAAAAAAAAAAAAAAAAAAAAAAAACAATAAAAAAAAAACCAAACAAGCCAAGAACTTCAGTTCTCTAAAGCTGTTAACTCACTGTTAAGTAGCTTTCTCAAGAGAGCGTGCTCTTTCTGCCCCTCTGTCGCTCTTAGGCAGGTGAACGAACTATAAAAATTCTCTCTCTGTCGGCTCCAAAAAAGAATCGCTAAAACTACGTCGTTTTGCGCAATCAAAAAGAGAATTTATTCTTCTCTTATTCCAGCTGCAATAAATTTTAAGAGTTTAATGTTAATGTTAGTTTTGGATAACAAAGGCTGGGATGCTGGAATTTATTAATTTAAGAACACGTTTTTTTTTTAGTTTCGTAATATTATTTGCGATATTTTACGTTTTCCAAAAACAATTAAATATAATAATTAAAACTAACACTACGCTAAATAATTCAGAGATCCCCTTTTAATATAAAAAAAAAACAAGAAAGGAAGCTAACTTTGGCACGCCGACGCTTGCATACCCTTGCAGAAAAATAAATATATAATAGTTGTATGTTTATACATAGAATATAACAATTTGGTTTTGATAAAATTAAAAAAAAGTTTAATTGTAAAAAACAACTTTAGCTGTTGATAAATAATAGAATAGCAGCTTAAAAATCAAATATAAAATATTTATATTTATATTTATTTTATATCCAAAAAAGTACCTTTTTCAATGAAAATGAACTAAAATGAAGTGCACTACAGAAAAAATTATTCTATAAACCATGCAAAATAAGATACTTCGTAAATTTCGCCGAAAAGGTTTCAGAATTAGAGAAGTAAAACAAAATATTATAAAATAAACATTAAGGGGAGAGGCGTGCTTCTCTTAATTGTTATTATTTATTATTTCTATTTGCGTCGTAGTATGCCGCTTAACCCACTTCCCTTATTTTCTCCGCCTCTTTGTGGCATATTTTCAATAAATAATTTAATTAGTTAAATAAATAAACTATATTCTCTTCCAATTGCAGCAGCAACGGCAACAACTCTTCAAAGGGACGCGGAATACAACAAGAAAACACGTCAAAATAAATAAAACTACCAAATGCAGTACAGTTTGTTTTGTTTTTTAATTAAAACGCGGTGTGTGTGTGAAAAATAATGTTTGTCCAAAATGTTGGGAAAAACGATACACAACAACAACCATAAAACAAAAACTACGATAACCTGAAAAAATAATTAGCTCAAAGCGAATAAGCCACAGATAAAAAAAAAACATAGCAAAACTCAAAAAGCGAATCGCGGAGAAAACAAATAAGAGAAGAATCGCATTGGGAAGAAAGCAAAAGAAAGCCAGATCGACAACAGCAAAACGCACAGCAAAAAATACAACGCTTTTCGGTTTCTTCTCAGATTTCCCTCGCGCGCACCAGTGTGTGTGTTTGCGTGCGTGTCGTGTCGTGTCGCGTGTGTGTGTGTGTTTTGTTTTTATTAGAGCACACACACACGCCGCCCGTTGTCGGTGTATGTGTCTGTGTAATTGCAATGGTAAACGGTAAATAAACAATAAAAAAAACAACAAGAAGCCACCAATAATTCAATGTGTGAGCACTAGTGCGCTTGTTGTCTCACTCGCCCACACACAACCAAAGTGTTTTTTTCATCTTTTTTTTTCTGTTACTAAATGTGCGTTTTTTGACAATTGCAAATAAAAATCGCAAAAAGAGTTAAGGCAAAAATTACAACAAAAGACTAAATATCTTGTGTTCATAATTTTAAACAAAAAAAAAAAAAAAAAGGAGCAACAGCAAAAAGAACAACAAATAGTATTCGACAAAAAAAGTTCGCATCAAGATATATACGAGAATATATATTAAAAGACATATACTATACAGCATAAATATATAATATTAATAAATTGTAAACGAACTCAAAATAAATAAATAATAATAATAATCAAATACACACAAGTTCAACTACTAAGTTGCAAATAAGCCAGCAACAACAACGACATAAAGGAATAAAAACAAGCAAGTACATAACGAAAAGAAACGCAGAAATCCCAAACAAATTTATATAAAAAAATTCGACAAAAATAAATTACAAAATAATACTAAATAAAAATCGACAAATGTATCACTATTCACTTCAATATATCCCAATCGCATGAACAAATAACGCAATATATAATATATATATACATATATATTTATATATATGTATATATATATATAACCACAAATATATATATGTATATATATATACACTAATATAAAGTAGGAGTAAAGAGAAGCAATCTTCGATTCATTAATCAGCGCAAAGCCAACAAACATCAGCCCCATGTATAGATTAGAGGACACGAATAGCGGAGGCGTTATGGATAAGAATAAACAGAAACGTAAGTATAATATCCTTATTTATTCCGAGCTCGTACAAACGGTTCAAAAACGTTTTTCCAACTGGTCATAAAGGCTTCTTGAAAAAGAGTTGACCGATCGCCGCTTGATGGGAACTAGGATATTTGTCAATCATTTTTTTTTTCACATGGAAATAGCTAAATTTAAATTAAAATTAAATTTCACAAATAATTAATTACCGGCAATTTCTGTCCAAAAATATTTTACCAATGTGAAGGATTTCAGGAGTTGTCCTGCCTAATTGATTTCTTCCTTTTTGACAAAACAACTAACATTCAAAATGTAATGCGTGGTTTGAAACGCTATTGATTAAAATATATAATAAATAAAAAAACATTCAACACAAACTTGAATTTATAACTTTATTTTTGTGTTTATATTGTTGTGCGAATATATTTTTGATTTTCGTATTCATGAACTCAAACGAGTGTTTCATCCTTCTCTCTGAGGCTCTTTTCGCTTTCAGAAAGCTTCGTCTTTGGGTTCTCCCATTACAGTTAATCGGAATCGAGAGATCAGATCCCCTTTTCAGACTGCTTGGTTGTTCTCTCTGCGAAACAATTTGATTGATGAAAACTGTTTACCTTTTCGTACGAGCTCTGCTTTTATACATTCACATGTCCGAGGGAGAGCATTGGTTGGTGCTGATTGGATGATTGGATTCGGCAGCTAATTCCAGCTGTTTCCATTCCGGACAAGTGAAACAATGTCGATGCATTCAGCCAACAAATATAGTGTCAACTGTTTGCTTATCACTCAACTGGCACTCACTGTCTCCGTCGTCGTCACCGTCACAGTTTTAATGCGTATTTCTGTTTTCCCCAATCCTTCGTACTGTTCTGGGTGAACCCGTGACTCTAAATCGGGGACTTCCCCATTGTTTGTCGCAAGAGGCGACCTGGAAACAGGGGGGGAGGTTCGCGTAGCTGATTAGTTTGGCGCCATCTGTTCATAAACTTATCAAGTGGAGACGACGACAACCTACTGCAATTCATGACATTACCTTTTCACCGGGATCGGAGACTCCGACACTTGCTGGTGAGTCACCTGTTCCGGATGTCGTTCTTGTCGCCGTTGTAGTTCTGGCCCGCCCCCTTCCTTAAATGCACTTATCGATGGAGGTTGTTTATAAATGCCCCGATCCCAATTCCTGGGCCAAAATGCAAGTGGCCAAAAGGCGGTGAATAACGAAAAACGCAAAATGTCGTCAACTATTTTTATTTCGACCAAAAGACGCGACAGACATTGAGAGGCAAGGGATGGGAATCAGCACGGATCGGATCGGCTCCCTATAAATAGACGTTGCTCACTATCCGACTCTTTTATTTATTTTATTTTTTTGAGGGGCCCCAAACTCATTTATCATTCAACTCTTCCATTGATTGGCAGGCGTTTAATTTATTTTTATTCAAGCAAACATTTTCTAATTACTATAGCAGAAACTTTGTTTAAAAACATGCAATAAATGTATTTAATAAGTTAAAATAAAGTAAGGCGTCAGATCTAAGAATCATTACATTACCGATTTAAAAATATGAGAATTTTATAATTTACTTAAATAGTACAAAAATTGCCAAAATTTGATATACAGTGGGGAGCAAAAATGATTCCATGATCAACGTTTTCATGTTTGAGCGCACATAAAAATTAAACGAATAAAGTAAATGACGAAAACTTTTTTTTTATTGAACACCTTGTTTATTGTTTATAATTAGGCATACGTAGCAAAATTGTAGATGAAGAAATTTAATTGTTATAATTAAAAAACAAAAACAAGCGGCAAAAACAAAATAAGTTCATTATAAATATTTTGTCCAGAGACCCTTAATTTCTGTATTTTTTATACATTTTGGAATACTCTCAACTAATTTTTCGACAATTCCTTTTGGAATATTATTCCACTCTAATTCTACACGCCCCCAAAGAACGTCCAAGTTGGATGGGCTTGATTGATACTGCCCGAGCCGTCGTTTTATGATTGACAATGGGTTTTCAATCGGATTGAGGTCGGGACTTTGCGCTGGTCCCTCCATCATCCTAAAATTTTGGTTTCCGAGCCATTTTTTAACTATTTTCGCTGTGTGTTTGGGATCCCCACTTAGCTAAAAACTGATTTCCGGCTCTGGGTTCGAACACTGGTCAAGAAAATTAGGAAGATGGATATGCAAAATGTTCAAATAATCATACTTTCTTATAATCCCTTCATTTTTGAGCAACTGTCTAACGTGAAACAGCCCCATGCCATTATGTTGCCGCCTCCATGTTTCACTGTTTGCTTCACATGATGCCTTTGAAACTTGTCACCAGGTCTCCGCCAACAATACTGTTTTTCATCCGACTGAAAACGATTAAACTTAGATTCTTCTGACCAGATAGTACGTTTCCAGTCTTATGTTGTCCAGTTCTTGTGTTCCTTAGCGAGTTTTACCCGAGCCTTAACCTTTTTCTCGGATAAAGCTGGTTAGTTTTTTTTCATTGCTGGCTCGTAACCAATCCTACCTAGCGCTCTTCTAGCTATCCATCGTCTTACGCCTTTACTTATTTCCGTATACGCTTATTTTGGTGTTAAAAGTCTATTTTTTCTTATTTTAGACATCATAAGTCGAGCGTCAGCATCTGTTAGAATATGCGACGGTGACCACCCAACTTCCTTTAAGGACAAACATTGTGTCTTTTCTGCAACATATTTATTAATTTTCAGCTTCTCATCTAATTTTTTTTAACATAAGACAGCTTCTTAATTTTTCAGGAAATCGTTACCGACTAGGTTACAAATGCAACAAACAACTATAAACTTGGGGAAGAGAGTGATTTTCTGAATTCTGACAAATAATAATAAATGCAAAAGGCATTTAACAATAAATCTGCAGGTCAATTGCTTATAAAATAAGTAAGAAGAGCAAAAATATGAACGAATACCGGATGGTGCAAAACTGAGTACATGCCGCTTGTTTTTGTTTTTTAATTATAACAATTAAATTTCTTCATCTACAATTTTGCTACGTATGCCTAATTATAAACAATAAACAAGGTGTTCAATAAAAAATAAAAATTTTTGTCATTTACTTTATTCGTTTAATTTTTATGTGCGCTCAAACATGAAAACGTTGATCATGGAATCATTTTTGCTCCCCACTGTATGTAAATTGCAAAATCAAAAATGGAATCAGGCGTCAGAATTAATTAAAGGACAATCTTATTTTTCCTTTTTTGAACCCATCGTATTGATCACACATTGGTTGTATGGGGTTAATTACATTTTATTTCAATTTCACATTTCCTGTGCTTTGTTTTGATTTCCTTGTCTTGAGAACCAACGACGCAAAAAGCGAAACAAAGAAATGCATTTATCTGTGTCTCTGAGCGCACGAGACAAGTGTTAACGGTTTTCCTACCCACAGGTCTCTCACTTTCCCGCTCTACTTTATTGTTTTTCACTCTCCGACTACTTGTTATTATTAAATTTCCATTATCTTGAAAAAGCGGAAATCTTTGCCGCTTTTTGTCATTCCCCTAAAACCAACCAAAAATAGCTTTGTTGAAAAAAAAACAAAGCCCAGAAATGATGCGCCTTTGATAACCAAAAAATGTGGAAGAAACACCTATTGAACAACAGAAGCCAAATAAACATTTGCCGATCAATACGTATTATCCAGAAAGTTGTCTTGATCAGTTTAAGATTCAATATTTATTCCAAGCTCAATGGAAGAGAGGTTGCATTTGCAATTATAATTAAATAAAATCTATCAAAAAAATAGTTCAACTGGCTTGATTAAAAAAATAAAAAAAAGGTCCCAAAATAATAGCAAATAAGTAAATGTTAATATTTTTTAAAAGGGGATAATTATATCGATCTTTGATTTTTTTTTAACTGTCCAACACTGATCTCCTCAAAATAGTCGTCCCAACACTGGTGTAGATCATGTAAAATTAACAAATCGCGGGGCCAGATCTTCGTCGGGCATCCCCTATATCTTCATTATTAGATCGTGATGATGGTTGCACTTCGTAATCACTATCTGTAGTTTGTTCGTGTGATCCGCAGAAATGTAGCATAAATACAGAAAAGAGATAAAAGCAGCAAGAAGACGCAACAGAGAATACGGTTCCGTATAAATAAAACAGACTACTATACGACGAGTGGCACCACCTTTGGGGCCAGTGAAAAACTGACAGTTTGCGTTTAATTTTCACGCGACGCAGATCGCATTACAGAAAATCTCGTCTTGGAAACGCCGTTTCGAAAGCAAAACACCAAAGCTAAGCTGGGCAAATTGATCTGTGGTGGAATAATTTTTTAAAACAATGCCTGCAAAAATAGAAATATAGGGAATTAGGAAGTGAGAAAGTTATACAAAAGACGAGCATTATGTCGGCAGCTCTGGTGTATTGGCAGTCAACGAACGGCATCAATGCTGTTGACAAGGCCCCCACAACCGATTGGACACCTGGTGGCCACCTGAACCTGAACCTGAACCAGAACCACCACCACAATCACAATCGCCATCATCCGCCTCATTACATCAATTATTTGGCGCAAATTGGCTGCCAGCATCGTGTCAGAAATTGGCCAACAAATAGCAATCAGGATGATGGCAGTGCCGACGGCGAGGCCCATGAAATCATCTCAAAATTCCAACCAAAAAGTGCGTGGAGCAATCTGGTGGATGTGGATCGCGCCGATGGCAATCTGTTGGAGCTTCAGCTGGGATCATCAAGGTGTGAAGTGGCGCCACCAATTTACATTTGTAAGCTAAAGAATGGTTCTACGGATATAAATTAGTAATTTATAACTAGTTTACCTCAAACCTTGCAGAGTCTAGGGAAATAGAGCGTTTGAAAATTGATTTTTTTTTTAAGAACGTAATGTATTATTCATTTAAAGAGGAACCCTACGCATAGAACAACAAATATAATGTAATGTCAAAATTCTATTACATATTGTATTAAAGTTTTACTTACAGTTTCAGTCTTACATTCACATTAAACAAAATTAAATACCCGTTCATTTAATAGGAAAACAAATATTAAAACAATTGTTCAAAATTAATTGTACTGTTTTTTTTGCTGGATATTTCCAAAATATCTCTTGTTTAATCCAAATAATTATTTATAAATCAAGTATATTATCATTAGTTAAATCAAATTAAATATTTATAGGTAAAGGGAGTTATAGAGAATTTTCCTATTTTCCTTCAAATAATGTTTATTTGCTGTGTACGATCCTAACTGTCCACAGAATCATTGGATATTACAAAAATAAAATTAATTATTTACAGTATTGGAAGTCAACTACCCCATTTTTGACAAAAGCAACGCTAATTTGTTAAAAATTAAAATACAAAATGCCGTTCTAAGAAGAACTCTTAAAAAAAGTGGCATAAGTTTTTAATTTTTGCTTCGATCGATGTACCATTTTTGCACTATATATTTAATAGGATACGCATTCATAAAAAAAATTAAAAAATTAAAAAATAAATTAATAAAATATTTAATATATTACTATAATATAAAAAAATTAATACTATACTATAAAAACCGACAGTTTCTTCCTCTGACAGGTTGTTCGGGTTGTGTTCCCCATGTTCTTTCGGTGGCTTGTTTATATCGTTGTGGCTATTTTCGTTGCAGAAACTAAGCCAAAAGAAAAACGAAAAATTAAATAGAAAAAAAAAGTAGACTTGGGTGAAGAAAGAATCACAAAAGTAGAAGAATTCGAGCACTATAACGGCAGCATTATGCATAGTGCTTGCATATTGTGTAATAATGTCGTTTCCCTCTTGTTCTATAATTAAGGTAGAGCATTTATCTTTTGAACGGCGACTCTTCCTACTACCAGTGCACAGAGAGAAAAATGTGGTGTTTTAAAATATAAATAAATTGAGCATTATACGGTATATATATTTTGAAACATATATATATATTTTAATAGAGGAAACTTAAAATAAAAGTCATAATATTAGACAAAATTTGTATCATATTATATTGATCTCTTCAAAAATAATATAGTAGTACAATTTTAAATAACTAATTAGCTAAACAGCTTTAGGCAAACAACGCACATATTTATTTAGCTTTTACTTTATGCCAGATATTGTAATTATAACGACTATAATTATAACGATCTGTATATATAGACTCGATTTCCTTCGGTGTGCCTGAACTTAATCCATTCTCCGCTCTTCACCCGGTCTTTATCAACTTTTTGGCAACTCTCGTCGTTGACGGCGTCAGGTGTGCCCCGAAAACAGGTGCACCGAGCAGTGCCCGAGCGATTCGGTCATTGAACCAGCGCCTTAAGCTTTATATACCTCATACATACCATACCTGATCTGATCTAACACCGCTTCTCTCTATATCTCTTTTTTTGTTTAGTATCCGCGTATGGGTCCAGCGCGGGCAGCGTCGACGCAGCGCAGGGCAGCGGGAGCGGGAGCGGTGGAGGCGGTCGACAGCGTCATGCCCCACTTTATGGACGCTTTGTTGCCGAGGACGATCTGCCTGCCACGCACAGAGATGTCATGCACCATGTGAGTACCTGGAATCCGTATTTCCATTCTTCATACTTCAGCAAAGACCCTCCCTCCCCTAGATACAAGTATCAAGATGCGTAACAAGCATGTAAGACCTTGTAGCTCTTAGATTCGATAAAAAGAAAAAAACAAATTCATACTTCATCAAATGGCCCTATAAAGATTAAAGAACAACAACACTCTTTTTTGTTACCCACATTTAGGTTCGAATAGAAGATCATTTTATGCTGATCATAATAGTTTTTAATTCACTCCGATATATTGCATAGTTTTTTGTGAATTATGACCGTAACATAGGAGTAATAGCCGTTTAAAGTTTTTAGATGCGCCAACGTTAACACTTGTATACCTTTCGTACATACTTGATTTTGAGGCACTTAGAGTTGAAATTCGATAATAAAGCTTGCACAATATATTCTTTAAGTAATAAACTATTTACCCAAAAATGTTGACTTATGTATGTACATATATCCTCCCTTAAGAAAGCCTGATAGTCCGGCGTTACTTAGGCATATTATTATAGCTTATGCACTGTAGCACTCCAACACTCAATAATATATATAAATAAATATAATTATTCCATTCGACTCCATTTCACAGCACTCTAGTCCCTCGTCGTCGTCGGAGGTGCGTGCCATGCAGGCCCGTATTCCCACCCATTTTCGAGACCCCTCCTCGGGACCGCTACGAAAGCTGAGCGTTGATCTAATAAAAACCTACAAACACATCAACGAGGTAAGAGTTTTTATTCTTGTAATATATAAATAATTGTTAAAAAAATAGTCTAATATTTTATATGGGTAAAAAATTCAAAGTCCCCCAAAAATGATTTAGTTCATCATGTTGCATTAAGAAATGCTCAAATTGATCAAATTTGAAGGAATTTACCACATTCTAAAACAAGTTTTGATGATGAACATCATAAACAAGAAAAGAAGCTAACTTCGGCAAGCCGAAGTTTGTACACCCTTGCAGTTTACAATTGGAATCATTAAGAATCCATTCTGGTCAAATTAGTAGAACAAACCGAAAATACATAATAAGTTGGTTTTGATAAAATTAAAGGACAAATTTGTAATTAATTGAAATTTCTAAAATAATAAACATGAATATATATGCTAAAAATAAGTAAAGTAATATCAAATTTCTTTTCAGTTACAGTTTTGCATTCGCAGCTTGACATTTTTCTCTAATGGATGGATGGGTCGTTTTTATGACAGCTATATGAAATAGTTATCCGATTTTCATAAAATTAAAATCAAAATTCTGAAAGAATAAAAAATCATATAATATCTTAGAGTAGATGAAAATGTCTTGAAAAACAACAAAGTTATACTTTTTTTCTTCTATAAATGTGTATGTTATAGTCGTCCGAATCGTTTATCAAAGTTTCGTTAAAAATAAAAAAAAGTGACTTCTTGACTTCTGTGCTAACCAATTTGTAAAATTAAACTAAAGCCTTGTTTTTTTTTTTAGTTTGAATGCGAGCAATTATTGCATTCGACATCAGAGAATTGCACATATTCATTGTTTATCAATTGTATTTTAAGATATTGGTTTTGAAATGCCATGGGTAATTTTTTTCGCGGTGCAACCGCTCGAGTACCTTGGCATCCATCCGGTCGTTTATTTTTCTTAATGTTTCCCCGCTCCTATGGGGGTTTTTCTTTTCTTGTGCTAGGTGGTGTGTGACTATCTGCTGACAGCGGATATTTGTGGTGTTGAGCTGGGCTAAAGATACGTTTGTCCTTGACCCTATTGGTGGGTCAGTCCCCAGACCAAACCCGTCCGCAGTTGGCTTCGATTGACGTCGTCTGCCGCCTCGGTTGACAACAGCCAAGCAGGCATTGCCTTTTGCCCGAAAAAAGATAAACAAATAAAGAACACGATACAGCAATCAAGCAACTCAGACGCACGCAACGCAACAGTCTCTGTATTCCTGCCAAGTTCTAAACAAAGAACTGGTTTTTTTTTTTAATATCAGCTTAAAATAATATAATACATTTCTTTTTTAAAGATAATTTTAATAATTAATTATTAAATTAACATTAAAATTTTTTTTTGTTTAATGCATCAGCTGAGAAAATAGATAGATCTGCAAAAAATGCCAGATACCAAATTGTATCTACAAAAATGTATTAGAGGGCGAGTTGTCAAAATGGTCTCACTATACGAATGCCTTTTTGCTGGTGTCTTGCAATTATTTGCTGAAACTAAACTGCAAAAAGTTAAAAAATTGAAAAAGGTTCCATATACGACTGAATTACTGAAAATTTTGGCGATGAATCGCCTGCAAAATGAACCAAAATGAATTTTGGGGTGTCAACCATGACATCTGTATGCATAAGTATCTAAGTTTAAAAAAAACTTAATGGCTACCACATGCATAAATGATGGAGTGGTTCGACAATGACCCCAGAAATACATACTTAATGCATACATATGTACATATGTACGCATTATTGCTTGCATATATTGCTTGCCTTTTTAAATCAGTATGCCCGAAGTCGGCCTAAAATACGAGCCAAATTACAAAGATTGTTGTATCCTTCAAGGTTATAATGAAACATCTATTTAATGAAAACAGCATTAGAGTAACATAAGGTCATTAACAGTTAAGTGATTCATTAACCAGAGACGGTTACAGTTACAGCGTATATTTCTGACAGGTGCAGATTGCTCTCTTCTTGACACACGTCACAAGGCTGCAGTGACAGTTACAGGATCCAGTTGCAGTTTTTGATGCATTTGCAGGTGGCTTGTACCGCTATATGCCGTAAGACTTGCCTTTTTCTCGGCTCCGTTTTGTATGCTAAAGTTTTTTGCCTCTCTGAGAGAGAGAGAGAGAGAGAGAAAGAAATAAATGCAAGGAGCATGGAAAAGAGAGGGAGTGAGGACGAAAGAGTATAGCAAGAGAGTTTTCTTGGAAGAGAGAAATTCCCACGTTTCCTGGCAAGCAATAAATGATTTAACGATGAGCCTAGAAAAATATTTTATATGAATTATAACCATCTCTTGACAAAGTGAAGTTCCTCCTACAAGAATTGCTTTTGTAGCCGTCTTTCAGGCGTTGTTGGAAAATGTTTATACTCCGTTCTAACGTTCTCTGCCTGCTCTCTTACACGCTTGCACAGTCGCTCTCTAGCGCTCTCTGGCAGTGTCTGCAATGTGGCGCCGTCTCGTTCACTCTACCACCAGCTTTCCGCGTTAGCAACAACTTTTTTCGCCAAGCTGCATGCAACCTTTTTTTTTTCCTTCCTTTGACCCGCTCCCTTGCTTCCAATAAGAAAAAAAAGAGAGGAGTGAGGTGGAAACTAATAGGCGGCAAGGAGGGGCGTCGTCCTCTTTCGCATTCGCACCCCCCCCACCCTTTTTTTTTTTTATTACATTTGCCGGTTTTCGTGTCTCTCGTTTTCGCTATTTTCTCATTTTGGTAGCGTTGATGAAGTGGAAATAACGGGATAACTGTCAGCTGACCAACGCAATGCAATTAATTAAATTCACCACCTGCAGTCGGGACAATATATTTTTGTTATTTTATGGGCTAAATGGAAGGGTTTAATTAATAAATAGCATTAAGCGATTTTTTCTCTTTGTCGCTCCTATCTCCAATAGGGAGCCGTTATATGTACATTTATGTATGTATGTATGTATGTAGTTTGATTTAGCAGACCTCAAACTAAGGATGGTGGCGCTTGTTGTCTTGAACCTGAAACTGGCACTTCTTTCGCGGCCAGCTTTGTTAATAACAAGATCGTTTTGTTTAACTTTTTTTTTTATTTTAAACAGGACTATACTGTAAAAAGAAACCTGCAAATAAACAACAAAATAGGTACATACATTCTCTAAAATCTAAAAAAAAAAAAACAAAGAATGTTAACTCCGTACGTCGAAGTTGTATAGCCTTGCTGTTTGAAATAAAGTAATAATTGGATTATTAAAATCGATCCATTTAAATCGAATGAAAATAAAATGCCTAACAGAAAAAACAAGCAATTATATTTCAAAACAATTAACTTCCGAGTTTTTCTTATATAAAAATATAATCAAACAACAACGCACCTGGACTATAAAAACGGGCACTATATATACACTACTGGCCGAAATAATAAGTACATGCGTATGTGGTTTGTTTCAAGTCCTATAAAATTTGTTTAATAAACTTAAGAAAAAAACCCACTTTATTTTTAGTTTCCGTACTTATTCCAGATAATAAAAATAACTGCCTAAAGGATTTTACATTTCAAATTAAGAGACAGGGGTCAATTTTATCCAAAAAGCATGAAAATGGGCTGGCCGAAATAATAAGTACACCCATTCTTCTAAGTCTAGAACTCGGAACGTATTAGATATTTTTCACTTCTTTCTTCTTACAAGTAAACTTAGATTAGTATCCAATAGAACCACACTCGTTTTAGGTAACTTTCGCTATTATTTTTGGCATTCTAGCAGGAAGTCTGTGGCAAGTCAGTACTAGAAGCTGAGACCAGGTTTCTTCAGCAAATCTTCACAAATCTTCAACATTTTAAAATGTTTTGGTTACAATTCGACGTTTTAAGTTTCCCCACAATGTTTAGTTTAGGTTTATGATAGGAGACTGACTTGACCATCTCATAACAGTTACCTCTCTCTTGCCAAAAAGGACCTGTTTGGTCATCCAAGGCCATTTCCGGCGAAATTGACATTTAAATTTGAGCTCGAACAGTTTGTCGTAGACTGCATGAGACAGGATTACAAGGACGTATACCCCAAAAGGTTCTATTACTTCAAGGAAAATTTGTTCAGATGAAGCAAAAGCTTTGCAACATTTTTTTTGGTATGGTCTGAACCGGAGGTGGAAACAAAATACTTTGGGGCAATGAAACAAAAATATTTCTTTTTGAAAACGATTCTAGACGGTTTGTACGTCAAACCTAAGTAAAAAAATTGAGCTTTGAAACGCGAAAAAAAAGTTAAGCCCGGAGACAGATGCATAAAGGTCAGGGGCTGTTTTTCCTGGCATGGCGTTGTGCAAATACATCTCATAAATGGTATTACGACCGAATTCGAAAATAAAACTTTTTTAACTGGCATCTTCTAACCATATGCTTAGGGAAACATGCCCTTCCGATAGATTTTCCAACGAGATAACGATCCAAAGTAAACCTTAAAAGTCATCATGGCCTGGTTTAGGGACAAAAAAGTAACCGTCATGGGTTGGAAAAGTCAGTTTCCGAACTCATACCTAATCAAAAATTTATGGGGAAACTTAAAACGTCGTATTGTAACCAATACATTTAAAAATTTTGAAGATTTGTGAAGATTTGCTGAAGAAACATGGTCTGAGTTTCTAGTAGTGACTTGCAACAGACTTCTTGCTAAAATGCCAAAAATAATAGCGAAAGTTACCTAAAACGAGTGTGGTTTTATTGGATACTAATCTAAGTTAACTAATAAGAAAACAGAAGTGCAAAATATCTAATACGTTCTGAGTTCTAGGCTTAGAAGAATGGGTGTACTTATTATTTTGGCCAACTCATTTTCAGGCTTTTTGGATAAAATTGACCCCTGTCTCTAAATTTGAAATGTAAAATCCTTTAGGCAGTTATTTTTATTATCTAGAATAAGTACGGAAACTAAAAATAAAGTGGGTTTTTTCCTTAAGTTTATTAAACAAATTTTATAGGACTTAAAACAAACCACATACGCATGTACTTATTATTTCGGCCAGTAGTGTATATATTCTTTTGGATACTCTTTCAGAATTTCGATTTTTATTCAATGAAAATCGGAAGACTATATCATATAGCTGCCATAGAAACAATCAGTAGATGTAGAGAAAATGTAAAGCTGGGAATGTAAAACTGTAACTGTCAAACTGTAAACATATTAGGTATAGGTAAAATGTAATAAAACTTAGTTTTGTGTGTCTTTTAAGCATTTAAATTTATAATATAAATATCAAAACCAAATTATTATATGATAAGTATAAATATACAACTTTTATATATTTCTTTTTATTTTTTTCTATTAACTTAACTCCAATTGCAAAATGCAAGGGTATATCAACTTCGGCGTGCTGAAGTTAGCTTCCTTTCTCGTTTTTAATTGACAATATAGTGTTTAACCCAACGTGAACAATGAAACTAAAGCTTTAATTTATATTATGTATAGGAATGTTGAAAATAATAAGTTTAATATTATAATAAAATAATAATCATTAAAAAAAAGGTCCAACTGAATCCAATCCATCCCAAGCCATATCTCTGGTATCTTATTATCTATTTTAAAGATTTGTCCCGTTTTTTTTTAATTAGACATATTTGGTAACATTTGCATACATCATGTTTACAGAAAGTTAATTGGTTTTCAAACTAGAGCACGTTGGTGGTTTCTGTAATTTTTTAAGACTGTATTTTATATACAGTAATATCCTATCAGTGTAAACATATACATATAATATCCTATTATTATAGTTACATAAGTCGATGTAGTTGAGTTAATTTAAACAAATATTTCGTTTTTTAAGGTTTACTATGCGAAAAAGAAACGCCGTGCTCAGCAAACGCAGGGCGATGACGATTCGTCCAATAAAAAGGAGCGGAAGCTGTACAACGATGGCTATGATGACGATAACCACGACTATATAATCAAGAATGGCGAAAAGTTTCTGGACCGCTACGAGATTGATTCGCTGATCGGTGAGACAGATTGAAACCAATTCGATTTTTTGAACTTAACCAAACCGAATGAATGCGTTCCACAGGCAAGGGCAGTTTTGGTCAGGTGGTAAAGGCCTATGATCACGAGGAGCAATGCCATGTGGCGATCAAGATAATTAAGAATAAAAAACCGTTCCTAAACCAGGCACAGATCGAGGTCAAGCTGCTCGAGATGATGAACCGGGCGGATGCCGAAAACAAATACTACATCGGTGAGTATAGCCACAGAAGTGACTCGCTGGGCGCCGATTTAAATGTGTTCCTTCGTTCCCGTTCCACAGTGAAGCTCAAACGGCACTTTATGTGGCGCAACCACCTGTGCCTGGTGTTCGAGCTGCTCTCATACAACCTGTACGACCTGCTGCGGAACACCAACTTCCGGGGCGTCTCGCTAAACCTCACGCGCAAGTTCGCCCAGCAGCTCTGCACTGCGCTGCTATTCCTCAGCACCCCCGAACTGAACATTATTCACTGTGATTTAAAGCCGGAGAATATCTTGCTGTGCAACCCGAAACGCTCGGCGATCAAGATCGTTGACTTTGGCAGCTCCTGTCAACTGGGTCAGCGGGTAAGTAGTAAAGTCGTCGAGTAGTGAAGCCTTCCAAGACTCTGACGGAAAAACCACCTCTTTTAGATCTACCATTATATCCAGTCGCGATTCTACCGCTCGCCGGAGGTGCTGCTGGGCATTCAGTATGACCTGGCCATCGATATGTGGTCGCTGGGCTGCATCCTGGTGGAGATGCACACGGGCGAGCCGCTCTTCTCCGGCTGCAACGAGGTGGATCAGATGAACAAGATTGTCGAGGTGCTGGGCATGCCGCCAAAGTACCTGCTCGATCAGGCGCACAAGACCCGCAAGTTCTTTGACAAAATCGTGGCCGATGGCTCCTATGTGTTGAAAAAGAATCAGAATGGGCGCAAGTACAAGCCGCCGGGATCCCGCAAGCTGCACGACATTCTGGGCGTGGAAACTGGCGGGCCGGGTGGCCGGCGTCTAGATGAGCCCGGTCACTCCGTCTCCGATTATCTCAAGTTCAAGGATCTGATCCTGCGCATGCTCGACTTTGACCCCAAAACACGGGTCACGCCCTACTACGCCCTGCAGCACAACTTCTTCAAGCGCATGGCGGACGAGGCGACCAACACAAGCGGTGCGGGCGCCACAGCCAATGCCGGCGCTGGTGGATCCGGCTCTAGCGGAGCTGGCGGTTCCAGCGGGTTCAGCGGACCGGGAGGCGGAGGTGCTGGCGGCGGCGGGGGCCTGGGATCGAGCAACAGCAGCAGTAGCGGAGCGGTCTCCTCATCCAGCGCAGCAGCCGCTGCGGCAGCGGCAGCAGCAGTTAGCTCAGCTTCGGTCACAGGGTCCTCCGGTTCGGGAACGGGATCTGGAGTGCCGGGCGGATCCTCTGCGGCGCAGCAGCAGCAACAGGCGATGCCCCTGCCACTGTCCCTGCCGCTGCCACCGCACGCGGGTCCCGGCGGTGCGTCGGATGCCCAGTGTCATGGTGAGTACTGGTCGTCCAGATCACTTGGAATGCCCCCTCTAGAGTCAATCAATGTGTCGATATTATAGTGACAAATCAAAGGTTCAAAGTGCTAACTGTAGACTATTGACGTGTATGTTTGTTCACGCAAAATAAGTATAAAATCAATTGTAAAATGCAGTGAGTACTTTCAAGAAAATGCATTTATAAATCCGTAGTTCAAGATAGGACTTGAGCCCCATTCAAAATAAGTTTCTACATGGGGGACTCTCCCGCCATAAAGCTTTGGTTTTGTTCTAAGGGAATCCAATGGATTCAATCCTATGAGTTCAAGATTTTAGAATTGGAAATTTCAAAATACCTTCAATCAAAATGTTGCTGAAGAAAAGCTTTTAAGGTAATAGAGTTTCCAAAAAAATGTTCAAAGATTTTTTTTAAATTCAAGCTTAGGAATAATCTATTATTTTGTTGATAAAGCTTAGAAGCGATATAATATCTGTAAATGGCTGCTCAAGGGTGCTTTCAGGCTGCGATTTCATTTGGCACCTTTGGTCCTTGATCCTAGAGTATTGACAACATCATTTCTCATCCCTCCGCATTTGTAGCTAGAGAATTTGGTAACTTTTTGTTTATTATCTTATGATTTTTGGCTGAGCTAAATTGAAGCGATAGCTAGCTCGCTGGATTCTGTTGTAGTTCGCATGGGACAATGATCCTCATTTGGTATTTCATGTGTTTCTGTGTGTGTTGTGTGTATGATCGAAACGATTTTATTATTTATTGATTTGCTGTGAAGAAATACTATTCCCCCGAGTATCGTTTTCAATATGGTATTATTCTTATGGAACTGTGTGTACTATCTGGCTTATGATTTGTATGTGGTATTTATTTACTATTTAGTTGCACTAGGTCACGCCACAGGCCTTATAGTAACAGGAAATCTCCATCTCTCGCTCGGCTCTAGCACGAAATAAAGACCAGATGGCGTTACTCATCTTGTTAGTATAAGGTCCTTGGCCACTCCCTAAAAGTATAAGAACTATTTTGTTATGTCTCATCTTTAGTTTGGCGCTCAGTTCCAAAATTAATTAACTAGTGATGGACCGAGGTCCAAGACGAACTTGTAAAATGTAGTAGCCATGTTATGCATCCTCCGCTAAGTCAATGATAAACTCCTCTCTTTTTCAAACACACAAATATTTACATACAAATGAAAACAAACAAAAACAAATTTGCTATGCCGAAAATGTACCGATGGATGATGATAGATGATCGCCGATGACCGGCAACATCAGCAGTAACAGCATGCGCATCCGCATCCGCAGCAGCAGCAGCAGCAACAACAGCATCACGGATATCACAGCAGTAACAACAGCAGCATTAGCAGCCAGCAACATTAGACGTACAGCTAGTAGCATTGGGAGATGCAGTTGGCCAAGTTATTACCGCATTTATTGAACAACTTGTAAATAGTCACGTTTCTCTTTCACCACATCATACACACTGTCTGTCTCTGGCAGGAATCAAGAATGATTATTCTTATATTTTCAACGTGAAAATAACTCAGTAATTTCCCAACACCATCTGTTTATCTTTTTTTTTATATTTTTCTCTACTTCAAATATATGTAAAATGTAATATGCTCACGCATTTTAAACGCTCTGATCGGATTAAATACAATCTCATGTGTAAAATGTTTAATTTTTTTGTCTAACTTAAATTACGCAAACGGCGGCTTACTTAGGGTAATAGCATTGTACGAAGTAAAAACTGTTAGAAAAGGAAATAAAAAGTAAGGCGGAGGAGGAGCCGACTATGCAAATATAGAAGTAGTAATATTAAGACGAAGAAATAAGTAAACGAGGAATCCTTAACGACTTAACGACTGCCATACATATACATAAATGACACACTGAGAGAAAGAGAAATCAGCAATCCCCTAGCAGTACACAAGTATATATCGCTTCGGATGGGATGAACACGAATGCGACTCGAAGGGGCTCGGCTGGCACTCCTGAAAATTGATATAACCACTTAACGATGCTTATGTAGGATTTGGAATGTGGTTTAGCTTATATTTCAGATTGGATTAACACAAAAAAATGTAAAATTAAAGAACATATTCCGAAATACCGAAGAACAAAGTTTTCAATTTTGATGAGATGAATATTTACTCTTTGTTTAAAAACTCTTGTAATTTATGATACTTGTGAGTTTAGAACACGTTTTCTTCTCCATTGAGAAGGTTAACATGCCTCAGCCAGCCCCTTTTAGCCCAGCATATTCGTTTGTTTTCGAGCAGCCACAAGTAAATATGTGCTATATCCCACATTTCAAAATTCAATTAGGTGCTGCAATGAGTATTTAAAAATCGAAGGTACCAGGCGATATGGATCTCAGCGATATATACGACATTCGAATTAAAAACTAAACACAAATCATAGTTTGTAAAAAGTGTGAAGCCCAATTGGGGAAAACGTAGGAATGTTAAAGTCGAGATGCGAGAATTTAAGCAAAATTAGCGTACGCAAAGAATGTGGTAAAGATTGCGAAAAATATATAAAACACAAAGTCAAGTAAGGAAAGGTAAATTTCTGCAATAAAGAGAAAACATTTTATTAATTATGGCTTGTACATCTACATTCTTTTTCCGTCCCCGTAACTTTGAGGACCGTTTAATGCCGTTGAATAGAGGTTCAAATCTGAATAAAATATCAACTTTAAGTGCAAAATGCTATGTTTTTGTTCTTAGATTTCAGTAGCTGAAAGGTGTTGCAAAATAGCTTACAGTTTGAACAAGAATTTACTATTTGCTGTCATAATTTAATTTCTTAATTTTTTTAACACTTACAAAAATTTGTTAAATTCAGAATTCATATTCCTCAATTTCCTCCTAATCCTTTTACTATTTGGAACGAAATGGGTAAGGACTAAAATATTTCTTTTGCTTTTTGGGTACCCTTTTTGGGGAGAAATATACGTGTAAAGGTTTCCACTGGCATTAAACGGTGTTCATTTGTTAACTTTCACTCTCTCCCTCTCTCTCTCATTCGAGGTTTTTTTGTTTTTTGTTTTTGAAAGGATTCCGTTTAACGGTAGCCGCAGGAAACGAGACGAATTAGAGCGAGCGAGCAAGCGGTAGCCGCTTTCTTTTGTGATAAAAATACAAAACATGAAAAAACAGGATCGCAATAAATATTAGCTCCCAAAAATAAAACAATGAAACAAAAAAAGAGAACACGTGTAAACCTCTAAATTTTTTCAATTGCCGCATCATTCCTTGAAAAGTTCTGGCCTTGTTAATAAATAAATTGGCTACATTTGTTGAATAATAAATACACACAGTCTTAGAATCGAAGGAGCGATACATTAACATTTATATACATATATACATATACATAATAGTTTTAATTGTAATGATTGATATGCGATGACCGATTAACGCAGCCGATAACTTATCGATAAAGCGACAAATATGCATCATACGCGTTGAAAACCAAACACAAATCATAGTCTGTAAAAAATAAAGAAATAACTTAAAAGAAAAAGAAAACAAAGCAAAATTTACAGTCATAATATAAAAACGATGAACTCGATTATTAAGAAAAAAAAAGGTATGGGAAATCAGAGTTAAGCGAAGGAAATCTTATAGCCAGCATAAAATCAGTACGTACTAAAGAGATGAACCTTTAGCATTTAATAAATTAACATACATACAATCTATATATAAATAACACTTGCAAGTAAATATGCGGAAGAAGCAGAAACACAAACAAAACTCAAATAATTTTATTAGACACCCACAGATACACGACAGACAGATGCATACGAAATATATAAATAAATATTAATTAACATTAGAGGTTAGCGCTGTTAGCCCTCGGAAGAAACCACAACCAAGATCCAAGAATTTAAAAGCAACCAGGAGAGACACTTAACAAAACTTGTGTAAAATACTAAAACTAGGGAAGCGAGTGTTATACATCAATAAATTAAAACCACAATAAGAAGACAACAACAATACACATAATTACACACACTGAAAATTACGAAAACGCATAGATATTAACGGTAACAGTAACGATAACGATAACGATAATCGAAAACCGTTAACCACGACGAACTTAACAAGCAGATCAACACGAATGTTAATGCCGCTTCAATTATGAACGGAACCGAAAACAAAAGAGTTAAGAACGTGCAATAGTAAAAGGGGGATACAAATTAAACGAATTGGGAGAAAATCGGGGAAGACCATAATGCATTTTTTTTATTCACGAACCGCAAGAGGAGAACCTCGTTAACGAAAACAGTATTGCAAAAGAAATGAAATAATATGAAGAAGAAACAGAGGAATTCAAGAGTTCATAAAAAGAGACCATAAAAACCTTAGCACCCACACAAACACAACAGACAACATATAGACACGTGAAATCATATGTCGCATTTATACATAATATAATAAAGAAAAGACGATGGCTTAAGTTGAATAAGTACGAAATAATTTATTAACGAATAATGAAACTGGAAATGGCAAAGTTTACCAAATCCAATAAAAATAGAATTCGTAAAAAAAAAAAACAAAAAACAAAAATAAAAGCAACCAAAAGAAAAAGACAAAAATTCCAAAAAAAAAAAGAGAAAAAAATCTTTAATAAAATCTTATGATATAATCAACAAAAAAAAAAAAAGAAAGTATACATATATATAGCATTGAAAACATTACCATTTATTTTGGGGCTGGGGTAATTTTCTGGGAATTTCTAAGCGATAAACCTTTTAATTAAAACATGTTTTATTTTATTTTTTTAATTTCACAAAGTTTGTACTCGTTTTAGAATCTTTCCCTCGAATAGAAATGGGCACATATACGCGTACCTAATGAACCCAAAACTTTGTGAGACATCGTCAACGAACTACATTTTAAGGTTTCAAGGCGATGAAGCGATCTCTGATCGCTCAGTTTGTGGAGGCGGAAGCTTAGTGCATAGGTGCACTTACACACATTTTGCGATTGTTTCATTTTCCCAGCACACAAAAACTTCGTTTATGGCATTGAAAACGATAGTTTTGTGGGTTTCAAGCTGACAAAGCAACCGATTCAGGCTCATAAACGGAATCCGAATAAGATTTCGATATCATTAGCGGGTATAATCCTGAGAATTCGCTATACTCGTCCGCTATTCGTCCGTTTTTGAGCATTTAGCGAAACTAATGCGGAAAGACCGATTCTTTGTCCATATGTAATATTTTTTAGCGGACATTTTTCGGATCCCATCCGCTCCTAGTCTGCTGGGTTGATATAATCTTTGGTGCACTGGGTATGCAGGTGAGATGTGCTAGAAAAATGTAGTAATATTAGAAACCAATTGTGATTATTCCAATTAAAGTGAAGCCATGAAGACTTTGAACTGATTTTTAAAATTAAAGACAACATCGCTTAGGATTTTCCGAACATTCCTTCTCGTAAAAAGAAAGGGTTCATGTGTGAATCTACATGAACTATAATTACATATTAAGATATATATATATTGCTTATTAAGACACCGATTTGATTGAACTTGCAGGCCCACACATGCACCCGTTAATGGCCGCGGCCAATGCGATGAACAACTTCTCCGCTCTGAGTCTGCAGCCAACCGGGGCACATCCGCCGCCTTCGCTAGCCAATAGCAGCCACCACAGCAGCAACAGTCTGGGCAGCCTCAATCACATCAGTCCCGGGAGCAGCAGTGCTCGGCACAGCCGCCTCTATGGCAGCAGTCACCATCAGAGCAACAACAGCAGCAGCATGGGCAACCACAGTAGCCTCAGCTATCCGCACGCCATGGAATGTGATCCGCCGCCGATGCCGCCCCAGAACGGGCATGGCCGAATGCGGGTGCCGGCGATCATACAGCTGCAGCCGAACAGCTATGCCCCCAACTCGATGCCCTACTATGGCAACATGTCCTCGGCGGCAGCAGCAGCTGCAGCGGCGGCGGCTGCTGCCTCACACCTGATGATGACGGATTCGAGTGTAATTAGCGCTACAGCTGCAGGCGGCGGACAGGGCGGCGGCAATCCCGGTTCAAATCAAGTGTCGACCGCCACTGCCGCCTTCCTCTATCCTTCTCAGCCCGCTGGAACGATGTATGGCGCGACGCCAGCTTCGCTGAGCGAGCTGCCGCTGCCGCTGCCACCACTGCCGTTACAACTGCCCATGCAAATGCCAATGCCCCTGCTGCTGCCGCCCTCATCGTCGTCGTCCTCGTCCGCGGGGTCCGGCGTGTCGGTTTCTGGTGGCGGCGGCGGAGGTGTCAGCGTCTCCGGCCAGAGGCGACACGCTGGCGGACCTGCCGTGGCCCAGGGTGTTGGTAGTGGCGGCAGCAATTCAACGACTGGAGCCAGCAGCAGTGATGCCTCCTCGTCGTCGCCCATGGTGGGCGTTTGTGTTCAACAGAATCCTGTAGTTATACATTAGCATATAGACAAAGTGAAAGAGTTTGGAGTTGCCTGCATTATATACCTTTCTGATATATAGATATATATATATATATATAGCTTTTTTTTGTTCACACACCTTTCGCCGCTCTCTGTTGCTATTTATTGCCCCATCTGAAGGAACACATCCAAGCCCAAGTCCCAGCCCTTCCAAGCCCCCCAAATGGTCCACGCCACAGCCTTCATCCGCCAGTGCAGCAAAATTTAAGAGTGGTGTCAAGTATGGGATCTCAAAATCATATCATATAGAGGTACTTTGGCTTTTACTCTTGGTTCTCCATTTTCCATTTTCTAATTTTTGTCTCGATTAAAACTAAAAGATTTAATTCTTCAATTTCAATCAAAAGTCACATTTTCTAAAGTTTAAATTTTTTAAGATTTTCAAGATAAGGTTAGTTCTAGACTTCATTTTCTTAAATACAATTGATCAGAAGCCAATTAATTGCTCTAAATAAGTTGAACAACTCCAAAACCATACCGCAACCGAAATGCGCGACGACACTAGCTTGTGGTTCAAGAACGATACAAAAAATGTCTGGTCTCCCAGTTCGAAAACGTTTAATTTTATCGATATTGATATCGATAATTAATTAGTTTCCACAACATGTTATTGAAAATTGTTCAAAAACGTTTAATATTATCGATATTGATATCGATAATTAATTAGTTTCCCCAACATGTTATTGAAAATGGTAATTTGTATTTAGGAATGCACTCGTTGACTGTTCCACATAAAATATAAAATAAAGTAATTTTGAAAAAGTTTAGCGAATCTTGGCTTCAACATCAAACGTTTCTTGAATAGACTCTCCCGAGAACCAAAGATGCCTTTTGCAATAAACTAAAACTGAAAACGATATGTACTGTTATATATCGCAAGTGATCGAGAGATTTAACACATTTACAGATTTTCGAGAATTATCTTGTGATGTATTTTCCAACCTGCCACCACTCATCAAACCCCACACACCCACTCAAACAACACAAAACTATAAAAAATACATTAACATTAACTAGCTGAAATTGACCCTCCTCACACACACACACACACACACACACACACACACACACTCACCTGCAGTTTATCTATTAAATAGTCACTTGGCGCTATCACTACCGCGCCCACACGCCTTCTGCGTCCTGGAGAGGCGTATTGGATCCTGTGGTTCCGTGTCGGCGCTCAATTTGAAGGATTTGCGTAAATCGCTTAATTTTTTTTTACTCGATAGACACTTCTTTTTTTTTGGTCTAATTATAGTGTTTAAATTTATGATGTAACCGTACCGACATAATCTTACTTGGATATAAACGAATCAAAATTAAACTTTATTTAATTGTTAATTTATATGATGTCATTTTATTTGACGAGAAATCGTTGGCTATATATACAGAGGTAGTCACAAGTATATACACACCGAAAGAATTGCTGCACATTCCAACATCCTTTAGTGGTTATTCTTGAAGTTGTTACATATCCCTGAAATATTTCGCGTAGCTTGATGTATGCGAAATTCTAAAGATAACGGTTCATGGGACAAATACAAAGCAAAAAAGTAGAAGCATGGAAGATGTCAAAAGTATTTAGAAATAAATAATTTTTTTTTTTAATTTATTTCTGGTAAATTTTAAAATCCCTTTTAGCAAAAATCTCCCAAGTTACTCTTTTAATAATTCGAAAATGTAGTTTTTTTTTGCTAAAAATTGAGTTTATAAAAATTAAAGAGTCATTTGGGCAAAATATCTGTTATTTAGACTACAGGTTCTTATTTATTTTTTTTTATGAATCATCCTTTCACATATAATGTCTGCTTTTTGAGCACCATTATTATTCAACATATCTCGAAAATAATTGTTGACAGTTTTTTTTTTACGCTCTGCTTGCGAGAACAACCGAAAAAAACATATATCCTCGTTCTCTCTCTGAGCATTGCGAGACACGAGTAACACTTGCCCAGAGAAGCTTATTAAAAGAAAAGAAAAAATTAAAATGATATTTTCAAAAATTTGTTTTCGTGTTGGAGTTTTTTAAATAGATTATAGCACGCTCACTCGCTTACATTTTCTATATAGGTACTTAATATACCCACATACATGAGCAAACGACTTTTTGAATTGTCAGTCAAGAGCAAACGGTCCGTTAAGGATCAAGAACCGAAAAATCTGATCCTCGGCAGAGCGCGATCAAAATTCAATACGTTGCTCTCGGACTCTGTCTAAATTTTGAGAGAGAAACACTTACATATTTAGCCACCGCACGAATCGGTCAACAGTTATTTGCGAGCTATGTACATATGTATGTTATTCAGCATCCATTTAATTTTTGAAAACAGTCTACTTCCGAACAAAAAACTATGATCTTTCAGAATATTAACCAATCTAAACTGATTTCAAGTGATATTATTTTATTCGGAATCGGTTGGATCCTACAACTTTATGATGCTTAGTACCACAACGGATGGATGCGTAAAAATTTTTTGAAAATCTGTTTATGCAGTTCTACCATGTCTTTTTTTCAAGTTCTGATGATTAATATTATCAAAAGCAGTTGATTATTATTAAATAACAAGACATTATTGAAAAAATCAAAAACATTCAATTTTTAGCCAGGCTAAAAGCCTTCATCGATGCCAAAACTAATTATTCGAACTATTATTAGAGTAAAAAGTATATTAAAAATGTACCAGAATTAAATTTAAAAGGAAAACAATCTATGTGTAAGTACTTTTGACGCAAAAAAACTGTGTAAATGCGTTTACTCGTTTGCTTTTATCCAGAGCTCGCACAAAACGGTCAACCGTTTTGATCAATCAACGGGAGATCGCATAGACAAAGCTTTCTGGAAGCGAAGCGCCATCGAAACTACTCGCTGGCTTCCGAGTCGAAAAGAGAGCCTGAGATGAAGCACTCGTTTGAGTTCACGCGTACGAAAAATTACAAATATATTCTGAAAACAATTTAAACACCATAAATGCTCCTTTTCAGGTTGCTTCTGCGTAGATCAAATATTTCTATATATGGAAAGAACGCAAACACAAATTCTTCATTTAAGCAAAAAATAAAAAGAACAAAAAACGTATTTATTGTACACGGGAATCAACAATTTGGGATTGCTTTATTTGTTTTCAGCCTAAATTAAAACCTGGGCACGATAGTGTTTTTGGAGCTTATTCGCCTTGCAGCCGAGCTTCATCTGCCACTTGGACTGGACGCGCTTCATCAGATGAATATCACGGGCCTTGCGTGCGGCCGACAGCTGCTGCGTCTGCGTCCATCCCAAAGCCCGGTACTCGCTGAGGACGCGGTGCAACTTGCGATCGGATTTCTTCAGCACAACGGCGCGATCCGGGTGGAGACGTTGGCGGTAGTAGCGGAGCAGAGATCGATGGCCAATGACTGCGCCCGATGGCAACACCAATTGGTATTCATCGCCGTCGAGCAGGTCCGGGACCACTTCTTCATCGATGTCCATTCCGTCTTTCTGTTTGATAAAATATGATAAGAATTAAGTTTTTTTTTTAAACAATGTTTTTGAAGGACGCAACTGAATCAAGTCCCCAAAAACTGCGTAAGAAATAAATGTGGTGGAAAATACAGAAAATGTACTTAAATGTACCGGATCTATGTATGTTAATTTTTGTGCTTTTTTGCTTATAGCTTTGCCAAGGACTATAATGGTACTCACATTATCGGGATAACTGCTGCTGTAATCGTAATATTCCGCATACTCCGCCAGGGCCATGCCCTCGTGGAGCATCTGGCAGTGGCCTTTGTCGAGCATATGCTTGCGCACAGCGTCCAGGGAGTAGAAGGTCTTGCCGCGATCGTTGCACCACAGGCAGATGAAGTAATTAGCCACCTTTTCACCCAGATAGTATAGCAAGCCCTCGATGTCTGTGCAGTACTCGGTGTCCGGAATGAAGAAGGAGTGCGCGACGGACATGTGCTTGAGGTTCTCCACCAAATCCTCGCTTGTGTGCTGGCAGAAGAGGCAGTCGCGCTCGGTTAGCGGATTCTCTGGTATCTTGTCCCACTCATCGGAGTCAACCTGTAAAATGACCATTAATATATGTACACTAGTAGCTTCTCTAAGAGCTTGGGTTACCTCTTCCTCCTCGATGTCCTCAAAGTCATTGTCGTCGTCGTCGTCCATCTCCTGGTCGTCCTTCGTTTTGGCGCGCTCGGTAAAGGCAAGACGACCCTTCCCAGACGCAGCAGCGGCCAAAGCGGGATGCGGTCGTGGCTCCACCACGCTCCGTGTGCATACGGAGGCCGAAGTGCTGGCGCTTCCGTTGCTGGCCGCCATTTGTTCGCTCTCGAACTTGGCCAGCAGCTCGCGATGTTTCTTGCTGTTCAGGTGGTTGTCATGGGCTTTCTGGCTGCCGAACTGCCTGCGACAAGCATGGCAATACACGCTGATGTTCCGCTCCTCCAGGGCAGCATCAGTGGCGCTACGAGCGCTAAGCACACGCTGCTGGAACTCCTCCGCCGTCACCGGAGGCAGCTGGGCTACCCGTCGCTTAAGATTATAGCGATGCCAGTCCGTTTTGTAGTGCTCACGCTGGATATCAGCGCTGGCGAAGCGAGCGTCGCAGTTCAGACACGTGAATTGCGACGACATTGCTTGGCGGCGACTGTTGTCGTTACTGGGAACAGGTTGCGTTGCTCTCGAGCAGATAAATCGCTGTCTCGAGTGAATGAATCTGAATTTTGAATAATGTGGCGTATTTCACAACAGATTCTAACAATAGGTGAATATTGCTGATAGGTATGATTAACAAACAAACGTGGTCGGGTTGCCGATAATATATCAATCTATCGATGTATCGATGAACTTCAGCGGAGATGCCATTTATGCAGTGTTCCCGCCAGATTCGGTTTTTTTTTTAATTGTAATAGCTGGAATTTAAAAAGAGCGGAAACTCTAGACTTTAATCTGGAAATTCGCTTGACTTGGCGTATTTCACAACAAGTTCTAATAATATTGACTATTATATATATATATTATTGTTGATTGGTAATGATTAACAAACCAGTGTTGCCAGTTTAGCTTATTATAAGCCAGATTTAGCATATGAGAAACGGAAAAGCTTGTAAAATTTGCATCTAGCTGATAGCTTGAAATATAGCTATTTTAAAGTTTATCTAGCTCAGTTGTAAATGTATTTTCGTCATCAACGGTTTCAAACCGTCGGTTTGTTATACTTTATAGCATGAAGATACCGGAGCTTGTTCTTGTTTTATTTCGTTTAATCGTGATTTTTTTTCTAGTGTATAGTGTCATCATTGGAGTGAGAAATCTTGCAATGCATACACTATGTGTACAGCCAGAAAAATACATCATGCCTATAAAAAATTGGGACAAATATTTAAATGGCTATCAAGATGACGAAATAGATTAATTATCAACTAATTTAATTTAATAGAAAACTTTAAAAGCATATTTTTAAGTAAAGCATAAATAATAAGAATATTGTTCACACATACAAAAAACTTTTATAAATTCATCAACAATCACCTTTGATGTTTTTTCTTTCGGAAACCGTCGCAATGGAAATTTAAAGACCTCAATAATTACCCACCCACATAAAATAATAAAGTTTCATGTTTTCCCTCAATTGGGTGTAGCTTGTTTTTAGCAGTTTTAGTTTATTCTAGCTTATTTTTTTTAAATCTAGCTTGTGCGGGCGCTAATCACCTGGCAACACTGTAAAAACAAAAGTACTGGGATTTTCGGTAATATATCACCGCCTCCGTTAGGTTTTAAGGGGGGGACATCTGAGTGGCATAGCGACATAAGTCCGACGACATATCTCCGCCCGGTACATTTTTCGGGCGGACTTATGCCGTTTTTTCCGGCGGAGCTATGTCGTTTTAAAGCGACATATCTCCGCGCGGAGTTATGTCGTTTGCAAGCGACATATGTATCTCCGCCAAACTACTAACGACATACAGTGGCGAACTTAATTTTTGGCACAGTTGGCATGTCTGACTTTGGCACCGTTTTTCTTCATTTAGCATAGAAATATTTACTTCAATTAAATTTGATTTAAATATTTTGATAAATTTCCAACTAAATGAACTTAATTTTATTCTTGTATATCATTCCATTAATTTATAAAAATTAAAAAACTAAAAAACTGCTACATTTTCCTGAACAAAATTATTGGCACACTTGGCAAATAGTGAATTATTTTCTAAAAATTTGATCGATCTGTTAACTTTTTTCTTCTCAAAAGCCTTGTTATCTTCATTTAGAATATGCTTGTTGATAATTTTTTAACTAAAAATCGTCGAAGTGCCTATTTTTTAAGCCAAAGTAGCTCATTTTAATAAAATTTTTTATAATAAAAACCGTTCCATTTTGAATTTTTTAAATATTTTTGGTTCGGTGTGCCAATAATTTTGTTCGGGGAAATGTAGCAGTTTTTTATTAGTTTTTTAATTTTTATAAATTATTGGAAAGATATACAAGGATAAAATTAAGTTCACTTAGTTGGAAATTAATCAATTTCAATTAATTAAGTTTCATGTAAAATAAATAAAATAAATAAAATTTGTTTAATGTAAATATGTAACGCCTGATGCATGGGCAATATAAAGATACTTCCCTGGCGCCATCTAGGGAGTATCAGCGCAGTTCCAATCTGGGTGCAGAGCGGAGCTAAGGGGCGAAACTCACCTCTGACGGGGGCATGTGTCAGCGATCGGCTGCGACCCTAAGGAGGGTGGGAGCTAGGGAGAGGGATCCCGCGCGATTCGAGGCGGAGTCCGCTTTCTTTTGGTTTTTGGCAGCAGAGCGAATAAGTTCGTCATCAAGAATAAAATTAATAAATAAAGTTCGACAAAGTCACGCGAGTGGAAGCTGATTTTTTATCCTACGCGTTGCCGCTGCCAAAACAACAAGAAGAAGTTAAGAAAGCCTTAAGAAGGAGAAGTGGATTCCAGATTTTAAGATCCCCAACAAGCTCAGCGCTGAGTCCCCCAGGGTGAGTTGTGGTAAAAGGAAATAATAGAAAAAAAAGTATATTAAAATAGGAAAAAATCTATACAGGGCCCGGCGCTTAATAAAAGCCCAACTTTTTACCACCTTTTCGGCGAAGAAAGTGTACTCAGTGATGGAAAAGTAGCGGAGCCTAAACTAACCGCCTAAAACATAGCTATAGATCCCAACAACACCGCCAACGCAGCAACGCGCCGATTAAAAGGATTAGAGGAGCCCCTAAGCCCCTTGCCCCATAATTATCACCGTTGGTTTTTTCTTTGGGTCGGAGCATAGCCAGCATAGTGAGGGAAGCATAGAAATTTTCAGTAACAACAAAAAAATGGCGGGATGAGCGGCGACTAGCGGCGATTCTTTCTTTTTGGTTTTTATCCCGCTCCGCGGTTCTCAAACAGTTAAAGCAAAGCAACCGCCAGCGCAACCCAGAAAAAAATTGTTTCCGCGGAGCGCGCCTTCGGAAATCCGGAGAAAATACTCAAATTCCGCGATCGGAGTAAACGCAGCAAAGTCTTAGTGATTAAGGAAATTAGTGGTAGCTAAATTTTTTTTATATATTTTCTTTTGGTTAATAACGAAAAAAAGATGAAGGAGTGAGCCAGAAAAAAAAGTGATTAAGTGTGGTTCCATCTCTGTCGACAGTAAATTTTCATGAGTGTTAGGGCGAACCTTTGTCTTCCTGTTTCCCCCCTCAGTTTCAGCTAGCTCGTCGAAAGCGCTTTCGCCGGTGGATATGCAACAAGAGTGAGTGAGTAAGAGTGGAGAATTCTCCAAGAAAAAAAAGGAAAAGCGTTATTATGCATTTCGCCAAACACTTAAAAAAAAAAAGAATGAATACAGAGAAAAACTATACAATTAATGAAACATCGAATCATTCGGCAAGGCAATCTGCCAAGTTTTTATTCGGTTTAGCCCACTGTGCGCTGACTAAAATGAAACGAAGTAATTGTTTTTAAACCAATTTTTTTCACTTTTATTCCTGTCTTCGCCACACTACAAAAAAATAATAAAGTCCCTCAAGAATAATTATTACGTAGATGATTTAATTGTAAGGAGGAAATTTTGAAGTCTTTAGCATTATTTATTTATTATTATACCGTTGTTTAATTTATGCTTAATGTCTCAATTATATGTTCGTTTTTTCTTAGGAAATAAATAACTTTTTATAACGTTTTAAACAAATTTAATTTATTCGCCTCCACCAGCATGCCGCCCCAGTAGAGCCAGCGATGGTTTTAGGGGTCATCAAAAAAAAATATATGTAATAGCGGATTAGATGGCCAAGGTAGGGAGGGCTGACAAGGGACCTCGACAACATCAAAGGATCCCAAGCCCTTAGTATGTGTTAATGAGGGAGTAGCCTGTCCGTGTGTGTGTTGTGAATCTTTGATTTCCCTTCCCCCTTTCTCGTAGCGGCACGCAAAAATTTAGTAAGGTACTGATTGCAAAAGGCCATCGCGAGATTCAGGCAAGACCACCACCACCAATAGCCGACGAGCATAGCCGAGTAAATCAGCGTGCGCCTGAATCTTGCCTCAACATCTAGCCTGATCGTTGCAAATATTGCTATGTTTAATGAAGAAAAACGGTGCCAAAGTCAGAAAAAGACATAACTCCGCGCGGAGATATGTCGTTTGTATTTCGGCTGAGATATGTCGTTTGTATTTCGGTGGAGATATGTCGCGCGGACTTACATATGTCGCTATGCGTAACTTTTTTTAAAAATCGAAAAATTTTTTTTCGCTTAAAAAATTCTTTAGGGTCTTAAAAATAACATACCAAAAGATAGAGTCCTGCAAAAGTTTCTAAGTGTCGAAATTTTCCATTCTATATACGATTTTAAAACGCGTTTTTCTCAAAACCACTTTTTTTGAGTCGGCCGGAAACCTAACTCGAACAAATCTTAACCGATCGATCTGAAATTTTGACAGTATATCCAAAATACCTTTGTCTATCGACACACGTAGGATTTTTTTTGCTTACTTTTTTTTTATCAATAATTTTGTGACGTTTTTTTTCATGAAAATTGAAAAAAAATTTTAATCACTCACCATTTTGCAAAAAATCAAAATATCGAAAAAATCCTATGTGTGTCGATAGCGTTTTTGTTCTAGATCAAAAATTAAGGACGTTAGGTTTCCGGCCATGGACCCCTTTCAACAAAAAAGGGCCTACGAAGAAATGCTGCACAGCCGCCATTTTGTTTTCGATTTATTCCAAAAAAATGTATTTTGTATTTCACATATAACATTATAAAACCTACTTTAAAATTTTTCGATTGGCTTTTTCATTTGGCCAACAAAAATTCTAGAAAATCGGTTTTTTTGCCAGTTACTCAGATGTGCCCCCGTAAGCGGAATAAAAGACGAGCGAAACTTCGAGCGCGAGACCGCGGTGTGACGATGGCTCGGCGTCGCGACACTTGAGCCCCAGCGTTCAACTAGCTCAGCCAGTGACCGCTCATCATTCACGCTGATCTTAAAAATATATAAAGCGCCTTAAAACGGAATCCAATGGTACAAGTAAATGTCCCGTAAATTGTCCCGTTATGTGACAAGAACGTGCAAAACAAAGTCCGCTAAGCCGACTGCACTAAAAAAAAAAATATTACAAAAAATAAAAAAAATATAATAAATTAAATATTTAAATTTATACAAAGTGTTCGTTTGTATTTAATTTTTCTTGAAAATAAATATAAATATAATTATTTTTAAAATAATTAAAAATTTAATTATTAAACTAATAAGAGAAATATTAAATTTCATTAATTAATTCAAAAAATAAATGAATAAATAAATTTTTATTTAATATTTCTCTTATTAG